ATGGTTGCCAAATTGCCAAATTCCCACTTACATCGGTGTCTTCACCCATGTGCGAAGTATTTCCGTCCTGTTTTTGATCCTATCTTATAAGTTTAAATTTGCCTTTAATTTTTTTTTTTTTTTTAGATCCGTAGATCCTCCTTAGAAACTTTCTGACCTAGACAATTAATTTAAACTCATCCTAATGGATTGTTGGCAAAGTTTTCCTCGCACATACACATTATAATGACAGGTATTATAAAATATGTTTACGATAAAATTATCAAAATCGTAAGCCACATTAGAAAATTAAAATAGGGGCAGTAAAAAATTATTATATCGAAACCTGCAATCGTGAATCACTTGGTAAGTGTGTATAAAGTTTTACCTATCACGGGTTCATAGAACACTCGAATTTATATAGTATTTCTAGTTCTTAATGTTTACAATATTCTGCTACGTTTACAATAATACACCTATTGCAGAGACGGTTCATCGATCACAATAACATTATTGTCGGACCTTTATAAAAAGGCTTGCGTACCTAACACGCATCTCCGCTATCGTTCGTCTTTGATGTATCGACGAGAATTTACTATACCTACGGGAAACGTCTATATATTAGATAATATGACGTCTACGTTATTTTTACCGCACGGAATACAATTCGGCATATTGTTATTACTATTTGAACAACGTTTATATTGAACTCGGTAAATGATAATAATATTATAATAATTTTAAAATGCGTCATACTCGCGAGTAACGGACAAACACGTTGAAGTGTTTTTATTCCGAGAGCGTTTTGACAACATTTAAAAATCTAAAACTTTGCGCCTCGGGAATATTATTTATGATAATATATGTGAGGTATATTTTATTATTATTATTATTTTTTAACAGTAATTACCGAAAAAATATAAAATACTTATTACACGCCTATGCGTACCTGTACGTATTGAAAATTAATTTTTATACAACATTTTGTAACGTGATAAAAAGCAATAATTTTTCAAATACTAACACGGTACCCGTACCTATAATATCAATGTACTTTATCATTGTAAAAAGTTTTAATTTATCGAATAAACTTTTATTACGTTGATATATTTTCACAATAATTATATTATTATAGATGTACCTACTTGCCTGCCTACCTACCTACCTACGCGCAATTCTCAATCATAATCATCGTTGTTTTTCATTCTATTCAGTTCCGTGATGTAAACTATACAGGCATGTATCGATACACACGCGGTCGTAAACGTTATAATTGTATTGTATCCGACCAAAAATATATTGTTCACGAGTATATTTCATATTATATATTTTTGTATTGTTTTTTTTTTTTTTACCATTTTGAATTCGCCTCCTACAAGGGGGCGAAACGAGCGATATAATCGATAATTTGCCAGACACCGCGGGGTTGTAATACTGTTTACAGCGCACGTACCGAACGTTTGAGGTTAGCTTGCTGCAAACGTACAAAGTAGGTATGCAAATTACAACATTCAAACTAACTATAGCTATAGCGTATAGTGCACAGTAACGTAACGCAGTGCACGTAAATTGAAATATAAAAGTTTTAAATTCGGAGATTCCTAATTTGTTAACGTTATCGAAAAATATACAAATTAAAAATTATCGTCATTGTCGTCCGTTTGGATGCCGAATATAAAATAATAATATAATGCGTAAATACATTTCCCACAGAACGATCGTATTTGACAATATTCGTTTTTTCTTTTGTGCTATTCGTCTGATATAAATATATAATATACGTTACCCGCTACTTTTGGAGACTTCTAGGAGCTTGTTCTGGGCCAAATGAGTTTAAATTCGAGAATTAAAGTTAATTAAACAAATAAATGTATGTACATCTTTAGGCCAATTGAAGTGATCAAATTTGGGTTGAATTTAATTGTGAACTCCAGAATTTTGTTATTGGAGAAGGATATTTTTTCAGCTTTGAACAACCCTACATACTCCTAAAATATATCTAAAGGAGTGAAATATTTCATATGTATCCCTTTTGGGAGTTTAAACTTTCAACCCTGACTCTGTAATAGTATAAAATATTATAATATTCGGATTTTTATCGATTTACAAAGAATATATTTTGTAAAATACAAAATAGGTGGATGAAATTATTTAATTCTAGTGACGGAGTTCTATTGCTCACATGGGTTTTATTCACATAGATCTATTTTCGATACATTGAAAGGATTTTGAAAGTATTAAAATATATTTTATATGTGCATGTAAAAATAAATTAAATTAAATTGTGATAAATTGAAGTATTAATATCGAAATCCTGTATAAATATTATTAGAAGATTAAAACAAACCTATTTAGAATTATTATATGTTTTAAAACATGCAACAATATGCTAAAGCCATATTGATTTTTACTCGGTAAGAAATACAATTTTGAAAATTATTATTATTTCAATATTTCGAATTAAAAAAAAAATATAATAATAAAATCATTCAACATCAAAATAAGCAGTAATGATTTAGGTTTTGTGTTTAAATTTTGAATAGTATGTGGGAAGATTTTGTAAGAGGGTGACTATACGTCTGTACATGCATCGATGATTTCAGAAACCCCAATGCGGTTTATAATAATTTAAACAAACAAAAATAAAGCGTAATATTGAAATCGAATTCAATTAAATGAAAAATAATAATGATAATAATATTTAATATATAATAAGAAGAAAAAAAATGTTAAAGCATAATATTAGGTCATTCGCCTTACCGAAACTAAATGTATTAATATTATGGCGCACTACAGCTTTTCATTTACAAAAAAAAAAATTAAGACTGTAAAATAAAACTCGATTCAAACGAACAAAAATACCAAAATCGATGACAATAATATCAACGATGGTTCAAATCTATACGAAAATAAGAAAAATAAATTCATCATCTCTTTAAGCGATTTCGATAGGATATTTAAATATGTAGTCTTGCGTACAAAGCGAAAAATAAAATTGAAAATACTGTACGTTTTCAATACTTTCAGACCCACCAGTCATATCGCGACTCGTAAGTACGCGTAAGTACACACATCACTGTGAATCGTATACATTTTTTTTATTTTAAAATACAAAGAGTACAAAAAATATTACGGGGTTGTGAATATTATAATGACATCTTTTAGAGCCTTGCGGATTTAACACTGCGTGGCGGAACGTTACGAATAATGTTCATAATGATTTTTTTATCTGTGATAATTTTATGCGAATTTTTTTTTTTATTTTATTATGCGGACCATGCAATTAAAACGACACTATTCATTTTTGATATTTCAACATTCAGGCACATTTAGTTGGTACCGCATGTTTTATTTTTCCTTTTTCGATTTGACTAGAAGGTATTAAACATACAATTAGATATTTAACATATATGAGGAAAAAATTCTCAAACAAAATGGACTGTTAAAATTATGTCAGCGTGTACGACGTACACGCTGTATAATACGAAATGCTATATTACTTATTAAACTCCGAATTGACTAAACGTTCCGACGTTATACTTAATAATAATATTATAACTGAGTTTGAAAACCTTCAGCAAGTCATAAACAATATCGAGGTTTTGTGATGGGGGACAATAAACGACAGAAAGTTTTGATCAAACTTTTAGATTTATTCTCTTTTAGCCGTTAGATTAATCGATAAACTCTGGTTAATTTCACAAATGCACGTCGTAACGATTACGTCATTATCTTACTGAAAGATAACACAAATAATGCTTTTGTGATGCATATTGCAAAAAATTGTGTACTTTTTATTGCGTAATTATTATTATAGTTTTCGTCACTGATAAAGTTCATACCTACCTCTTAAATGTATAAAACTCTATCATATAGTCGGCTATCTATTTGTTTTATATATCTATGCTTATAAGTAGGCTAAAAGTAATTTTTGTAGGAGATGCAAATAAAATTGTTATAGGAAATTTCACCAACAATTTTCAAAAAAAAACTTATTTTTTCAATTTAATTATGCTCTATATTCTATAACTATAGACGGTCTTAAAGTCATTTAATATTTTGTTTTAATTTTTAGTACTTTAAATTATTCAGTGACGTCATCATATTAATTAAATTTGCAAGATGTTCCGCAATACCACAAATATTATAAACATTGAGTCAAGTCGAATCTTTTTTCTGTCGTTTTACTCAAATTACTTATTAATTTTGTTTTAACAATATTTAATTTAAAAAATTTCTGTTCACATAAGCAATTTGTAACTTGTATGGTTACAAAAGTCAAAAGCACTTCAAACACGTTTGGGAAACGAAAACGGGGTACTTTCAGCGTGACCATAATACGAAAAATAAATTATTATGCTATGTACAATATTTATGGATTATATACTACCATGATCAAGGTGGATATTAGTACTCTTAATAAATACTATAAATATATGTATATAAATATTATAGAAGTGTAAACTTGGACTTAGGAGTTAAGAGAATATTAAAATATTAAATATTATTAAATATTAGAATATTAAAAATCTAGTGTTTACTGGAGTTTTAAGAGGTGTATAATGGTGTTTAATTTTGCTTCAGTAATATACTAATGATTCAGGCATGTATTATGCCTCTATAGTTTTATTACTCTAGACTATACACTGTTTTTATGGTGGACTCTTTTCAATACACACCAGTGCTTTTATTAAACATATCCCAGCATTTTTAAATTCATTTTCACTTAATAACAATAAGTGATAACACAATGATCACACCTGGAAAACAATAAAACTTTATCAGTTTTTCTTTATAACTCCATATATAATTACATTATATTTCCAATTTAAAAATCTTTTAAATCTTTTCAATTTAAAATTCACAATTCGCAAAGTGTGCACATCCTGCACATCTCGTAGCCAAGTCTATGTATCTATGGGTATTACATAATAATATTATGATTGTGTTAACGAATAATGAATTCGACGAACTATTTTTTTTTTTTATGCAGATAATATGGCGACTACCACCGGCTAGCGATGGTGAACACCGTTGTAGTGTTGGCGGCGTGCGGCCTGTTGGCTGCCACGCTCGTGGATCAGGCGTGGTCGGCCAACGGCCCGGTCATCCAGCAATGTCCCTCACACGGAGATATCCAACCGTGTGTGTGCACGGTCAAGAAGAACGGCGGCCTGGACATACTATGCGAGTTCACCGATCTCCAGCACATATCCAGTACGATGGCCGTACTCAAGGGCAAGCCCTCGCTGGTCATATTCTACCTAAAGCTCCGGCACAACAACCTGCCTAAGCTCCAGGGTTTCGTGTTCCTGGGCATGGACATCAGACACCTGACCATACACAACAGCACGCTGGCCGTGGTCGAGGAATCATCACTCAGTTCTATCGGTGAGCAGCGGGAAACCCATTTCAAATTTACCATAGATATATTAATGTGTATACCCCGTATCCCTATATGCCCTACACGGCATTAATATCGGCAACATCGCGCGAGCCCGATAGACATTATTCATTTGTTTTAACCAATATACGTTTCCGAACAATAACAGAAAAATTAATTTCATAAATTAGGATAAATTCACGACGTGAATGTACAAACTCTTCTCCAGTGCAGGTTTTGGTAAATACTAATAAGTTATAAGTTATCGTCTGGCTTTCAGACAATAATTACTTAACGATGAGAACGGTTTTCTTTATCTACTCGTGCGCAATCTGGATTATAATAATAATATTAATGTACTAATATGGCAATGAAATGTACATGTATCTGTTGATCCTCCTCAGCCAAGTCTGTAAAGTGCGTTAAGTGACTCAGGCAGACACCGAAGTAAATTTTTTTTAGGCATGTGAATGTATACATAATACGTACACATAATATAGCGTACATCTTATTATCTTTTTTTGTGGAAATATTCTTAATAATATTATGATCATATAGATAACATTTAGGCCATATTGGTTACCAGTCGCTCTTTAATATAGCTTCTGTCTCTTTTCTCTTTTTTGTTTTTTACTAAAAGCCGTGTCTTGTCACCATAGATCTAAATTTCCATTTTTTCTCTGTTCACAGCTAATCTCTTCAATCAGCATACCGTTCACCCGTCCTTCAAATACGTTTGCTAGAAACAAATTGTGCCTCAGGAGTTATTCGAACATTTTTCCGTTCCTTTCTTTTATATTACTGTGCTTCTGTTAGTATAAGGCGTTACCTGCTATACCGTTAACGCTAGATTATTTATAGAATTTAAATAAATATTAAAAACGCCAATATCGGTCCTTATAGTACCTACCTATTGTATATAAATAATAGAAACGTTTTGTAGCTCTCGCAGTGGTTATAACCTATGATTTTCAGATTTGTTTTTTTTCTAAGTGGTAACCTAGTTTTTAAAAGCCATTCTCGTTCGACACATAGCTTGAAAACCATACTACTGTGGCACCTTGCACTGGATCGAATAAGAATCTCCCTAGTCCCCACTTCGTCGATCAATAAAAACGCACCGAGTTTAATAGGTACCTATATTTAAAACGATATAATAATAATAATTCGCCGAATAAAAACTAGTTAAAATATTCATATTATAGAAAACAAATCATAAATAAATATAATATACGACACGAAAATATTTCGCAATAATTTCACAAGCTTTTTGCCTATTGGGTTTTCATCGAACAGGCACGCACGATGAAAAGAAAACAAATGCGTATTCCGGGGGAAAAAATGTGATAAAAAAAATACTCCAGTATAATGATATATTTATTTACGTCCACACGGACATTTTCCCAATGGACTGTTCCATATTACGGAGTATCGGCCCAAAAAGTAAATTTTAAATTCAAAATAATAATAATTTACTATACGTTAATTACGTTATCGTTCATTTTTTTTAATCCACTTATTTTTTTTTATATACGATAAAATTACAATCAATTTAATACAAAAATAATAATTTTTTTATGTATAACTTGCATTTTTTTTTTTTAATTTTTAAGTTAATGAATTTATGGAGAAATATTTTTTTTTAAATAATAATTCATATTTTACCAATAACAAAATTCCCAGCAAAACCTAACGTTTTATTTTCTACCTCATACATTAGATTTTTTATTTAATTTATTTTTTTTAAGTTTTAAAAACACAAACCGCCTCATTGATCATTCTTTACATGATTGAACGGTTTGTGAACTCAAACTTGACATTTTTGTATAATTACACCAGAATACGTAAAAGTGAATAAAGATTTTTTTTATAAAATGCCGATATTAAAATTAAAGAAATTTTAAATATCGAATTTGTATTTTAAAACGAGATTTTAAAAGTTTTTCTAACTGAAAATAAAGGACAAACGCGATAAACTTAATATCCACAGCATACATAATGTTATTAAAATAAAATGTCATTGCGTACGAAGATTCGACACTTAAGTTGTACTAATGTCTTGTCAACAGTATAAAAAAAGGAAACAGCACAATTCAATCTGAAATCCGAGTAATATTATACCTCTTGTTACCAAACCGATATAGATGACGAAAAATAAGCCATCATAAAATATGCCAGCTTTTAAATTCTGAACACAGCGAAAAATGTATTGGTTTAACTAAAATGTATGTGGTTTTTTTTTTATCTGTGAACAATTGTCTACTAGAAAGCATGCTGCAAAGTGTAGCAGCTTTTTTCGGAAAGAAAATATTGTCTAGTTGGTATACCGAGGATGTCATTTGTTTATTTCTCTTGTAGTTTTCTTAATATTTACTAAAATGTATGCAATAACAATGTCCGTTAATTTTCGATTTTATTTTTCCTCCTCGTTTTTGCCATTCGACAATGTTAACTGATATAATTTTTTTTCGCCATATGTTATCCATGTAATATAATTAAATTAATATGTATTTGTTTTTTTTTTTTTTTTGTAATATCTAAAGGAAAAGCCCTCACCCAGTTGGATCTGTCTCAAAATTCGTTGGTCAACGTACCGACACCGGCGCTGAAGAGCTTAGATCGATTGCTGATATTCAATTTGAACCATAATAAAATTAACTTAATACACGCCAACGCTTTCGAGGGCATGAGCACATTGGAGATATTGACTCTGTATGAAAATCGGCTTACTTCCATCGAACGCAACGCGTTTGCCGGCACGGAAAAGTATAAATACGCACAAATATTCATATTATATTATAATATTATTTTAACACGAAAACCATAATTTAAATCATGTATTGTTAAATATCTAATAAAGCATTCTGGTCCGCAGGAAACTCAAACGTTTGAATATCGGTGGCAACGAGTTGAGCCAGGTGCCAACCGAAGCTTTGCAGACGATGGACAACTTGAAAAAACTAGAAATCCAAGAAAATAAAATAACATCGATCAGAGAGGGTGACTTCATAGGTATATAAATTATAATAAAATATTAGTCTTTCTTTTGTTCATTTAAATATTATTAAACCGTACCTTTACCCTCAATCCTCGTCTTATATTAAACTATATGATGTTTTTTTAATAAAACGATGTCCGATTGTTTAAGGTTTAAAAACGTTGGACATGCTGATCCTGGCACACAATTACATCAAGGAGATACCAGCTAAAGTTTTTCAAAATTTGCCCATGTTGAATTCGCTGGAGTTGGATGGTAATCAAATATCGTACATAGACAAAGACGCTTTTCTCGGTTTAGAAGGTAAATATTAAAAAAAAAAATGTTATAGTACGTAAGAACAAAATAAATAATACAAAGGGAAAACATTAGAAGTAGCTTCGGGAATTCCGTTTTTTCACTACCGCGATCGTTTTGAACAGACGCGCAATGATTGCGAATTTTAGACAAACGTGTAAGTTTTAGACTCTAAATACTGGTTTATGATTATTAACTATTCTAAACAATAGCTTATATAGGTTTTTATTAAGAAGAAAGGAGATATTGAATTTGGAAATTCTGTCATATTGTAAAACATGTATCTAAAGACTTTAGAAAAAAAAAGAACAATTTTTCATTTATATAATTCGTATAAGTAATTTATAATTCAATATTTCAATCTGCTCTAATATTTTCAATTTAATCAAATAACTTAACATTATAGTAATTAATGTTAAGAGTTTATTTTCTATTTAGATAACAATGTCCTTTAAATTATAATGGTTCAAATAGGTCTTGATCCAAACATTACAATTTAGTTCAGGCTCATTTTCAGGTAGTCTAACCTTAAGTAGATACCTAATTAAAATACATTTATGGTTTTTTTGACTAAAAAGGAAAAAAAAATAATTTAAAAAACACATAAGTAGCCACATAAATCGATCGATAATTTAAAAAAAGGGCCAGTGAGGAGGTATATCACAGTGATTTTTCCTCATACGCTACTAATTCCGAGTAAAAACCTTGTACTTTTGCCATTAACTCGTAATTTTTAACACATTGAAATTCAATGAATATAATATCAAATGTCGACTGCGTGTCTTTAAAACGTGACTGACATTAAACTTTTTGAGCGTGTTTACTTAGTATCTAGGTGCCTAAAATAAAAAAAATAAAAAGGTAAATCGCCAAAAAAAAAATCTACCTACATAACTAATAATTATTATTCTCTATTGCTCCGAACTCTCAAAACTCGAACTTGTTGCAGACAAGTAAAGTGCAACAATTCCGTAAGTGCGTTCAAACTTACCTATGTAAAGGTATTGCTATTTTATTACTCGCTATTGCGAGTAATAAAATGTTCGCGTGTTCGGAATTCATAAAGATAATAAGACAACGAGTTAACTGAAGCATAAAAATTAAAACAACGATTAACCAGCCGTTTTATTAGGTATTTTTGTTCACAGTTTTTGCTCTATTTGGTAAAATGTACTTAAACGATAAATGTATACGGCATTAAACAACTCACTAATTTAATGGTACTTAGTATGAGTTATTATTTTTTTTACCTTCAGAAAAGTGAATATATATATATATATAAATTTAAAAAAGAATAGTGAACAGTTATTGTTTGTGTTCTACGAAAACTGAAAAATGAACGGTGGACGAAAAATCGACTTTTGAATCTCGTGTGTAATTTTAATTCGTTTAGTCTAATATATTGAATAACCGAATATTTTCATTTATTTTCCTTTAGTGTTGAAGTTAAATTAAAATTTACTTCATTTCAATTGTTCCGGTTTACACTGCCACTTTAAAATTGTTGAAATGTTGAAGCCATTGTACACGGTGTTCCTTTTATCTCCAATACAATATTATTTAGTTGTAAATTTAAATGTGTTTAATACATTATACAAAATAAATCAAACTCTTAAGATTAAGAGCTCTCTTGTTAGAATATTATCATAATAATCGTTCGCTAAAACATTTGGATTTTATGCGAATGTAACCCGTATATTATCGGCAATTTTTTTTAATATAATACGAAGCTGCGGATAAATACGTTTATTTTTAATATAATAACTAGGTACAGGAAAATAAAATAAAAAATAATGAAATCGTAATTACCGTAATTTGACCCGTTTTTCTCTAGTATTTTAGCAATTATTTTGAAAACTGCTAAAAAAATCAAAAAATGACCTTATAACCAGACATAGTTTACTTTCAGAAAAAATGCTACGCTTGAAGTTCTAAGGAATATTTTAGAAAAGTTGTTAACAGACAGAAAAAAATAAAATTATATAAACACATCATAGTAAAACCAATACGTCTCTTTGTCTTTCTCATCGTGACTATAGTGGTGTGAACATTTTTAAGCATTTTAATAAACCGACAAATATTGTTTATAAGTAAATAGTTTTCTAGGTGAATCTAAACACTGCCCATATAAGGTTATAAGATGGCAACAAACACGTTTATTTCTTTAAAAACACATACCTACTGCCTATAATATTAAACTGCAAACTTATAAAAGATACTTTTTGAAAGTATTTTGGGTACAAATAAAGGTATTATATTAAAAATTATTTTTCTTTAAAATACGTATTCCAGTATGCATATATTTTCAAAAATTATTTACAAATACTTCCAAACACGTTGTTATTTGTTTGTTTAATTTTTTTTTGTATTATTAAATATCAGTGCAATTTAAAATATTTAACTCTATTCAATTTCCAACATGATTCCATACAATGTGCATTAATTTAATATAATATAGAAAAGCCATTTGAAATATTATAGAAGTATTTAAAACAAATATTCGATTTCAAATACCTTTGGAATATATTTAGAAATACAATACGGTGTAATTTTCGTAATAGTATTTAAAATATGAATTCAGATAATTTGTATTTATATACTTTACAATAAGTCTGCGGTTAGCCATATTGAATTCAATGTATGAAAATAAAACTTTAGATCGACGCAACGCCCGGGGTCGCTACAAAACAAAAAACATTTCTGTTCCGAACGATTTTTATAACGCACAGCACGAAAAACGTGGACAAAGAAATAAAAGAATGAAAGAAAGATAATACTGCGGATAGGAAACAAAAAAAAAACATTTATTATTACGACGACGACGATGACGGAGATGATAGTTTTCGGGTGTAAAAACTAGCCGCAATCGAGATATCGAACGAAATAATGGCTCTTGTTTTTGTTCAAGAATGGTTTTTTATTATTTTTTTTTTTTTGACACCACCGTTTGCTGCGGATATCGAATTCCCGTGTATAGGGACCTACCCGTAAATACGCGAAAGCGCGCCCTGTAAATTATACGAGAATAATAATATCCGTTTCGGTTCATAAGTATACGAACCGAATAATGTAAAATTGCTTTCGTCGTCGTCGTTATATCCGCTCGTTAACCGACATCAATAATAATTGGTGCGCCTATAATACTTAAGTGCGTATTATTATACTAAATGTGGAAAATTAATCATTCTCGGCCGTACAATATGATAAAAGCCCCTCCTATACACGTGACGTACGGCTCCTCTCGAACAAGTGATGCACCGCTCTCGACCAACGGGTTTTCAAATATAATATAAACGATCCAGACTCGGTTTTCTTGTGTCGTACGACTTCTATACTATACTTTTAACTATATATACCTACGGTGACGGGCGTAAAATGAAGAAAACCACTCGAAACGTTGGTGAAAGAAAAAGGTGAGAACAGAGGGGAAGTGGGGAAGGTGAAGGCAAAAAAACGCTCGTTAAAAATAAATTACAGACTTCACGGAAGCGGATTTACAACGGGCGAGCGGCGGCGTTGTATTTTTCTGAACGCGAGAAGTGTCAAAAGCACAGGGCGCGTGTCCGTTTTCATTTACGCGGGTCGGAAATAGCTACGGGGGAAAAAGTCGTAGTTATATTATAACCTTGTGCGAGCTGTCTACAAAAAAAAAATAAACGCATTTCTCGAAGTGAAATATTGATGTCACCGTCACCACCACCGCTCCCGGTCACTTGACATTTTCCGACCCCCTGCCGACAGGACAAGAATACAAAAAATGTTTTTAAAATTTGTCAAAATGTGTATGTGTGTTTATGGGTGTGTGATCGAATGGACTCGATACGTAACTATACTCTAGAGTTTGGTTATTTAATATTTGAAAAATAGAATAATAAATTGTATAATAAATATCCTTGTCTGGTTAACTCTTACCTACCCCCGAGCTTATAGGCAATGGCTCTTTTCGAATCGAGCGCAGGGCTTAAAAACATGGGTTTCTACTTTTAAAAATCAATATGTACGAAAAGTAGTATAAAATAGCCACTCCTATAAGACACCAGCTATGCCTGTACCCGATCCTTTATATGTACATGATCTTGTATCTACTTATGTGACTGGTCCTGTGCCTAAGATTTGAGTGGCGATGGCAAAAAAAGAGCTATTAATGTGATGATGGATATTTTGAGCGGGACAATTGAATTGTCTACTTGTATAATTGGGAAACGATTCAAGTTAATTTATATTTTACCTTTAAAAAGTATGAGTATGTAGGTTTTTACTACATACATTTACGGCTGTACGTGCATAAAACATATTTGCTGTGATTGGTTAATATCAATGGCACGACCTTGGTTTATCAAAGAGTGATTAGACGTTCTTACCACATGATTAACAAACAATTTCTGGAACACACTCGTATAATATTAATAATTTAAAATGATTTACATCATGTTAAATTAAAATATGTCAATATACGAAAATTATTAAAGCTGTATATTTGGTAAATATAAAAACGGTGAATATTTGACGAATACATAAAAGTCAGAGTTCTCTTATGTGCCGTCTTTACGGGAGCAACGGGGAAAATCGTCCTCGTACTTTGATTTAAGGAGGTCATAGCTCCCGTACTTGAATTATAACGGAGGTAAAACGTAAAAATAATATTTCGCTTTTGTATATAAAAATGATTTGATTATTATTATAGTATTTATAGTTGATGAGTTTTGACATGAAAGTGTTCATCAAAACAACTTATTGTCTAATTATGACTAGAGATTAAATACCACGATTGTAACATTATATGTGTATAAATAATATCTATGTACAGCAGTTTAAATTTTTTATTTGCCCACGTGCTAAAATCTAAAAGTCGGCGCCTATGAGAATACTTTGAAAATACTCCTTGTTAAATTATTTTATTTTACGGTTTTAGAAGCCGACTCAACTATACAATTTTTGGCAGCCATTTTAATGATTTATTTTAAAATTGGAAGCCAATTTAATGGTGCTCATTGTTGGGTGAGGTTTGAATGACACCTCAAAACCTCAAGAGATCAAATCACAGGAGACCTAGAACCAGCTATTTTATAGTTTTATACTGCTTTGGAATAAGGATGAAATGTCAAAAATATATGGTATATACCTAACAACTGAAAAATAAACCGAAATCAAATTCATCTATAAGGCCTTAAATTGGTTCGTGATGTCAGAATATCAATGGCGTATTCATTAAATTAATTTATCGAACTAACCTAGTTATTTATTATTTTGTATAAAATACTATTTTCCAAAAACGTGCATTAAATTACCTATAGGTACATTGTTATCAGATAGTGGCTGTGATACTACGATTGCCGATAACGGAATACCGACCTGTGACTCAATCTGGTTATAACCACTGCAAAAATTGCATAACCACTCCGATTGATCAAAAAAAATGAATTACCTTGTAATAATAATTATTGTTATTATTACCAATTTAATATTATATAATGTGTGTGTGTGTGTGTGTGCTGCAGGTTTCGTCGGCCTTTACAGCAGCTGCTGCTGGTTAATACGCCACACGCGCGTATCCTAGTAATAAAACGTCGTATATTATGTCATTTTACGACCGGCCATTATCACAGTCGTGCTCACATGTATTGGTTAGGTGAGGTTAGGTTAACATTCGTTCAAAAAAATAAAAGTAACACGCACATGTACACGTAATATACACGAGTGTTTTCAGTTCTCGTCGTTCGAGTTAACGACGGTCCATAAACTTTTCCCGACGGGATACACCGTGCGTTTGTCCTCGTGAAACCGGCCGATTCCCACAGTAGAAACTCGAAAAATATACTCACTTTAACTAGTTATATAGGTACCATACTCTATCAGTTAGATACCCATACAGGATATCAGTAGGAAATTATAGAAAAAGACACAATTTTCCGAGTGGTCATATCGGCGCGTATCTTATCTCTATAGTGTCGTCTTCTTTTCAAACAGTAATTTAAACTTTTTTTTAACGTAAAACCCGCATTTATAATGTCAAACGTGTCAATCTCACATTATAATAAGCCAATGTTCGAGATGGTATGTGATATGGATGATATGAATATCGATTTATTAATTTCAAATTAATTTTTTTAATAACGGTCCAATATTGATAATAAAAATGCATTGTATGTATATTTACCATAATGCAAGCGAGGGCCTAGTTTCCTTTGGTACTAAATATTGGCGGCGTGAAATTTTCAATTTTACGTAGTAATTTTTTCATTTGATTGGTTGCGGACTGGAGAAATCTATTGCCAGCTCCGTCTTTTAAAAAGCTGATTTACCGCAATAAGAAATGTCATGTTCTTAAATTCTAGTAGGCCTGACGTGGCATATGTTAAACATTACCCTATCGTGTTTTGAACTTTTTGTGCAAATATTCGATAATAATAAGTTAAGTTTGTATAATAAAAACAGATCAAGTTTTCCATTTAGTAAAATGTTACCGGCTTTTTCAACGTCTAATATTATACAATTTTAAAAATCGGAAAACTTGTTTAGGTTATATTCTTCTTTTCCTTGTGTTCTACATTTATTTTCCTGGTTTTTATTTTTCCTTTGTTTCTTTAATAACTTCTGGTTTTTTAAAACGATTAAGTCGGAAAGAATAATTTATTATTGCTACCTACCTATGTAATATATTATAACATAAAATAAGCTACAACGGACTTTATATATGGTGTACCTACCCATGTATTTTTTGTTCACAATTAATTTTGAATATTCATGCAATTTTACCATGTAACATTAAATTACAATCAACGCTATACTATACGCCCCTTGGCTATACCTACCCTTCCCTATATCCCCCCAACCCTAGTTGAACATATTTTAATATATGGTACGAAACGCGTCAACGGTGAATACATATATGACTATACACTTGATCGAGTTCATAATCAAAAACCTACTTGAAAGGATGACTTTACACATGTATCCATTTAAATGTACGAAACGAAAATATCGAATAATATCGTTGGTTCTCCTCCAGTTAACGATAAATTTAATTGTCCACTAGGTACAGCAAAGATAGCTTAGCTGTTCGGTTCGGATCGGATTTGCGAGTCACCAGTCTAAAGGTTTCTAACGTTTCTCTAAATCACTACCCACAATCTAAAAATGCGATTATTCTAAAATCCCAAAATCATATTAATATTGTGTTTCCTATGCATACATATTTAAATAAAATTGTTTACACAAGGTGCCTATACTTATTCTCAAAAGTAATGTACATTCCACAAAAAATATATCAAAATGCATACGGTTTAGATTTCCTATAACATTTTTCCGACTTTCAATTTTAAAAGATCCATTATAACATACATGACCGTTCAAACGCGAGATGATAATCGGATATCGTTTGAAATATATATTTTCTTGGAGAAAAAGATACGTTTTATTTTTTTTTATTATATTCTAAATTTCAAGTCACGTTTTCTTTGATCTTTAAAAATAATAACGAACCTAAACCTTGCAAAAAAAAAAAAAAAAAAAAGAAAAGGAAGAAGCCGTTTCAAAATAAAGAAGAATTACTATTAATAATAATAATAATATTACGTACCTATAAACATATAAAAACATAATTTTAAAACAAAAATCAACAAAACAGACATTACAATAACTAATTTAGACGGTATTAAAATAAAACTGCATTTTCATTGTTATGTATTTTATAAGGTGCATATTTTTACGTTAAAGATTTATTAAATCATTAAATTTTTAAATGATTCATAATATGTTCATTAAATTTAGTGTTCCCCTAAATTTGAGATGACCAGTTAATTAAATTACAGAATCGAATTCTACCCATTAAATATGTAAACATCGGTTTATCAGTAAACCAGGACTTAAAAGTTCTATAGCCTATAGAGTATAATATATATTATATTTTTATTGTTTAACATAATATTACATTGAAAAATAGATTATTAACAGAATGTACATTTGATTCAATAGATTAAACGATTATATTTTATCACTTTTCTGGGAAACCAAGTTATAAACCTTCAAAATATATGTCTGCAACCCAAATGGGTCCTTAAAGTTATTTAATAGTCCATTTAATCCTATTATTAAATAAATTGAATATAAATGTTGTATGCAACTCAGCAAGCATCTATCTGAGCAAGTATCTAAATATACAATATAATAAAGCAAATGTTCCTCTAAATTTAAAAGGTATATGTGCACAGGTGCATCCCTATGTGATGGAGACGAAGTAGACAAACCCCATCGGTGCATGATATGATAAAGTTAAAATTAAAATTAGAGCGTTTTACAAGGCCTGAGAGTTGTTCATATGAAGTTATTAAGTAAAAACGGCCATGCACGTTTCCCATAAATGGGTATAAGGTTATTAGATTAGAGGAAATATTTTATCTTTAAGATGGTCATTAAAATGTTTTCAAATTTTCCAAATTGGAGACGATTTGAAAATTCGGCTCAGTGAACCTTATTATATAAAATACTAATTTTAGAAGCAATTTTGAAGATTTTTGATGAGGTCAGGTTAGGTTAGCCCCCCTCAACCACCACCCATGAAACTCTTACACGATTTTTCATTCCATTTCTCCCTCCTCCGTAGTATTGACTGGAAATCATGCCTTTATATTATATATAAGAAGCTAAATTTAAGTTACATACCTTTGAACTAAAAACTATATAATTTTAAAAGAAACGCGTGCAAAAAATATTACAGCCAATTTAACTTTCGTTTTTTTTTCCATTTGAATATATTTTTATTATTCTTTTTGAGGCCATAAAACAAACGTATAAATTATATATAACCAAGAAATATGAACTCGAAAGTTTGCGTTGAAGTCGTTTCGAAAAATAGCAACTGTGGTAAATTATTTATAATACGCTCGCTTTATAATTTCGCCTTTATTAAAGTCCGATCAAGTTATGCAATTGGTGCAGTTTATTAAAATAAAATTCATTGCTTTCATTTATTTATACATATTTTACCTGGTGAGACATCTTGGTATCAAAATAAAATACAATTAGAGTAGTATTCTCAGTTTTTTTTTTACAGTTATAGAATTTGAATAGATACTTAACATAGATAGTAATCTGTACAATTAAGTCAAATAAATACATTTTGTCTGTCAATTTTTTAGAAATTTTAACTTCAATAATTAAGTTAGTTTTAAATAACAAAATCGTATCGATTGTTAAAAAATATTTTTTAGATTCTTTGTGTATGATAAGGATAATAGTAGCGATCAAGTTATGGGTTAAATATGTATATTAACCATAATTTTAATGTTTTATATAATAACTAATAGCACTGAGTGTACCCCAGCAACAGCGCCATTATTATCACGTTAAATAAATTCCAATAATCGACTTATTTTAAAATTGAATAACAAATTATTTTCAGCACTTATGAAAAAAAATAACTGTAGAACGCAACTATTTGACTTACTTTTAATCTTTTAATTTTAATTCTATTGATTTAATTATTTTTCAAGCTAAACAAATTGAACGTAAAGTCCCTATTCCGACGCTCACGCTCTTTCTATAAATTGTTGACAAAGTATACACAAAATCGTAAACTTATTAATTTTAATCAAATTATCGAACCGTACATTTGTATAATAGTTATATTATTTTAAGTGTATCTCGTTTTTTAATAATTATATAACCCACGCACATTGTCCATATTTAATATTCAAAACGTATTAACGGAAATTCAAAATCGATAAAAAAGCAATTAGGTATAATTTAATTACATAATATTTTCCAGAATACATTTTTAAGAGTGGGTTTTTTTTTTTTTAATTTAATTAATTGAATAACTATAAAATGTTTGCCTCTATGTATATACAATGCATACCTAAAGTAACAAAAAAATTACACTTGACTTTGGTAATATTATTATGTTTGTATTTTTACCAACGCATGCAGTTTTCAATTAATATAAAATTGTTTACAAGCTTTATTATAACATTTATTTTCAAAATTTTTACCACCTACTCCTTAAATTTTACCTGAAATTGATATAAACTTTTGATTTTCTAACGGCAATTCCGTTTCAAAAAAAAAAAAAATAAGATATATTCTACACATTTTAATATTATGCATAACACTTTATTGGATATTATATAACCGTTCATAACTTCTAACGGTTTAAATGGTATTTCGGAAGATTATAGCGATGCGGGGTAATAAATGGCATATCCACAAATCACCTCATACACTCACGCATGACATTGTAAACTATATTATTATAATATTCCGTACGGTGATAAGGTTCTGCGAATATTTGTGTACCTATTCGGTTTTCAATTCGATTTCTCATTTTATAGAGCACACTATATTATTAGATATACAACAATATTCTTTTCTTTTTCCACGGGATGAATAAAGGACCCCTATAATAGAATAATATTGTGTTATGCGATGTATGTACCGGTGTCACGTCATTTACGTAAAGATATCGCACGCATATTATATACAAATCCAATATAGTTTTTCGAGGAAAATAAAACGAGAACGGAATTACAGACCCTTTTAAACATCATCAACCGTAATGTTCTTATTATTCTAAGTGCAAATTATTATCACTATGAAAAAAATAGTACATTTATGCAATAATATCTGTTCAGTGGTTATACTGCCTATATATGATAAAATTCACATAAAACCATACATATATGTATTTTTATTTTTTTAAAACCGCAGTTTTGCGGAAATTCATATGTTACCATATACAAAACAAAGATCAAACGTATAGCTGTAAATGTTTTATTTAAATAAAAGGGCAAAGTTATTTTTTTATTTTATTTTTTTTTTTTTTAGCGTTCTGACTGTAAACAATTTACAAATACTATAGGGAAATAATACAAGATAAGTTTATCGCAAATATTATGTCTGTCAAGTTATTATATAGATAGGGTAGGTGTTTACTTTTAAACGATTATCTTTGTGGATTTTTTGTAATAGTTAATTATTTTATACATACCTGATAAAAAGTAATAATCATTCTGATATTATTTATAACAATTCAGAATAATAAATAATTAAGGGATACAAACAACCGGATTAACTGTACACCATGCTACTGTTTTATTACATGAGAAGTTGGGAAGGAATGGGATACAAAATAATTTGATTTCTATACCGGGGACAGCGATAAATCTTTGTTATCAAAAAACAATCCTGAGTTAAGCTCGATAAACTGGTATGACCGTAAGCAGGGACACCATTTCAGTTTTTCATTGAGTGCAAACATTTTAAACAGGTCAATTTTTCTGAGCATTTTTTGTTCGCTTCACTCGCTTATATTCGTATTTCCACTTTACGTTTTAATATTAAAATACAAAATTATTTGACATTACAATAACATTGATACTAAACTATGACATGAGTTTCGACGAGCATTGTTATCTTGCTGGCATACCTGTTAATTTAGCCATGATAACAATTAACAGTTGACAATTAACCATGGTAAAAATTCCCTATGTTTCATTCTCATATCACAGACTGTCGGACTCCGGTAGGGGCGGCTATTGACAATGATTCGATTATCTTATGCATTTTACATATGATCAACAACGGCCCAATTATAACAAATTATGCGAGCCAAAAAAAAACATTTAAAAACATAGGACTGCCAAAGTATAATTTGAATCCCTTAAATGACACCCCTGACTATAAGTCGTTATTTATTATTAACCCTTTATACCTACTCAGAAATAAAAAAAAAAAAAAGTTTCGTAATCTTTTGTTGTCAGTTTTTTTTTTTTAATTTGTCTAAGAAACTGATAAGAATTTGTTTAAAAGTGTTCAAATAAAATACCGTCAAGTAAAAAATCTACATATTTTAAAGTATGATGTAACCGATTCAATTTTTTTACTAGGTGACCGATAAAGTTTTTTCCAAAAAAAATTCAATTAAGTGTAAATAATAGCTTCTTTGCTATACACTAAAAATCAAAAATCAAAAATTATTTTATTAAATTCACGAAATACTATACCAGTATTTTCAGAAAACAAAATAAAAAATGTGAATTATATTCGGTGCTTAGCAAGGAAGCTATTGGGTTTACAATGCTGTTTATTTCTTGTTTTTTTTCTCTCTGTTCTAGTCTGAGGACACGTTTTTTCCTAGTAAACTTGCTTTGATGTAAAAGTGTAGCAACTTTTATAAAAACTCAAGTCTTTTAGATTGTACTTTTAAAATGTCATTTTTTGATTTTCGACACAATTTTTTAAATAAAATTACTTAAGTTGGAAAAAACAGGAAAACGTACAATTTCACAATTTCATTATTTTATAAAAACACGAACGACGTTTTCTACCAGAAAAAATTATTTAATAAAAAAAATCACAAGATACCTTTTTTGTTGCCTTTTTGATTTACTTTCTGATGGTATCATTACCAAAACTTCTGAGCCACTTTTGAGCTCTTAAGGAATTTTAATTTTTGGTAGTTTTTTTGCTATAATTTGGTTATAAGTACACGTAGACTTGAAACTTGGTAATAATACTTATATTGGACTTACCTAAACATAGTAAAGTTTCGAAAATCATCGGAAGACTTTTTTTTTTTTTTTTTAATAAGAGTTTTGAAATCAAATTTAAACGACAATCGCAAAAAAAAATTACGGCACTTCAAATTATGTATCACCGAACTGCGCTCAAAATCATTTTTCGTCAAGCAATGGTTTATCATTGCTTACAGATATAAATGAAATAACCTTATGTATCCTACCTTCCCAACTTCTCACCTATAACAGTGGCCGCTCCCATCCCCTGTATCAGTTCAATTTTTTTTCTTTTGTTTTTACTATATACACAATAAAACAATATTTTACTCTGTGACTCATTGTATGTGTTTGTGTTTTTTTTAAAATCGTCAACTTTGGTGTTATTATTTTTTTTAAATGTTAAAGTGCACGAGCATTTTGAAGGAAAAAAAACATAACGGAGGAATTTTGTTAGTGAATGTATAAGATACAAAACAAATATTTACGTTTAGTATTTCCACAAAAAACACAATATAACATTTTGTTAATTCCGCAAAACTCCCAGTAGGTATTTACTCGTATATATATATATATATAAATGTATAGAAAACCAATACGAAAATTTATAAAAATAAATAAAAAAATAAAAATCGAAAATTAACAAAATTACTTTTATTTAATAATCTGCAGTATAAGTACGGAGAAAAAGTTCGAATAATTTACAGGAATTTATACAAATTATCATAAAAACATAATTTATAATCCTGAGCAAACATAATGTAATAATTGAAAATATTTACCGTCTCAAACACAATAATCTCACAATTATTTTTATTTTTATTTCTCTAGAAAATCTTCAGTATTTGAGATTGGGCGACAATAATTTACATTCGATACCGAGCGATTCGCTCCGTCGTTTGCATAGACTCAGACATTTGGACCTCAAGGCTAACAACATATCGTTCATCGCCGAAGACGCTTTCACGGGTTTCGGGGATTCGATCACGTTTTTGAATTTACAAAAAAATGAGTAAGTATTTAATATAAATTACCAATCAGAATGTCTAATAATTAATAATAAAATAATATTTATTTACTATATTTGTCTAATAATTGTGTACTAATAATATAATAACTCTCGGTCGCCGACGGATATAAATTCGATTCTATAATACTTTGTGCCACTTTTCTCAATTATTCGCACTTTATTTAGATTTGCGCACTATGGTTCTCCGAAACAGTCGCTTTTCTCACTTTTATTCTATTATTATACCGTAAAGAATGAAATACATTATATATTTTAAAAAAAAACCGAAATTTTAAATTAATTTTTAACTAAATTACATGAATACGTAGTCTTTTGGAAGAAAAAAATATTCATTGCGTCCAAACACAGGTTTTCAAACAAAATATTAAGTGAAAAACGTACATCTAAAAATTGTTGGAAAACCATTTTGAAACAGTTTTCGACGTTTTTTTTCTTTACCACAACTCTAAAACTAATGGTCGCCAGAACTATTCTTCACAATAAAAACATGGTTAAGCTCTAAATTGAATCTATCTTCTTCCTTTGCTCTACAGTTGATAAAAACTAAAGAGCCTTTGTGAAAACTATTATATTTTTTCCTAAATCTGTTACCTAGTTGAATAAGGTCTTCTTTTACTTCATCCCTCCATCGCTTTCTAGCTCTACCTCTTGGAATCTTGGATCATCCCGGTTGGATTATAGCCGATCGTTATTTTTTATTCTTTCCGTGTTCTCACTTTGAATTGCCATACCATTCGTTTCTTTGACATTTTATCAAATTTTGTGTACCTACCCCTTTTTGCAGCTCTTTATTATCGTATTGCATTATCCATTTTATTCCTTCTCGTATCTAAAAATAAATTTATTTATGCCAAAATAAAATTAAAATTCATATTTCACAAAATTTAATTATTTATTTTTCTGTTTAGTATCAAAACTTTACCGATGATGGCTTTCGAGAATTTGAACTCGCTGGAAATATTCAATCTTCAGAACAATAAACTGACGCGAGTACCTGAAGAAGCGCTCGAAGCTATCGTAGACACAGCCACTGTTATTGATATAATGGGTAAGTATACAATATATATATATATATATATATATATATATATATATATTTATACATACATGAAATACGATAACGGTAGTTATAACTCGGATCAAAAGTTTTTCGGTGGTGTGTATCAAATATCTGTAATATTGAAAAATAATAACTTTAATAACGCATGTAATACATTTAATTAATATTTTCTTCATTAAGAACCGGATTATTGTAAAAGTATAAAAGACGGAGATATTTTGCATCAGGCGTGGTCACTATTATGCACCCATAATAGAGATATTGGGAAAGTAGTATATATAGGTTAATAATTTAATTTTTATCTATATGCAACGATGAATCATTGCTAATTAAAAACGATTCTGAGCAAATATTGGTTAATCATCTTATGATAGACTTAAAGTGAAAATTGTACAAATTTGGAAATGGCAAATGTTTTTTTTTTTTTTTAATTTATATTTTATAAACATATATAAATAAAAATATTGATTAATTAACCCCAGGAAGCATAATTGTACAAAATAAATTATAATTGTCCGTCGAGTTTTTGAGAATTTATATGAGACCAAAAATGTTATGTTCTACGATGAAATTCCGTGTGATTTTAACAATATTTATTAAATTTTAATTTAAAACATTAACAATAACAAATCATGAGTTTTGATTTTTGGTATTTTAATAGTGCCGTAAGAACAACTTACATCATGAAACTTGTAATACATTTCTAAACATTTTTGAATTGCGAAAAAATGATACTCACATAAGTCCATATAAAAACTAAAAAAACTAGAAAATTTCAAATAGCTATAGATAACTCAAAAAAACGTCAGAAAGTTTTGAAAATACGCCAGTTAGACAAGATTTAACACCCCTGATGATCAGTGCAAAATGTCTGATAGAAAAGTTATTCGCTAACAAACAAAAAATAGCGCACTGTATGCCAAAGTCTTAATCGTAATTAATAATAATTATATAGGTATTATCTAAATACTATTTAGATTGCATCGTTTTGAAATCAAAATAATTGTTTTCCTTTTCCACGCCGTTGAAAATAATGTTAGGTTATAAATCTAAACATAGCAAATATTTCAAAAACAATATCTAGTGACAATATATTTTACCCTAATGCATTTTGAAAATAACAAAATATCTATTCCGAGATAAAGGAACATACTGTAAGTAGGTAAGGCACTGATAATAAAAAAAAAACATGAACGAACCCTATAATAATATTAATGACCACAATATTATTCGTTTCGGGCGCCTCTGCATCCGTAAATCGGTAGATTCGGTTGGACAGAAAATGACCCTTTTCGCAAAGTGTCCCACAAAAGTCTTATTCGTTTCAGATAACCCGTTGATTTGTGACTGCGAGCTACGCTGGTACAGGGATTGGCTGAAAGAATTACGGCACAAGGACGACGATGACATTATCCAAAAGAAACACATACTGTGCCTCATGGAATCAGAACACAGGTTTGTATGATATTTATTTTTATTATACTTGAATCGATAACACGGGTTACGTTGACCTAAATAGCATTTCAATTTTTCCTGGACGTAAATAAAGAAAAATATAAATTAATAAAAACAGGTATTGTCAAAGACCATAAATTCATATCGTGGACTTTTTGATATAGACTGGGTCAATACCCAGTACTGGTATTTAATATTTAAAAGTCGCTAACTGGGAAGTTTGAATACTTCTGCAGGTGTGCTGTGGTTATTTTTTAAATGTTGAAAGCTACGATAAATCTCCGTGTCCAAAAAACAGTTTCGAACAATGCCCAAAATATTTATTTTGTTAAAAACTCGAATGTCGTAAATTTCACCGACTTTTCATTCATTTATTTATTTTTCTTTTTTACAGTACTTTTTTCCGACACCCAAGGGGAAACCTTTGTGAAAAATTACCTCTCTAAATACGTAAACAGTATAGGTATCAGCGATTGTTAATTTTTGCCTACCTAGTACCTATGTACATTTTACTTACGAAATTTTTTCGGGTGTTTTACCGTTTCAAAAGACATGTGTTTACACAACTGAGTGGATAAAAAAATTGAATGTATTATAAAACGAAGTAACTATAGGTGTATACTTGGAATCAAAGCTACGAAAGTGGTGACAACGGTATCTCAATACATACGGAATTACATTTCAGAGATAATATGTCACTCGTGCGATATTTTATCTTCTTCCAAAATCTCAAAGCCATTAATCACACGACTACAGTGTTCGAAAAACGATTTTGGGCGTAAGTATTAAGTGCGAATTCGATCGTAAATCTATAGTCGTAATTTGTGATTTTCAGTCAAATAAAACGGAAATCAAGCGAATAGAGGATTTTGTCCGAATGAGGGTTTACAAAATATTATTTAAGTAAACTTATAGTATTTATCTATTGCATTTAGCCAATAAGCCTGCGAAAAAAATGTATTTCAAAGACTAAAAATAAATCATATTATCATCAAGTTCTTTCAATCCTAAAAAATATCATGTTCAAAAATCCATAGTGAAATTTTGACTCCCACTATACGAAAGGGTGTCCCACCAAACGGTGGGTACCTAAACAGGTGATTTTTTTTTTTTATCATGATTTTAAGTGAATTTGATTTCTGTTTTTTTTAATTATTTTGGATTCATCGTTTAAGCTTTATTTTAAAACCACTTTTAATTTTTACCTCTACTAGATATATTTTCTTCCTATTTGAAAAAGCAATGTGCATACTTATTTAAAGTCCATGGCGTAAGGATTAATTATTTACTCCATTAATATGGTTTAAAAAATAAAGCTTAAACTTTTACACAATGATTAAAAAAAAAAAAAAACAGAAATAAAATGCACTTAAAATCCTCTAAGAAAATTGCTTATTTACGATGAAAATTCACTCTGTATATCAATTATAACTTTTAGCTACCACCGAAGTTATTTCGACGTACTGCAGACGAAACCAAACGTTTGGATAAATACATATAATTACAAACGTTTTGATTACGAATTAGTATTAGTATTTTATACACAAATCGGAACGCGTGCCTTAATTCGCAATACCATAATATTTCCTCGAAATTTATAAATTAGGTTTGGTTCCATATAAATAAAACCTTAGTGTCAGTAGACTATACCTTTTACATCATTTGCCTGATAAAAAAAAATCAGAAACACTTAATACTCAAAAAGGGATGACGAGGGAAGAAAAAATATATTTTCTTTTTTTCACTTATATTAAGTCGTATTGGTATTATGGTAAAATTAATACTCTTTCATTAATATTTTTTTTAAATCAAAAAATATTTTTTTCCCAGATTCTTTGTCTTTTTTAATCATCAGATGTTGTCCGATTAATTTTTGCTCAAAACACAGTCTACTAATTAATAGGCCTATGTAAACTACATAATATTATACAATATTATATGCTTGTTCGCTGATAAAATAATTTCTCGATTAGAACTAAGTGTAAAACGCATATTATTATTATTATTGTGATGGTAATACTAAAATATGCTCGAAAGATTTTTTCACATTAGTTTTAAATCTCTTCTCAGAGAATTTGATCGAATTTACTTATACTATATATGATTTAAAATAATAATATTCTCTTTGTGCGTTAATTTTAGAGGTGTATTTCAAATCTGAAACCAGATTTATTGGTAGGTATCTACTACATATTTTATCTTTATGGTAATGTTATACGTATAATATAAAATAAAGAAGAAAATATTTTTAAACAAATATGGTAAATGTATAGTGTAAATATTTTAGTTTTGTTTTTTAAATTTATAAGCGGGGAAAAAAATAGAATGACGCGATAAAGAAAATCCGAGAACAAGCATAAAATTTGCATAACAAATCTATAATGTGCATACGAAATCGCGTGGTGTTTCCTTTGAAATTAATGATTTGTCACTCTTATAAATGGTAATGTGTTCCGTATTAAAACAAAAGTGCAAAAAAAAAACCAAATCTCCGTTGCAATAATAATAATTTTAAAATATCAACATGATGTAAGTGCCTATTCAAGTTTTTTACAAACACGATAATTAATACGATGATAACGATCGAATTTCATGTACGTAACGCGTTTAAAGTGTGTCGGGTTTGCGTAATTTGTTTTATTTTTTAATCATAATACATATTTCATAATGCCAAAACTCCATGCAAAATGTTATTGTTTCTAACCTAAATTCAGAAACTGTAAAAAAAAAGACTACGGAAAGCTTAAATATAGAGAATTCTAATCCTAAGCTAGAGTATATGTAACATAAACGATAGGAAAAAACAAAAGTAATAGAACACTTTGGTGAGTGAAGAACAGGGCCACAGGCAGAGTGAACAAGCTTTGAAAAAGTGGAGACATTCAAGTACCTTATTGGAGTAAATTAATTGAACCAAAACAGTGATTTCAATTTCAAGTATCTACTTTTTCTATTCCTTTGTTGTATTAAATAGGTGTAACGTTATAATACATAATAAATTAATATCGTTTACTGTAATATAGTATTATTGCTAAAATATCGACGATATAAGAATGTATTCAGAATAGAAAGCCCTCTGGAAAATCCGAGGATAAAATTAAAAGACGTTGTAAAAAGTATATGGAACCTTTTAAGAGGTGATTTTGGCGATGTATATGTAGAGATAGCTGAGTGATCGGTCGCAGATTGGATGGTCTAATAAACCTCAAAAATAGTAAGAATCATTATCAAAATATCAAGAGAACTGCGTAGCACGTCCGGTATTTAAGTGGCGAGTTGCAATTTTAACGAAACTATTTAAGAAAATAGAATTATAGGAGTATTTCGCATTTAATATCGTAGCCCCGTAGGTACCTATACAATCCAATTAAATAGGTCAATTAATTCCGCCATAATATTATACGCCACGAGTCGAGACACCTTTTGTTTGTAAACGATTGAAATATCATTGGAAATAATTACATTTCCATACAGACCCGAATTTCATATTTTAATTACGTCGTTCTACCTATATAAAAACATAATATTAAATTGCCTAACCTTTGGACGTACAATAGATATTTTTTTAATTTCTTATTAGGACGACCGTTTGTTTTTGCAAAACCTAATCTTATAATATCAACAGTTTTTACACGTTCACTATACAATTATATATAATACACGTATGTAATTAAATTAATAGACAAATAAAAAATGTTATAAATTAAATATAGATACTTTCAATTAAGAGTATTTGCGTTGAAAATACCAACGATATAATATAATATTACGGACGCATGTGCAATGAAAAATATACCCTTTCTATTATACTTATGACCAGGCTGCGCATTCGGACTTGAATCGAATTGACAGTAGGTGAGTACTGCAAGACTTAATAGCACATACTTCTTGGCCGTTTTTACCGTTCGGCTATAATAATAAATGTACTTACCTCGAAATATGCATGGATTATATAAAACTTTCAGCGATGGATAGTATCACAATTTTTAAAGATCCGATAGTGTATAGTCATTGTTTTTAGGGCAATAAAAGATTGATGTAATTTTTTTTTCGCTATATTTAAACCATTATAGTACCTACCTAATACTAATTAACTACTGTATTATGAAATTCAATATAACCATAGAACACATTTCATTTAGGAAACCACGCGATTAAAGTTATAAATATACCGTTTTTTAAATAATGTTTCTAAAAATGTAAAGATATGTCTCTTCTGGTTTCAAGATATGTACGTTTTTAACAAAGTTTTTAGTATTTACACTGATTCAAGCAACCGGTTATTTTTCGTTCAAATAAAATACTATCGGAAAATTCGCATATTTTATGTTATCGCAAACAAATTTTCGGAGGATTTCTTTTTTTTTTTTCCGGACAGATTCGCAATGTGTTGTTCGAAACAGATAGGATTCTTGCTGTATCAGTGACGAAACGATCGCGTTTGCTTCTCGGATATTTCATACAAATTATTAGGGATGAGTTCTTGGTGTTCAATATGAAAACCATCAAATATTAATACTATAGTTAACTACTATTTTTTTATTCCTATTATTATCATTAAACATAGGGTAAAATATTAAATATTCGGTGGTTGGATCAGTAGGTGGATTATAGGTTGTGCTTGAGTTATTTTAGATTTGTTTCGCCACTGCGGCTATAGAGAAGAAATCGTATTACAGATTTACAGCCCATCCGGATGACATTATTTACATACCGAACCGTAGTGCAAAAACGACTACAATACAAACTATTCAGTACGATTATTACAATATTCATAAGAAGAATGAGTTGGAGCGTTTAGACTCTGATTAATAATAATATTATTATAAGACGTTTTCGGCCTGATATAAATATAACAACAACATATTCAAGTGAATATTTTTTGCCTCGAAAACGTTTAAAACTTGAAGGCCTGCGATATTTATTTTAATTTTAATTTTATGTTTATTTCAGAAAATAATAATGCACCCCACTAAGCATGCTCGTTTGGAGGCCCATTAAAACTTAGCGTTCATCTTAATTGCATTTACTATTTATTACATTTATATTAAATAAATGATAACAATTTTAAAACATGTTAGATCATAACTTATAATCTATGTTTGTTGTTCTTCAATAACATACGAGTTAATATTAGATCTAAATATACTTAAAACTATAAAGACAATTCTTTCATTAAATCCACAGTTTGTTTAATTAACCAATTATTTAAGCATATTTTTTAATGAGTTTACAGCTTTTATTATTGCGTCATTACTTATATAGTTATAATTATTTAAGTTATGTGTTATTTAATTAAATTCGTAGATTTTTTTCTTTTACTTTGTACAGTGACTGATTGCTTTTTAACTATTATTTGTTGTTGTTTTGTGCTTTTTTGATGTCAAATTCGTAATATGTTATTTTGGCTCTCCTAATAGATTGAGTAGGAACATTTCTAAATTTATAAAAGTAAACTTTTAATGAAGCATTATCTGAGTGATTTTTAGTCTGACTATGTAGATAATCTCTACGTCGTATTGATAAAACAATTGCTGTGATAAACCCGGGTTTTATTTTCTGGTTCTTAATGAAATTTGCATTATATCAGTTGATTCAGCTTTTAAGGTAAATAATTGATTTATGAAATCTTCTGTGACTGTATTTACATCCGGATTATTTAGTATTTTGTCCCAATCTTGTTTTGAAAGTTTCTCAGAGAATGAATTTTGATTAAATGTATGAACTGTTTTTGAGTTTGGATGATTTTTTCGGATGTTTGAGGTATGACTGATATTTAATATTTTAGAATAATGATCTGTAATTGTTGTGTGGGTGATATATAATAAAGTATTTTAGTATAATAGGTGGTGTATTCTGGTATGCGAAATCTATTAGGGTCAATATCCTGTAAACTAAGCCAAGCCTCAGTTAAAATAATAACGTAAATTTAAAATTTTGCATTATCAATATGAATGCATAATTCATCAAAATTTTAGATATGCTTCGTATGTTAAGTAATAGAATATTCATTGGATATGTATTGTTTAGTTTTTTATTGAAGTTTAACCAAGTTCCACTGAATATTTCGTAATCGTTAAAATGTATACTACAAAATGTTGTACTATTATCGAATGTCATCATTTTTGAAACGAAAAGTTTTACATACTTATTGATTTTGTTGTAAAATAAATAGGTAACAACAAACTACTGTGGTCTAACATTCGATAACATACTACCGTAAAAATCAATAATAAATAACTTAACTATGACTATATTATTTACATTTAAAGATGTGATAAACGTAATGAGTGATTTATAATAAGTAATGTGATCTAATATCATAAATTGATTGAATGGAAATATTTGTGCATACACATATTATACAATAAACCTTAGATAATAATGTTTAATTATAAATGCGTATATGTTAAATTCTAATATAACTCTCATTAGAGTTAAAAGACAATTAGATTGATATCTCTGAGTGGTATGGAAATAAATATAATGAATGATGTTTGAGTTGAGATTAAAAGCCATTTACAAAATTGAAAATAATATTAATTTAGGATAGTTACAATATACTTACAATTTATCAAAATCTAAAATATTTCGAATGTTGATGATTTTAGAGTTTTCGGTTTTTCTTATCAGAAGTCGTTAGATATCCATATATATTTGTATTCATATATAACTTGTCTTGTTTTGGCGAGTAATATTCTCTTTTACCTGGTTAAATATTAATTTATGAAGATTTAAATATTGCTAAACTAATTGTTAACTATCATATTTGCATTCAGTTGTTTTGCTTTAGCTGCAAGTTTAAAATTTCTTCTAACTTCTTTGCTTTCCAATTTCGCAATTATTACGCGATTATTTAATTTTTCTCTTATTACTCTAACGGCTTTTGGGGCCGTTAACTCAACATAACATTTTTTCCTAATTTCAATTACTATATTAGCACAATTTTTATTATCCGGTTTTGGTGTTTCAATTATATCCATTTTTAAATGTTATGTATTGAAAAAAATTTATTTGCATTTCAGAAATCTACAGAATTTCAACAGCGCACTAACGATAGCGATTATATTAATAAAAATTACGTGAAATTGTTTTGTTTCTACAGGGAGTATAGCGTGCTGAATTTGCCGGTGGATCGAATGAACTGCGTGGGGAAAAAATACCAGTCGTCAGCCAACGGAATCGGCGAGGCTCAGGTCCTGTCACGTCTCCTGATGGTCTCCGTCTTCGTCGTGCACCGGTTCAAATGATCACCAAAACACATGAAAATGTCTTAACCCACCCACACACACACACACACACACACGCATGCATGCACGCACGCACACAAACCATAGAATTAAATTTTACATACACAGCCGCCTCGCGAAACACCCGAATGTACATACACCTATTAAACGTTTATAATGTCACTGTTAATAACATGGAAGCAATTAGAGAGGCTAGCCCTCCAAAATCTCCCAAAATAAAAAAAAACTGCACTTAAATTAACATTTCATTTTTTAATGTTTTTTTGTTCGTAAACATTGTGCGTATCCCACGAAATATCTCTCCCGAGTTAAAAAAAATTAAACCGCGTCTATGTAAATTCAAATAACTATTTCAATGCACGAAAAATTCAAAACAATAATACATTAACACACAGTTTTTTGATCTAACCGGATACAATATTAACGGCACGGGACGTCCGTCTTTCGCTTCTCGTCCGTCATTTTTATTTTCGTTTGCAGGTTGGGTACAATATTATAATTATGTTGTATATTAGCCGGCAACGACGTTAATTTTGATATTTTTTTTCGTATACATATATATAACATTTTTTCTCAATTCAGTCTGCCATTAGGACTTATTGCCGAAACATATCAAACACATATCCGTAACTCGTATTAATATTATTATTATTAATATTAGTATTATCATAAATATTTAAGTAAGTATCTAAGTATCAACATAATAATATTATTAGTTATTAATTATACATTAAAATTAGGCTTTTTTATAAAAATCTACTTGTATTAGTAATTGTAGTAACAGTGTTAAAGATCCAGACTTAAAAAAATATAATTTTATTATTATATGAATATTACTCTAAATTATAATCGAATCAAATCCATCAGCCGTTTTACAAATTCGAAACACGTAGTTTATAAAAATACGTCTGTCCCCCCAATATTTAGTATATTTTGAAAAAACTGCATTGTCATCCACGAAATATCGTCATTATTATAATATTGAATATTAAAACTAAACGTTTTCCTGAAATATACGGTGGGTGCGTAAAATTAAGTATTTACTAATCTACAAGTTATAGATCGCCTGCTGTATCGTCGAACTACACAAACGAAAACAAAAATTAATTATTTTTGTCTAGAGTCGAGGATCAATTGATGTTCACTGGCACTTGGCTGCTGGCCACGGTGGCATATTATCGTACCGTTAGAACTATTAGTGTTGTAAAAGCGGTATTCAAGCGACGTCGATTATCGTATAATGTATCCACAGATATAATATAACATGTTGATAACATCAACGGATAAACTGATCACTATAAGTCTGTAACCCAAAAGAAAGAAAAGTTGAAATCTCGAAAATTTCCCGGTAAATCTTGGTTGCTGGACGTGACCAAGATTATAACGACTAGCCATTAAGTATACCGTCTAAACTCGTGAAATGCAATTTTGAATTATACCGTTTTTTCCTGTCGTAAAATTGATACCGTGATGCCGTAAGATAATTAAATTTTTTTTTTTAAATACGTAATTTTACTCGTAAACAATAAAAATCCAAAATTTTATAACCATAGATAAAACATTTTTTGACCCATTTAAAAATGCATAAAATCTCTAAACTCGTTTTTCTCAAAACGCGGCATTTCAATTTACGACACTAACGCGTTCTGATAGTACGATATTATTATACTTGTGTTAGGTATAAATGCTTTACATTTTGCACATCATCGCGTCATGTTTCCCGATTGAAATGGGGTTTTTCTTTTTTAAATTACCTCTGGTAGATTCGCGTAGAGCATTATAAGAACAAGAGTTGGACATAAGTATAATATTATAATAATATTTAGACGTCGTCAATCGCTTAGGTAGCACATGCATTGGTTAAATTATTCGAAAAATAACGTATACAGGTATAATTACGGTAGGCTCGCATAGTGTGTAACGAAACTTATTCATAACCATCGTTTAGCACTACGACTTAGTTACGAATATTTACTACTATTTTATAATATTATGTTATTATAACGCGTTACATATGTTTATAACAATTATAAATTAATCATAATATTATGATAACAATAATTATTAAGCTTACGAAAAAAAAAAACCATTCGCTATACATATCTTAATAAAAATTACGTAAGTATAACGGATGCTATGGATGCCGTGGCGATTCTTCGCAAAACCTATTGCACTTTTGGGACGTTTGTGTTGAATATACCAAACCTAATCTACTTATAACCATCATCGTAGAAAAAAAAAAAAAACAAAAATGTCAAATAACCATCCGTGTGTGACGTGTCAAAATGGTCGTTATGGGCATAGACGTCTCGCGGGGTTTAGCGAAGCTTTCACCCACCCACCGTCCGATTACAGCATTCGTACATATTTTTATATAGGTACGATACTTACGTAATTTTAAGTATACATTTACATAATTAAGGTGATTTACGAGTTTATGCATAACTTTTTATTAATACTTTATAATATTAATTAAGATTTTACTACTTATTACTTATTAGAAAAAAATAACAAATATTATTAAATACCTAATTAATAATAGTTTTATTATATCATCAGATACATATCTATAAAATGCATATCCAATTTTTTTAAATGTTTAATCATTTTTTTTTTTTTTAAATTATTATTATCATATATTACTACTATACCTACTACTACTACTTACTATACTATTATATTTATTATATTACTATATTATTATCATACGCATATTTATTAATTTAAATGTTGTTGTATTTTCATATTAATAATATTATTATTACTAATATCGTGGAAATTATTTAGTAGCGTTTATTATAATATAGGTAGTGTCAATATATCATACCCCAAATATTATTAAAATGCATTTACGTCACGTATACAAACCCGTATATTAAGATCCATTCCCAAACTATTATATTATTATTAAAAAAATGGAGTAAGGCCATGTTTTATGTGATTTTTTCTCTTTTGAAATAAATAATAAAAAATTTTTTTTCCAAACGTGTTTTATCATTGTTTTGTATTTATTTTATAGTTTTATTTGCTTTACACTTTTAATAGTTATAAGCAATTTGAAATTTCCACCAAATCCGGAACGTGGTTCATCGCGTCCTCCGAATCTGCTCTCCCGTCTTCGGAAGTCTTCGTACACTTGATCTGACTAGATCTGCAATTTTCAGGGTCTTTTTCTTTAGGGACGGTTGGTTTATCGACCTGCAGTACATTTCCAAGTATATACTCCCCTCCTCGCTATAAATGACTAACCCACCATTCTATCAGCTCAGAAGTGTTTATTTAAGTAACATTTTAGATTCGGAGCGTAGTGAGGTAACATTCCATCATTTTAAATGTTTACACTTTATATATTTTACCAGAAATATTGCATTAATACAAAAACAATAAAAGACCTAATTTGTTGCATTTTTGATCACGTTGGTGATTAAGAAAGTTTTTTTTTATTTTCCGTATATTTTTTTAAATAATTGAGCAAAACCCAAAAAAAAACTTAGAAATAACGGTAAAATTTAAAAAAATAATACTTTTTATATTTTCAATTTTGTTTTTTTATTATAATTCAGTTAAAAATATTCGTAGACTTGAAATTTTGAAAAACAACTTATATTTGCTTTTTCTAGACGCGCTAGCCTAAGACAAAAATGCTTGAAAATTTAACTAGAGATTCACCATAAATCGTATGCTTAGTGGTAAAAAAAAAAAATCGAGTGTAATGTAGTTTTTTTTTACAATAGTTTTAGTATTAAACTTATTTATGACTAAAGACAACTATGATCCATCTAATATGGAAGTTGGATGGAGACTAACAAATAGAAACTGTTTTGTTTAAGTTTTTCTTGAAACATTTCAAAAAAAATTGATGCTAAGAAAAAAACAAATTTTACAAATATTAATTTCCAAGTAGGTATTCACGCGTCATGTTCTATTGAAAATATTGCCATTTTTTCTACAGCTACAACTGTCGAAAGGAGTTTATCGACACTAGGTCAACTAAAAATGTTCTCTAGAAATCGACAACAAATCAATTTATATTTACCTAGTTGTCTTACATATTTTTAAATTTATGTCACAAAAATATATAATATTAAAAAAAATTAATACAAAATAATAGTACAAAAAATAATCCTCTAACAAAGTTGAGACAAGTCTAGTGGTATAAATTGGCCCATTGTGAAAACAATTTCTTTGTATGCCACTGACTTCTAAATCTATGATTTATCTTCTTTTATATAGACATTATTCATTAATCAAATAATTATAATTATAATTAAATTAATAATGTTTAATTTTTCGTCTATGTCTCCTTCGCATTATATACTCGTATTATTGTTAAGTAATGGTAATACAGACATACAGTGTAATATAAACAGACAAATATAAAAACAATAACTTAAAGGCACACATGTGTATTGTTGGTTGTCAATTATTAATTTATATGTTATAAAAGGTTAGGAGGGCAAATTGGGTTGAGTTTGATTATTACAAGGAACGCTAATTTGTATTTATTTTTTTAAGGGTCATAATCTCTCTTCTTTTATTTGTCCAATTTAAGCACCGTGGGTAACAAAAAAGTTTTTACAATTTAAAAAGACGTCCTAGGATAAATGGTACGGGTGCAGCTACTATAATAGATAAATTAACGTACACCTGTAAACAACCATTATTTACGAAAAAGCGATTCTGATCGGAGTTCAGTTGATAGTGTTGCTTTGTCAACAATATATATATATCATTTTGTAGTAAAATAATTAAATAGGCTTTATGTGTTTTCTTTAATAATATAAGTTTAATGTTGTACCGATTTTCACAGTTTTCCTACGTTTTTCTAGGTTTTCTCGTGTTTTGTCCCGGTTTTTCACATTTGTTGAGAAAACTCCCAGGAAAATCGATAAACCACCTTTCTTAAAGTACATCTCCAGTGAAATTTCCTTTTAGAAAAATTACTATCATTATAGGTTGGAGCAAAATTGCTAGTATAAAAATTGTGCACAGAAAAAAAGAAGGCCGGAATATATTTTAACTAATACCTACATTTTTAATGTTTTCCCGTTTTTTTTTTTTTTTCAATTTTTTTAATTTAATTTAATGATAAAACTCCTGAGAAAATCGAAAAATTACCTCTTTAAAATACCTTCCCACGCCTTTCAGAAAAGGTGCTACACGTAGAAATACAATTAAGTCTGGTGGAAAAGTTGTTAACAGATAAAAAAAAAATAAACATCTTTGTAAAACCATAAGCTTTTTCGCTCCATTCAGAATCTAAAATGAATAAACAATAACTACGGTATAGGAACCTATTATTATTACTCGATTTCGTGCATAAGTACCTATCAAACCTATATAGTATATACTTATCGCTTGCATGCAAAACCGCGGTGCTTAATGGAATGTCGCAAAAACTAAACCGGTGATTAAATAAATCGACTCGTATATCATAAAAACAACGTAACTGCAATATTATATAAACCACTAAATAAACCAAATGGACTGTTTAAAAATACTATTACCATACACGATACTTAAAACCGTTCGGATTTTACAATATAGCAGCAACCGTAGGTGGGTGTACCTATATGAATTAGTTTAACAATACTAACAAGATAATCAATAAATGCACAAAAATAAATAAATAAATTATACATTTACACAATAATCATATTATAATCAGGATTGCGAAGTGTTTTAAAAACTTGTTCAAAGCATTTTATACTTAAAGGTTTAAAACGTTTTAAACGTTAAACAAATTAAATTAAAATAACTAATATAATCTGAAGAGTGAACATGTTTTAATAGTTCCTATTCATTCTGAAAATACAAATAAAAATAAACAGTCTTATTACTTTTGGATAAATAAGTAGACCCGGAGCGGACCTTTTTTGCTGCACATTTAATCTAGTTAGTGAGTAAGTCGGTTTTTTTTTTTTCTGTATTTTTCCTGCAAAATTGGAAAAAATTTAGAAAAAACGGGTAAATTGACGGAAATAATGTTTTGATTAAAAACATTTTCAATTTTGTTTTTTTGTTATTATTCAGTTAAAAATATTTGTAGAAACTTGAAATTTTAATAGAAAACTTATATTTGTGCTATTTATAATCAGGTGTCTTTTACTTGGTCTTTATTTGTTAGATACTTTATGAATATAATTGTTTGACCTGACAGAAATGCTTACAAATTTAACAAGAGCTTCAGTATAAATTGGGCATAGTGGTCAAAAAAAAAAGTTAAGTGTAATATAGTAATTTTTTTTAGATTTGGAGCATAGCGAAGGATTCCATGAAGAATTTTAACTACCATAACTATTCTGTGCTATAATTTTATAATTTTATTTTTTTAAATTAAATTTTATAACGACAAGTTGGCTGGGGGGAAATTTGACTCTAATGGCGGAGCTCTACTGCTCACGATTTTTTTTTTTTTTTTACCACTAAGTACAACTTACTTGCTCTAATCAAAAACTTACTTTCTAGATTGGAACAAAATGTATGTAGGATATTTTTTTCTCAGGCAGAAAAAAAACGTATCTTTTTAGTAAAAACAATCAGAAAAAAAACACACCGGAACAGTTCCCGACGAATCGACGCTTAGGTAAGTACCTAATACGTTTTTCTGTAGACCATTCGTCACCGATCTCGTTATAATATAACGGGATAATAGTATGCATAATATATACATATATATCAAATGACAAATATCTCAAAGAGGATTTATACAAGAAACGTGACAATGATAATTGCGGTGTCATAGAATTGATTTCCGACAATCGGATTTGAGTGCGGGACACAAATCGATTCGGTTGCTGCTCGATTTTGAATTTATATTGGTCGTTATTAAACCGTGCAAATTTATATAATACTACTCGAGGGTATAATAAAATCTAACAGAAACTATTAATTATAAATTATTATTATTATTACTCGTTGTCAAGATCTCTTTTTTTTTTTTTTTTTTTACTAAAAAAACGACGGTCGTATAAAAAGGAATTGTTTTTGTTTTTGCTTTTAACGCATAGTGTCGATAAATGCGAAGCTAGTTGAAAATGATAATAATTATAGAGCAATGTGTATCAGTTCATCGGGTATATTTAAAAAAAAAATATATGTGTATTAATTTTTGATTAGACCAATAAACAACCTGTAGGTACGAAAATCCCAATGGGCAATGAGTATATTATTGTATATTGAATATTGTAATAGATTAACGCATGAATTATTCGTTTCAAAAGAGTGACGACCAGCATATGCATTCACTTTGATGTCTAGCACATTTGTTTACTCCGTTTTTATTAGTGTAAATGGTCGTCACACCGCTGCTCAACCCTTTTATCGTCGGCTGTAGTAACGGATTGAAGTACGATTACAATAATTAAGGTTTGTAATTTTTTATAATATTTTTTTTTTATTTTATTAACTTTTAAGCCTTCAACAACAAAGGTTTTTAGCCTGCATGAACTTAAATAGAAAAATAGAAATATAAACTTATACACATTATATCTTTATATTAAAATCGGCATGTTTTAGAGGATTATAATTTGTGACTTAAGTCTGTATTGTTGAAAAATGTGTTTGTGGTGACCGTGTTTTCTTCATTGAGTGCTTGGTGAAGTGTAGGGGGTTATTGAAGATTTTGCGGGCTTCGATATATTTGGTGCATTTGATAACTATGTGTTCTATTGTTGATGTTCCATTGCATATATCGAATACTGGTGCTGGTTCTTTTCTGATGAGGTGAGCGTGGGTTAAATGTGAATGATCTATTTTAACTCGAGTAATGATTACTTCTTCTCTTCTTTTGGTGTTGGATGGGTATTTTAATTTTTTTATGTATAACTTTACATTTCTCAGTTTGTTAGAGGTAGATTTAGCCAATATTTCTGCCATTCTTCCATTATTTTATGGTGAATAATGTTGAAAGTTTCGGATGAGATTAATGGGTTAATTTTTATGGAGAGAGGAGACGAGGTGGCTTCGTAAGCTGTTTTATCTGCTTTCTCATTTCCCGGTATCCCAACGTGTGAGGAACCCACATGAAATAAGTAGTGCTATTTATTTCGGTTATCAATTTTTGTATGTGTTTAACGATCTCATTTTTTGGATAGGGGTTTGAGATTGATGAGAGGGCGCTTAAAGAGTCACTGATAATGATGCTGCAACTTTACGGGATTGAAGATGAAATAATTTTTAGTGCATCATAAATAGCGTAAATTATAGCTGTGTATACACTTGAGGAAGACAGTAGCTGAAAAAATGTTTTTCCTGGTTTTTAATTACAGATAAACCCACGCCATTTATATTTTTGGAGGCATTTGTATATATTTACGTGTATTCTGGGAATTGCGATATTATTTCCAAAAAATGTGGTATTTGTATAATTAGATTATCTGTTTTGTATTTGTAGTATTTAGTCATTTAAGTGTTGATGGTTGGCCACCAGATCCAAGGGGGAAGAGACGGGCCGATTTTATTTAGTGTTTGTGCTTTGAGAGATAAATTGTCACTGGTTGTTTTAAAGTTTTCGTATTGTGGTTCGAGTGAGCAATAGGTTAGTGGGAAATAGATTGTGCAGGATATTGTTGATGATTTGGTCAGATAGATTTTTAATCTCAGTAACATATTTTAGAATATGGCTTTGACGTCTGAGGTAGAAGGGAGCTTTTCCTGCATAAAAAAGTATACTATCAACCGGACTCGTTCTGAAGGCTCCTATGGGTATACGTATACCTTGATTATGGATAGGGACCAGAGTAATTAGGTATTTTTTTTTTACCGAATTGTTGATTATACCTCCATAATCAATTGCTGAAAATATTAGGGCTTTGTAGATAGTGATAGGGCTCTTTAAATGAGCTCTTCAGGCGTTGTTTCCAAGTATTTTGATCATCTTTATTCTTGATTGACAATCCGTTTTTAATTTTTTCAGATGAGGTCGTCGGATAAGTTTGTAGTCGAAAATAAAACTAAGGATGTGAATATTGTTTGCAAAAGAAAGTTGTATATTCATGAATTTTATTGTTGATTGAGAGTCCTTTTTCCTTTTATTGAATATAATACACTAAGTTTTAGTGGGAGAGAAACTGAAACCAGTTTCCGAAAACCATCTGGATCATGATAAATAAACATCTTGGTAAAACCATAAGCTTCTTCGCTCCACTCAGAATCTAAAACACGACCAAACCTTTTTAGTTTACCGAATTCCACTCAGAATCGTTTATTGATTAGAATAATATATCGTTAGTTTCAGTATCAAACTAAATTAATAAATTACCTTTCCAACTTCGCGTCTATAACAGTGGCCCAATGGTGATATTGCGAAATTTGTCCGACTGAGGAATTAATTTTTCTTTTTTTAATTCAATTTTCGTATTTGGAGTCCAAAATGTATGCACGAGTATAAAAATAATTTATATTTAAAAAGCCTCGAGCTTCGAGATCTTGTCAAACTGCATTGCATTACGCGTTCACGCACATTTTCCGTACAAAAACCCCAAAGCAATTGCGTACAGGAAATAAATATTACTAAGGCTGGGAAAATATTGTAAAAAAAAAAAACCTTAGTAGGCGAGTATAATTGTGAAATAATAATGATTAACGGTGTAATAATGGCCATGCATGTTAATGGAAATTATACATTTCTTCTCTTTGTATGGTGAACAATTGGATTGAGTTTTTCTCGAAAAGATAGAAAGTGCACAGTCGGGTTACACATCACGGACAACGGTGATGCAATTACGATAGGTATACGTTTGAATGTGATGTTCATGTAAAAGTTAATTCGCCTAAAAATGTAATATAATTTTTACTTTTTAATGGATTTTTTTGTAAATATTAGTCTTTCAATCATTCGTAGCGCTATGCATCACAAATAAACCGTCTATTCGAATACATCTCATTATATTAGATACCAACCTTGTCCGGGTCTATATACTTTAAATGATTATATGATGTAATACCATCAAACCCATTTGTCGATTCGCGTCATTAAAAATATGCGGATGAATAGATCGGTAAACGGCATGTCCAATCGAGCGAGTTCACTCGTATAATATTTCTAATAAAATATATATACTCGTAACTCCTATGAATTCCACACATCTTCTTCTCCTGGCATTAAATAAGTCGATCCTTGAACCACAATATCCGTCAGTCTTTTCTTAGACCGACCCCGAGGTTCTTTTTCTTTGATTTTCATTATTCAAAACTGTTCATGCGTGTATCACCCTCGCTTCTTATTCGCATTACCTATGTCTAAGTCATCGTATTCTTTACTCTCGCATAAAAATGCTATGATTTATGTATATCTTTATTGTAACTCTTTGTTAAATTTCATCCTTCGCGCACCTTATCAAAAATATAATACCTGTAATATCGTATAAGTTTAAGAACGAGAATTGTTCTAGTTAAATAGCATAAACACTATAAATCACCGATGATAAAATATTTACTAATACTGAGTACGGATTATTTAACATTGTGACATGAAACATGAAATATAATCAAGACGGTTCTATCCGCGAATTGTAAACACGGGCATCGTCAAAAGTTCGGTATGGAAAAATATGCTAAACATTGTGTGGGTACCTAATGACTATTGGATATCAAATATTTTAATTTGTGTATAACACATGTATAAAAGTCATGGATTTTATTTTAATACATTTTTCAATAAGTTTTTAAAAGCATAAGTTTCAAGATTTTATCTGTCGTTCAAAATAATTAATTTTTAATTTTTTTTTTTTTTTTATTGAATATTTACAATCTTTACATAATTAATTAGCACAATAAGTAAATGTGAAGAACAATTTTTTTTTTTTTTCATTTCAGTTACATGAAAAAGGAAGCCATCCAATGATAAAACCCAACGTGATTATTTTTTTTTATCTTACTTTAATAACGTACTAGCGTAAAAGGTCTCTACACCAATTGCGTTTGAGGCGGCACACTGGATTTTTAGGAAGGGTTTTACACGAAAACGAGAAAAAAAAAAAAGATTAGGGTCAGTTGCTAATTTTTAATGGAATCTCGGTAGTAGTGTTTGGAGGCTAGTTGACTGAATGTTTCAATTTCGAGGTCCTTATGGAGTGTGTTGTTGGAAACGTACCAAGACGCTGAAGCAACAAGATGGAGGACAATTGATTGAAACGTTTATATACTAAGGATTTGCGAGGGTTTGGCACAACCCCGAATCTGTATTGCATAAGCCCACATGGGTCTTATAAGTGACCTACAGGCATGGGCATACTCGAGGGAAGGTTCATGGGGTTTAAACTCTCCCCCCTCTCCATTGGCCGATTTTTTTTTTCAATTCATTTTAAATTTATAAGGGATATGAAACTTCATACTTACCTACCTAACCTTACATGTTTTTCTTGAAATTACCCACAACCCCCCCCCCCTTTGAAATTTCCGAGAATGCCACTGCTTGTAGGTATTATTTTTTGTTTATATGGACATTTGTAATTTCGGGATTGGTCGAAGGAGATGTAGTCGACTATTAAGTTTTTTCTTTTACCTTTTAGGTGAGAGCTCCAGGTCTTTTATCAAAATTAATACCTTGGTATTTTACTTCAGAGGAAGTAGGAATATATGTTCCTTGAAAATTCAGCCTTTTTTAAAGTGAAATTGACATATACCAATTTATCAGGATTAATTTTAATTCGCCATTTGGATTACCAATTTTCAATTAAGTTTAAATGATTTTGTAACGAAATAGCAGTGGTTTGAACTGGGTCACTTCTAGGAGATTGCAGTATCATTGGCATATGTGGCCATAATTGTATTTGTTGAATTTGACATGTCAGCAGTAAAAATATTAGAGGTCATATAATATTAAAGGTCCTTAACAGAAAAAAGGAAAAAAAATAATTGAATTGTCGAATCATGAAGATGCGATTTTTGAGGTAGGGCCTTATTGTTAAGTAATATGGGGCAGATAGAAATATTTTAAGCTTGTAAAGCAAACCTTCATGCCATACCCGAATTTTTATTTTAAATTTTATTTTTCACTCCTGTGGCTGTTTACCGCCGAACATTTTTTTTATCCTCTGTTCGCCGACTCGTAGTAAATATTAAATTTATCCGGCAACTTTAATTAACATTTTGTTTAAAAACTACTTTTTCTTTTATTTACACAAGACCCGAGTTTAAAATTTCCGTTATACACGCATATGGGCTTTAATATTACTCCATGAACAAATTTACACGAATGTTGGATAAACCCGAATGTTAGATTCGGAGCGTAGCGAGAGATCTTTAGTTTTACCATGATGTGTGCTTTTTTTTGTGTCTATAAAAACAACTTTTCGAAAATAAACCTTGCATGTCTGAAAGTTTCCCCATAGACCAGTACCTAATACTGACCATTATTATAAATACTATGTTTTTATTTTAATTAATATTACATTAAAAATATTGTTATTTTACATGCTTATAATAATTATGAATTGATACCTCCTAACTTACAATTTACAATTTAACTTATTCCCCTCAACTTGCATTTATATGAAAAATGTAAAAGTCCACAAGAAAAGTATGTTTCAATACTTATTATATTTTACAATTGTAATTATCAACTAATAAATTATTTATTAATCGTTGTATTATTTGTATAGGTATTAGGTAACAAAATATTTATATTCTATTAAATTAATCGTAATAAATACGTTTTTGTCTTAATATTTTTTGGCCACAATATGGTTCTGATCAATAACATTTCTAACAGTACATTTTTCGGTTAAAATACTGTTTGGATAAAATATTTTCTGAAATTTTACTCGTTCCCTTAGTTCTGTTCAGTTTTGAATATTCTATGGTTGTGTATTTGTTTAGTTTGTTATCAATTCAGTTTATCACTATTACTTGTTAGGTTAGGTTAAAAAAATCAAAATTTTCATCTTATTCAAAGCTCAGTAACAAAGGTTATGTCTGAATTCGTATTTTGCCGACTTGTATTAATTTATTATACTTGAGCAGAAAGAAAAAATATGATTAGACAAATGCAAATCGTCCGTCCTCATAATTTCGAAGAATATTTTTTGAGTCTATTAAAGCAAATTTACAAGAATAGAAATTTATCTGTTGAAGTAGGTAAAACATATACATTCTAATAAAATTATCGATTAGGTTATTTAATTTATATAGGTACCTATTAAAATTTCAAATTATATAATCATATTAGTTTTATAGGTAGGTATTATTACCCATTACAATGTTTTTATTATAATATAATATATTAATATGATCATTTTATTATCAAATTAATACACATAAAGGAATTGAGTTTGTGTGATTTAAATCAAACATTTTTTTTTTTTTACATATACTTGTTATAGGAAGTGTCACAATGGCTGAGTTCTGCACCTTTAAAAACTTATTACCGAGTAAACACTTTAAAGACTACACCGCTGGAAATTATAACATCGATAAATGAACAGCTATCAAAAGTAATATCAATGTATTCAAATTTATTTCATTTTTTGGTCAAGATTCGATAACCCTCTGTTGAGCGCACAACTGTTTAAAAGCCTGGTAGTTTGGTAATTTCAATTTTTAAATTTAAAAAAATATATATTCTTTGTTTTGTTATTCATAATTACAATATGAATACCTTTTTATTAACATAAATATTTTAGGATTTATTACTGAGAAATTATTTTACATTGTTAAGTGCATATCAGACGCCTTGCGACTACTTTTGTACAATTATTTTAAATTTAATGCGTCAGAAATAAAAATATACTTTTAGCTTATAGATATTGGAAATATCAAGTTATTATTATAGTATTATAGCATTATTGTTTATAGTCATGGTAGTTTTTCTATTTCCTTTTGAAATGTATAAACTAGTGTATTGTATTATTATATTTCTATAATTTAATACCATATAATTTATTCGTTTGTTATTTACTTTATTTTATCATTGGCAATGCTATATAGACTATAATACAATATAGTGTTATGCTTTTTTATTGTATTTGATTTAATAAGTTTCTATAAATATGTTTATGTACAAATAAATATATACATATTTAAGTAAGATTTCACATATAAAAAAAAGGCCAGAGTATAATGACCATGTGTAGGTTAGTCAACCTTGTGCGACCAACATAGGGTTAAATAATCAATTTCTACTTAACCACATAATAATATAACCTACTGTCAGTCTTTCATTTCTTTGTAGTAATTTAAATGTTTAAAAAAATTTCAGATATAAATAATATAGTTTATAAAATTTTATATGAATCGTGACTAATTTTGAATAAAATATTCTACTGTACTAACCTATTCATCGTTTTATATGTTTGTTATTTACTTTGGTTTTAGTTGACACGTCTTAAAAACAGTGATAAAAAGCCTTCAGTTAAAGTGCATACACATTTCAGTGACTGTATAGTAGTTTTACCAATGGACAGGTCATTACTTGACCTGAGTCCTAAACATGGTGAAATTATAATTGATATTGCTACAGGGCAATCAGCACTACGCGGTTCTAATATATTTGCACCCGGGATTATGGGCATGACATCTGGTAAAATTATTTAAATATTTTATTTACTTATTATATTCTTAATAATAAAACACTAACTTCAAATTTCTTTTTCCACAATATTCCAAAATAATAATGTCGAGTTGGGAGTTACTTTATGGGGTTATTGTTTACTCATGTTTGAGTGTTAATATAGTAAAAGCAGTCAAACGATTTTAGTTAACGAAACAGTGAACAATTTTAATAATCAATCTCCCTCTATTAGAATTTATATTTACACAATTAGTATATAAATAACAATTGTTGATAATTGTTGTCTTAACGAATCATTATTTTGTTGCTAGTTGATCATGTTATATAGTTCAACAATGTTTATAATCGCAATTTTATTTCTGGTAAAGAAAACAATCTATGATTTGTGAAATTATATTACTTTGTGTACTAATGTTAAAATTATTAAAATTAAACAATCTCTGGTAATTTAATTATAAAAAAAAAAAAAAAATTTAGTTAATAGGAAAATATATTTGTTTGCCTTGTACATCAACAAACTTTTAAATACATAAATTACAACTTCTAGTGTACTTTTTGGATTTACTATCACCTTACCATTTGAATTTTTATCATAATTGATGTTATTTGTTTTCTAAATGAAAACAAAAGAATTCATATTTTTTTAGAAATTCAAGTTGATTCAAATATATCAGTTTATGCAGATTTGGCCAAGGGCTGCAAAAGAGGTTACCAAAAATATTACGATGACCCGTTGAAGATTTTTGTCGGCAATGGCATTGCTAAGATGAACCGTCGACAGTTATTTAATGGTGATATGAACCCTAAGTATGTGATTAAATTTATATAGTGTATTTGAAGAGTTTTCAATAAAATATATTTTATTATTATATTTTAGAGGTATTGCTGTTGAGATGACTGATCCCATTACAGGTATCCCTTCATTCACATTACCCGATGAATGCGGAATGCTACAGAACTTGCCGTCCATCATTACTGGACATGCACTTGATGTGAATGAAAATAATCTTAAAGTATTAGATATGTGTGCTGCACCCGGTAATAAAACCACACATATAGCAATTTTAATGAATAATAAAGTGAGTAATAAATGTACCTTCTAAACAGTCAAATTATCTAATTAATCTTCTAAACCATATAAAATATTTGGGTTCAGTAACATTAATGATTGAAAAAAATGTTTCATAGTAAGAGTAAATTCCAAATTAAAAACATTTGTTTTATTTCTAGGGAACAATAGACGCAATAGATAAATCAAAAATCAAGTTAAAAAAAGTTGATCTTCGATGTGAACATTTTGGAATTACTAATGTGAGGATTCATCATTTTGATTCATTGATTAATGTTGACTTAGACAATAGAAATAGTGACAACGAAAATAAACCGCCATTTAAAGTCGAATTGTTTGACCGTGTATTACTGGACGCACCCTGTAGTAATCTTGGACAGCGACCATTACTTAAAATTGATGCAGACGCTAACTTAATAAAAAGTTTCCCTGTTTTGCAAAGGAAATTATTAAAAAATGTAAGTGATTTAAATATAATTAAAACATTTATTAAAAGTGGATAAAATTGTTTGTTTAATTTCCAACTATATTTAAGGCTGTTGACCTTGTTAAACCTGGTGGAATTTTAATATACAGTACTTGTACAATTACACTCGAAGAGAATGAACAGAATGTTGCTTGGGTACTCGAAAAGTTCCCACAAATGGAACTACTTCCCATAAATTCTCAAATCGGGAGTTCAGGAATTACCCAAGTAGGATTATAATGAATTTTTTTTTTAATTTTTTTGTTCATATTATATTTTTTTTATAGGTGGGATTAAATGACAATTATTGTGAACTTGTCAGACGGTTTGGTCCTGAAAATGTTGAAGATGATTGTATTGGATTTTTTATTGCAAAATTTCAAAAGAAAAAAAAATAGGCATATTTTAAAATGATCCAACTTTATGAAATACAGTTATTATTTGATAAATTATGTATTTTTAATGAAATATGTTCCATATTAATTTATTAATTAACAATTAACAAACAATCTCGGAGAACACTAATAATAATGTCTCCAACATTCCGTCAAGTGTCTCGCATTTTCTTTAAGGTGATTATGGTTCGACGACGAATGAATGGATAAATGTGAAAACATTTGGTCGTACCATTTACACTATTCGTTCGCACTTCTGGTGTTCATCAGTCTTTTAATCTAGATTGCAATTACAGTAGAATCCGCTTAATGGGGGCACATCGGGCGGTAACCTATTTTCCCCCATTATCCGACTGTCCCGATTAGCCAAACTGACGAAAAAAAACAACTTTAAAAAAACTAAAAAACTTTATTTAAAAAATATATACATACTTGATTCATACTTTATTTAAAAATTACATATTATTATTATTTGCAGTTGTACATTATATTTACTATTTAGTATAATTATATCGTAAATTTATTTAATACATTATGTACATACTTAATTCATATTTTGTTAGGCTGCAGAAAATCGTCCATTCTTCTTTGCTGTAATTTATCAAGACTGCTTATTGATAAAATCTGCACAGACATCTAGTGAAGTTGTTGGGGCATTTTCGTTTCCATTTTGCATGAAATATAGTCTCAGCTGATCAATGCACTTTTCTGCTTCTCTTGTTGTAATTTTGACGGGTTGAACGTCGTCATTTTCATCACTTTCTTCATTTTGCAGACTTCTCTCAGCAATTTCGTCAAGAATATTATTGTAATTCTCATTTTCATTGAAGCACTGCACACCATCATCAATTTTTAAAAATAACTCCCCATTTCCTACGCATTGCGCTACATTATNTTCTGCTGTAACATGGAGCCCGAAATATGAACACCACGTTCTGTAACAGCAGAAAACCATTCGTTCATAGCTTTGTCTACTTCGGGATCTTTGCCTTCCCGCTTTCTTTTTCTGTTTACAGGTGCACTATTGCTGTCTTTTAATTTTTCCCATTGTTCACGAATAGCTTTTTCATTATTTTTCAATCGGCTTAGTACCGATTTAGACGTGCCTATTAATTTCTCTAACTCACGAAGGCTATGAGGTTGAGCCTTAATTTTGTCCAAAATGGAAATTTTTTCAACCAACGTCAAATCTTTACGAGACATAATTGTTACGCATTAACACAAACTGGGATCAATAAAAATTTTAATAAACACACATACGTCAACACACAGAGACGAAAGAACGTGAACTAAAGGTTTTCGATTTTGTACGTAGGCTAATTGACTCTTATCGTGGTAGTAGAAGATAAACGTGCATTACATTTGTACATATACGGACGTATATAAAATATAATAGAGCCATAAAGATTAGATAATTACAGTTTCGATAAGAAAGTAGATAATTTAGATCAGAATACCTAGTTGGACGCTTTTATTTTTGTCCCTTGTAACCGATGGTTTGTCCCCAATAAACGAAGTTAAATTGCCTTAAACGAATACATTCGTTCGGGACTATGCCAATTTGTCCCTATTAAACGGTTGTCCCCTTTATGCGGTGTACCGAATAAGCGGATTCTACTGTATGTCATTTAAGTTGCGATGAATCTCAGATTGATGGTCTATTGTTGAGTGAAGTCGTGTTTCCTTTTTTTTAAGATTTCATTTCATCAAATGAAGACGATATTTCAATGTTAGCTTTCGTGTGATTAACATTTTATCGACGGCGGTCAAACATACATTTAAAAAAATATTGCTAAGTAATTTTAATCTGAATCCCTCAAATGATACCACTGCATTGTATACCGACGAATACGGTTACGGTAATAAGATAAAAGTATAGACGTAGGAAACGGTATCGGATACCCATGCAAAGCGCAGGTCTACAGCAAGATGTATGTGGACAACTACAAGATAATTATGGTCAACTGCAAAATCAATAATGGGCACGATTTTATAAAAGTCCAAGTGAACTAATGTCCCCTTACATTCACCCGGTATCCGCTAAGTGGGTCCTACCTAAACCCCTGGAGTCCTAGAATTCCAATCCATTTCTCTTTCTCTTTTGGATATGTTTTTTATTTCAATTTTACAATTGGTATTAATATTAATATAATTTATTCATGTCATAGATACCTACATTAAAAGATACAAATTTATAAACTAATAGCGGTACTTCATTTAAATAATTTTTCAATACTTTATCCAAAAATTGCTTTTTGTAGTTTTTTCACCTATCTTTCTTTCCTTCTAGTATCTACCTATCTTTCTCTATTTCTATTCAGTATTCCGGTTGTACAACACCTTAATCTGGAATCCTTATCAAAATTTTCAGTGATGTTCACAGATTAAATTTTCATTTTTAATTATTAATAGCCATGGTCACGGATCAAGATAATCTAGATCTTAATTTATGGCCATGGTTATAGATAGAACCATGATTATAGCCATGGTTATATTAAGTATCTACAACCCTAATCGGTCATCTTATTCCTGAAAAAAAAAAAAACAATAATGGAATGTTTGTAATAGGACTTTAATTGCAATACTATAATATTCTGTATACTACCTACTTATTATTTATTGTATTGTAAAAGTTATTGTATAATTGAGTATTTAAAATAAATAAATCACTTAAATAAAATAGATAAAGGTACTTTACTTACTTCAATAAGTATTCAAAAATCCTAACTGTAGAATATTTAATTACTTATAATTCATTATTATATATTTTACCAAACACAATTTAAGTTTTAATAAAAACACATTACATAGGTGAACTTCTCGTGATCATTCATATAAGCTTATTGTGTATGTTTTTGTTTATAAATTCTCATTCCAATATTCTGTCAGCTATATGGCATTGTTATTCATTTCTTCTATATCCTTTGTGTACTCAGCATTAAGATTAGGTCACTCATAAACATGTCTTTCATCCTGAACTTCTCCATTCTTCACATATGTGAACATAATATCATTACCTACCTACCTACCTACCTCATTATTCAGAATGTTAAGTTATCACAATTTACTCAAATAAATTAGAGAATATCCATCACCAATACATTTGGATTTATAATACTATGCAAATGTAGAAGAGCTTCAAACTCATTATAGCAATTACATTAATTCAATTAGAAGTATACACCTTGAAATTCTAAACAATTTAGTTGATTCAAAATTAATATCTAAATGTACTTATTACATATGAATTTTATTTGTTTCCTTTTGATCCAAATACCATGAAATTTAGGATAAATATAGTGTGTCTAAAAAAAATCATATATTAAGTAGATACATAATATCGATTTTTACAATAATGTAATGTATTATAAATCATTATTACTAAAAAAATATGTTAAAAGTTGAAGAATGGCATAGTATGTGATAGAGTATTGAAAATATGCGAAAGGAAAAGTAAAAATATTTTTAATGTAAAAGTACATTTACTAAAAACAATTTTATACGGTGGATAGGTCACATATTAGTACAATAGTTTAGTGGTAGGTCACATATTATTAGACGTGTCCCTTTCATTACTTGTTTTATTGATCATCTATTTATGTTTATCTTTGCTATAATTACATTGTCTAGGTATATAGAATCAAAATACTTAATTTGTTACGGATTATGGCTATTTAGCTATTAAATTAAAAACTAAATGCCAAATTGAATTACTGTACAAACATACAAAACATAAAAACACACCAAATTTTAGTAACATAAATGTATGTATTATTGTATTATCATTATTTTACTGATCAGTGGTTATTCTTACAATTTAAACACTATTTTGTTTAAATAATTATCTAAAATTAACAGGGTATAAAATTCAAAAAAAAAATCCATGTTTAGGCCTAATTTAATTTTACATATTATATTACGTATATCATAATATGAGATGCCTGTTACTTTTTACACTATTATTTGATTTATTTATAAATTAAAAATTAGTTTTTTTTTTCAATAATCTATAAAAATAAAATAGAATCATCTAAAAACAAATAAATACAAATTTGCTCAAATACTGTACAAAAAAAATACAAATAATAATTGTGAATACAGGAGCATTGATAGGCTAATGTCTGTAACTAACATGTTGTACAGTTTGGTCCAGACAATTTATAAAAACTGCTTTTTGATAGTTAAATTTGATATTGACCAGAAGACATAAAATTAAATGTTTATTAATTTATTACAATACCGAGTAAATTTGTAAACCGGTTGTCTTAAAAGTAAAGAGGAAAATATGATGGAATTGGTCATAAACAATACAAAAAGGTTATAGTATAACAGCGTTTACATTCTTCCAGTATTAATAAAACAGTTAGCCAAATTCATGAAAATTAATAAATTTTAAGTAATAATTTGGTCTAGGTTACCAAGATCCTACAACAAGAACAATGGTATTCATATGTAATAAGACGTAATTGAAAAATTATTGATATCAAGGAATACTGATACTAAAAAATCACTATTTTTTTTTTTTTTAAGTACAAATCCAATGTTGTATAATAATTAGTAATAATTGAATAATTTATTATAAATTAAAATAATATTTAAATATCTTACAAAATAACAAACAACATTGATTTTGTACTCTAAGGAACTTTAAAATGTGTGTTTTATTTAAGAGATGAATATTTTGTGAGGGAAAACTATTCATTTCTTTATAATAATATTATCTTTGTGATTAATCATAATTAATTATGTTAGTAACAGTAATTGATAAAATTAAAATGTGGTTACAATAATTTTTGTTTGTGGTAAACAAATATGAATTTGGCCTATGTTTTATGAACAACTAAATTACTTAATAAGCTTTCACCAAAAGATTTATCTTAGAAAGTTTGTCCAGCTTCCTTATAAGTAGTGAAAATTTTCTCAATAGAATTTATATAAGCGGCAGTACGAAGATCTAGACCCAAGTTATATTTCATAGCGGTTTTCATAATTGCTCTTGCTGAACGTTCCATTGTATAATCTAGACCGGAATGCACTATATCTTTTTCAGATGCACCCGATATGCGTTTTTGGAAAGATTCTGAAGGAGTGACTGGAATTCTTCCTCCTACACGACCGAAACGACGTTCCAATGATTCTTGCACAGATTCTAAACCATACAAATATACAATATTAGTTATATGATCCGGATTAAATAAATTTATAATATTCTTGTTTTACCCAACAAATGATAATTTGATTCCCGTTCATATTTGAATGTTAAACGACCATAGGAAACATGGTTCAAATTCTTTAACCACTCAAAGAATGAAACGGTTACACCACCAGCATTTATATATAAATCTGGAACGATTAAAATGTTACGCTCAATCAAGATTTTGTCAGCAGCAGGAGTTGTTGGTCCATTGGCAGCTTCACCGATAATCTGAAAAATAACAATTTTATTATGCTATAATCTGTAATAAAATTAATTTAGTTTTTACTTTTGCTTGTATTTTGTGGGCATTAGCTGATGTTATAACTTTCTCAGTAGCAGCTGGTACCAATATATCACAGGGTTCGTACATAAGGTTCTCGCCAGTGTATGGCTGAGCACCTGGAAAACCTACTATTGTACCATTGTCAATTCTCCAATCTTCCAATGCCTGAAATAATAATTGATTAGACAATTTAAATTATATTTAATTATCTTAACTAGAATGCATTACTTTGGGGTCAATTCCATCTGGATTATGAATTGCACCATCGTGTTCAATAACACCAATACACGTAGCACCAGCTCTGTGCAAGTAACGCATTGAATGTAAACCAACATTACCGAAGCCCTTAAATATTAAAACATTAAAATTAAAACAAATTTGGTTATAAATTAATCATAATAAAATGTAAATCACAAACTTGAACAATAAAAGTTTTACCACCCCAGCCTGGTGTGGTACCAATTAAGCTCATGTAATTAGCTTCCATTATGAAATTTTCTAATCCATGAAAAACCCCTCTGCCAGTAGCTGATACACGACCATGGATTCCACCTTGATTAATTGGTTTACCAGTTACACAAGCATGGGCGTTAATGTCTAAATGCCCTATATAAGAGAACCATATAATCAGCATATATTTATGTTAATGTAATAATTATTAGATGGTTTGACACTTTTTTTTTTTTTTTTAACAAGGTTATCATAAATTATAAATTAAAATATAATAGAGAAAAATGAACTCATTATGATATTCAAATAAGAATTGATAATTTATATCAAACAAAAACATAATTAATATAAATTACCTATAGTTTTAGCATACGTATCAGCTATCCATGACATTTCACGTTCACCAGTTCCCATGTCTGGAGCAGGCACATCAACACCGGGTCCTAAAAAATACAAAAATGTAATTAATATATTAATTAACGAATACTTATTTAAATATAAATATTATAGTTAATAATTAAGACATTAAAATAAACATAAACAAAAAAAATTAATATTGTACACAAATTATCAATTGGAACACTTAATTTATTACAAACTTATTTTCAATTAAATCCTACAAGTCAACAGCCCTATTATTATGATTAATTGAGCTTAATCCTATTATTTATGCCACGTCATTTCCTACATTGTCTCTCACAGTGTCCTTGTCGTAACTTTTTTTTGAGGTCATTTATATTGGGCAAAATTACTTTTTAACAACACATTTAATAACTAAAAATTGTATAATAAAATAATAATTAACATTATTGATACTAACCAATAAATCCTTTCTTTGCCAGTTCTAATGTGAACCGTCTGGTAATTTGTTCCAATTCATTTTCAGAATACAGTTTTGGATTTATTTTAATACCGGCTTTTGCACCGCCAAATGGTACATCAACACACGCACACTTGAAAGTCATCAAAGCAGCTAAAGCTTTGACTTCATCACGACAAACATCCAAAGAAAATCGTATACCTATAATAACATTGTACTATACAAATAAAAATCATAATTCTTTATAAAATATAACAATCATATACGCTGCTAACACTAAACATAAATTGAATATATAAATTTGATTATCTATTTATATACTCAACTAAAATACTTGCAATAAATATTTTTTATTCTCGATTATTTTATTAGTTTACTTTTATAACTATTAATGTTGATAATCTAATCTATTTTTTTATTACAACAATATAAAATTTAGACTGTCCAAATAGAAAGGAGTATACATTTCTCATCTATTTTTAGATTTCTCGTTCGTATTCACTGTTCCAATTATTCATTTGAGAGTTAAGTGTAAATATAAAATGCTAGGCACCTCTAATGATTTCATATTGAAATAAAAAACTGAAAAAAAAACACTGTAAATAATGAACTTTCTAGAAAATCGATAACTTCTTATTCAGGATCACAAATCATCCTATAAATTAATTTGCCCTTATCTTAAATTGCACAACATCAAAGAAGTTTACTGGTCAATTTTAATAAAGATGTCTAATTAACTATATTAAACAATAGCGATTTTGGACATTTTCAAGGATACAAAACAATACTTTTTTATAAAGTGTCTTTAATTATTTAATCTTAAAGAAATTAAATCCATATCTGCTAGGTATTTGTCAGATATTTTAAACTGTATAACACCCAGTAAAATAATATAGATTTAAACAAATAGGTATCCAATTTAATTATTTGTGTATTGATAATGATCACTTGAGTAGTTAATAATTATTTAAATTATATAGGTACCTAAGTAGGTTTTATAAAGTATTATTTTTTTCCAATCCAAAAAATTAAAATGTTATATAGGTACGATAATAAATATTATTTAAATTTATAAACTTTTTAATAAAAATTAATAAAATATAGAGTAATACACAGTTATTATTAGTTAGTTATTACAAGACATTAATTAAGAAAATCTATTATAAGTACCTACCAAATGATGTATGTAGTCAATTAATTTTATTAGGTACCTACTTTGATAATCTATATTCAAATTGAATTATAAAAGGTTATTAACTATAAAGGCAATAATAAGTATATGAACAAATATACGTTTAAATATTAACAAATTTCTTAAATAGCAATTAAAATTTATTATAGATATTTACTAGTCTTTTTAGTTAATAAAACATTCTTTAAAACCTATTTAATTGCTACAGATTATTATAGATTATAAAGCTAATTTTAACAATTATAAAACCATAACTATCATTATGTATAAAGAACTTGCGTACTATTTAGGATAAATTTAAAAGTACTTCTATGAAAATAACAGACAACGTTATTTATATTATTTTGCGTAAACTTTTTCTTGTAAATTTGATATTAATAATTAATACCTAGTCAATCAGTTTAGGTTTTGAACGGAGTAAGCAAACTATTGGAATTTTACAATAAGTACTTTATTTTTAATTCAAACATTTTCCTAACTACCTACTTTTTTAGGCAGAAATAAATAAAACAAATTCATAAAATTTTATTTTATAATATTTTTATTGGTACCTTATTAAAATTACAACACCTAGTTCTTATAGGTAATTAATCATGTAGCAGACCTAATAACATATTTAAGATTAATTAAATGTGTTTTTTTTTTTTTCAATAATCCGATAATTTCCTTACAATTTGATGTTTTTAAAATTCTGATTCATCCCATTTGAGTGTGAACTAAATATTTATTAAACAAATACCTAAGAATAGTTTGTTTTTCCAACTTTTTTTTTTCCTACAATTTATTTTTTATACCAATTTGTTAATTTAGTAGATACAAGTTAAATAAATTTTCTGGGGGTCAAAATGACAATGTGTTTTGATATTTGAACTAAATAACCGAGAATTATCTTTTATTTTGCATTTCGTGAATTTAATGAATTATTAGTGTATATTCAATATTAACAACTTAAAAAAAAAAAAAAACAAAAATGTTCATTGATATAATAATAGGTATTCAAATTAGTATATGAATAATGGAAATATGGAATAGGTGGATAATAAAGCAACTATAATTTTTTTACTCACCTCCCTTGCACGGTGTCCTGTGAGTACTGTGTTGAGCACGGTATCCCGTAATCATCTCGTAATCGCCGCTATCCCTGCGGACCGGAAAAGAAGTCTCCAATATATGATCGCATGGCTGCATGCCCAACAATATCCCCTTGACTTTTTTCCTTTTGTCTTCTACGGACATCTTGGCTTTGATGTCTTCGACAAGCTTGTCCTCGGCCACTTGACATGCCCGGTGAAAGAAATACTCGACCATGTCGAAGAAACGCGGGTTCTCGGCAGTGGGCACTTCCTTGAGATGGTCGGGCATCTCATGGAGCCCGCGGACCGACGAAATGGACGCAGTCTTGAAAACATTTTCCGACACGTTGCGTCCTAAGCGACTGAGGTTGTACATATTGTTACGGATTATTTTGGAAATACGGGCCAAAAGGTACGGGTTAAAAGACTAGAAAATTAGGCGCACCTACAAAACACAAATTGAAAACAATAATATTAAAGAATAACAAAAGACGTGAACATAGTTGGCAGCTGACGTACGAACGGATTTGAAGCGAGCGCGGAGCGTATTGTAACACGAGTGTGTCGGACAATACGTGTGAATGCCTTATGTGATACAACGGTCTGTGTGTGTCTATGATAATTGATAGCTCAGAATTTTTATATGTCGGTCTGGCAATTTTGCAAAAAAAAAAAAAAAACCACCGATAGTAGGGGTAATCGGATACGAAAACGGCGCGCGTGCGTGTTGAATATTTACCGGTGTTGTTCCTACAGTAATTTTAGGTTAAATGCTTTACCGGGTTATCAAAGCTTACAGACTACATTGCTGCTTTGACGTATTACACGTAATACGTAATTAATAATATTTTAAAGCTGCCACCGCCATTCCCGTGACCGTAAACATCTAGGTATGATCACACCGGTAGTCGTGTCGTCCGATCCAGCACACTACGTCCACTGTAGTTCTGCGACTGCGGATGCATTCGGCCAATGAGGAAAGGAGAACTACCACTATTACAGACGGGATATGGAGAGCTGGACTGTGAACAATGTGCGCAACACTAAATTACTCGCATACCTGTGCATGTTGTCCAGTATAATAGTTCATAGGTAAAAGATTAAATAGATCGGAAATCCTATTACGTATTGTTGTGGTTTTATAATGTTTAACGATCCTAGCGCTTGGTGGAATTCTCGAAAACTAATCGTTTTACGAAAATGTGACGGCCCCGGGATCGACTTGTACTATGAATCGCTGGATGTTTTGTAGTGGTTTGTACCAACGATTGTACACCGAACCCAATTACTAATCAACAATATTTCCTCATCGATATTATATTAAGATCCAACTGAATACTGATTTAAGTCGCTGATAATATAATTCGTGAACGTGTGTGGTTTATTGGTCTATGTCGTGAGCCAAAAAAGTACCGATTTTTTAAAGAAATACTCATGGAGGACGTATTAATAGATAGATATTTAATTTGTTTATAAACCTGAAGAATATATGCTAGAAAAATAATATTTGGAACTTTGGAAGTGTTATTTGCATAGAATGATGATTCGCTCATAGATAATATTATTATTTAAAAATCATGTTTTGTCGGGAAGATATTTCCAAAGAGTAATAATAATATTATGCATATTATAGTATAATTTAAGTATAAGTACAACGTTTTAATTAGAATTGAATGTTGCCAGGTACAGTTGAATTAATTAAACGTTGTATTTTTAATTAGTATATTAATTAATTGGTAACTTTATTATGGAAGTAAATGGTAATAAACTAATACCATAGGTAATATAATAGATAACAAATATTTCAGGGTTTTAATTTATACTTAATAATGCATTTAATGCACAATATATTGTAGGTACATAGTTAACAATTAATCATTATTTATTGTAACTTTGTTTTCTAGTATGCAAAATTGAATAGTTTCGAGTCATTTTCCTCAATAGAATCACTGTGAACACGAGTATCTATTTCACAATGTTCATATTCTATTCATATTTTTACATCATGTAGGCATATAAAAATTACTCTACCTACAATTTTAGTTTTCAATTTTCTTTTTCGACCCGAGATTTACACAATAAAAATCATAATCAAATTTAACAAATATTGAAAGTTTATCACACAAGTTTGCAATGTTTATTGTTAATATGCTTAAAATGTGTAAGAATTTCATTAAAATTATTTGGTAAGAACTCGACAAGTACATATAATATATTTTTTGATAGTGTAAGCATCTGTTAGTTGGTTATATGTTTGATTGTCAACACAATCATTTTTACACACCTCGCTAAATTGTGTTAGGTGTACTTCGTAATTGCACGAATAATATATAAGCAGACACATAATGGATAAGTACCTAGTCATTTATCGAATAAATTAATTTTCTAAATTGTATGGTTGCCGGTTGGAAATAAAAAGAGAAAAGATCAAAATTTAAGGGCACATTTTGTATTGAAAAAATTAAAACTTGTTTTTAATTTTCTACTCGCATAAATTGTTATCTGCTTAGCAATTTCCTAAAGATTTAATTAATGGAAAATTATTCGGGTAACAATAATAATTATTTTGCGAGTTGATTACTGTTAACTGGTTACCTATTCTTTCTAGTAAATAGTTAGCGAATTTTGTAAACGGCTTTTCGAATCAGTAAGATGGTTTACTGATGCTTGGTTTCTAATTTCCAGTTGGACCAAGATAATTGATTATCAATATCAATGAAATTATACTGTCAAAGTTCTTGTGAAACTTGTAGAAAATTAAGTAAATTATATAACGGTTCTTACAGTAGTTAACGTGACAATCATAGACAATTTAACTTTATGATCCACAGTTCGATATTCGTATTTGGATACAAATGTTGATTCCGAAGACATTTTCGGATGATATAAATTTAACCTAACCTATCATCACTTGATAACCAATCTATTATTATTAATATCTGCATCATTTTCTATTGTGCTCAATGGCTAATCAGAAAAAAATCTCCGAAAAAAAAATCCCTGGAAATAAATCCCCAAAACAACTATATTGACAAAAATAATAATAGAAATTTAAAAAAGTTAATTTTTACAAATAAGATTTCTAGAAAAATAATTCGTTAAATATAACTGTGCTATCTTCTAATAATTATAATTTTAGTCACCAAAATGTATGTCTATGCCATAAGCTATCTGTATATTCTAAAATCAATTGTTTAGGTCGATAAATTGTGAAATCGGAAAAAATACATAAAACACACATTTTCGACAGCTATGAGTGACAATATATACATTCAAACGTCTCAAGCCATTTGACTGTTACGGTATTATATTTGTTTTGTTATAATTATTTTTGACAACTGTGTCCAACAATATTCACATGTCACTGACTGATTATACTATATTCTAATTTTTTTTTATTATTTATGACAGTTTAGTTAATTTGAGAATATTTTTGAGGGGTCCAATTCGTCCAACGTCATTAATAATAATAATGTAGGTACCTAATAAAGTATTAAAATAAAAACAAAATATTAAAATTCAGTTTTTCAATTATATATTTATTTTTTTTTCTGGATATTGGATAGTGCTATAAAATATTTCAGTACCCAAAATTTACAAATTTATGTTTTGGCAATTCATATATAGACCTGTAAGCTAAATTAGTTAATAGGTCTATGGATTCAGGGATGCGTTCAGAAACGTTATCAACGATTTTTGGGGAATTCGTCCCATTTAAATAAACCAACAAGTTATCTAAGATATGTTTGTAGTTTTATCAGAAATAGAATAGGTTTTGGTGGCCATAAGATAATAGATAAGGATCCTACCCAGTTAATATAATCATTAATTATTATATTACATTTTATATTAAATGTATAATAATAACCAAATTGCAGCCATGACTGCAAGCTGCTCAAATAAATTTCTTTTTGATTATGGACTGATTGAACTGTTCAGTATTGATGATGATAATGAGGTTACATTAAAGGTATAATTTCCAATTCAATTTGAAAAGTACATAGAAAATTGTATTATATATTATTCTAATAATGTTTTTCAAAACTTAATAAGATAAGAATTGGTAATATTTTTATTTAGTATAATTTATAAGTTTTTGTTATTACTAATTAGTAATGGCATAGTTCATACACTTACAACAACAACTCGAGGAAACTTTTTTAAAAAATTTAAATCAAATTGGACGTTAACAATAAACGGTTATAATAAATCGTGTTATTTAATAAGCGTGATAGCAGTTCGAAATTATATCAAATAATTGGCGCCAAGTAAGAAATGGTAAAAAATAAATTATTTTTTTGATGTTGGTAACACCCCTATTACAGAAATTATTGTAACGCTATACTTATCAATTTTTTGATAACTACTCTGTACTCGTTTTTGGCGGGTAATATAATATAATATCTATTATTATTTTAGTATTGTTTATCCTTGTGTTTATTATTATACAGTTACAGTATCAAATCAATATATCGTGGGTACAAACAATGTAACTGATTAAATTAATGTTTTTTATAAAAAAAAAAAAGTTTCAATTCTACGTATGTTACAGATTAATGTCTTTTATACTGTCTAATATTATAAAATCATGGATCAAGCTATAACAGATTTAGAGCGAGCTGTAAGTACATACTGTGCCTATTTACAAATAATATTTTGTCTTCTATGCTGTATATAGAGCATCCTCAATATGACTATTTACTCATTTAAACGTACTCTTATCCTCAACTTGTAGTTCTGACACAGACTTTAAGTTCATCTCATTTGTTCTTAATGGCTCCTTGGATTTATCTGAAATTCTATCTGCTCTAAAATGTATTTACATCTTACGTAGTTACGTATCCCTTTGTATATTTCTAGAAACCATACCCTTTTCTATATTCTTTCACATTTTTGATGGTTATATCCATTCATTACATCGTAGGTATGTTTTGATTGTTAAATAGTACTGCTATATATTGTTTACCTTAGTACGTACTAAATGTTTAATTTTTAGATACTTTGTATAGTGTTATACTTTGCATCAAACTCAGTTAAGTTACTAAGTTAAGTTAATTTTAAGTTACTACAACTGTTAAATAAAACTCGATGTTTATTTACTATTTTGTTACTATCAAAATTTCCAATTAGCATTAATAAAATAAATAAATGTTTTTTCTAAAAACCTAAAAAATCAGACATATGTACTTAACAGGTCCAAGGGTATGCCTTTTTTAGTTCGGATTGTAAGTCTGAATATTATTTATTTATAATAATATTAATTATAAATTGTTTAGAAACATTCTGAGTGAAACCTCAAATATTAATATTTCTATAATTTGTATAATAAATTTCTTTCTCTAGTCAGTTTTCTTACATTTTTGAAAAATCTGTTGAGAAGATAAGTCTATTGTCATTGGTTTTAAAATATACTATAAAATCAATATTATTACCTACCTAAGTATTAATATTCATTATCATAAAATATCTATGTTTATGTGCAAATTTGTTACACCATTGTAAAATGTACTTACCTACAACTTTTTCAATTCTTACTCAGCTTAATATCTATAAAACTGCTGTTTACAGATAATTGGTGTACAAAAAAGAATAGACGGATTGATTTGGAAAATAAAACAATGTGAAAGAGTGTTGTTTTCAGAAAATGAAACATCCTATTCGGTAAATCATGTACAACATATTAATAACTTATTAAGTATTGATATTTTAAAATAATAACAATTTTGGTTTTTAATAGAATTTGAATTTAATATTCATAATAACTTAATTCAGATTAATATATTTACTAAATTACCTAGTTAATGTGACAATCATTTTGATAATTTATTGCATAAACTTAGAAAAATTTAAGATTATTAGTTGTAAAATATACTTTATATTTTATAAATCACTTTAGTGGCTCAAAAATGAATGATAAAGTATTTTTTAATAACTATATTGGTATAACTGGATTGCTTAATGACCATAGCCTAATTAACAAATTACTGCTTCATTTTTTAATACAAATTTATGTTTTATAGTATTTTTCTCTCTGCAATATGGTCAAGTTGAACATGCTTAATATATTTATTTTGGTTTTTATCATATTTTAAAAATTGAGTTAAATTTATTTTTAATTTTATCATGATAATTCAACATGTTAAAATGTTGATCTGTTTTCTACTATAGTTTTATTATTCAACAAAACAAGTATTGCAGCTTTGGAAAATATAATAGAAGGGGGCTCAGAATGATTTTTTGCATTATTTTTATTGATGATAATGATTTTATTACCTCAATTTCAACTGGGCAGGCACTATGATTATGGTCAGTGTTAGAAACAATAACTTTAATGTTGTCATCAGTTGTAATACTTCCTTGACAATTATTTCCATTGTTTTTAGATTTTTTTATACAATTCCAACATATCCCCACTTTAACAAGTTTATGTTTAACATATGCAAAATTATCAAATATGAATTTTTTACCACTTCTTTTAGTTTATATTATTTCTATTATAAAATACACAAGAATGAACAGTTTACATGCCCGACACAATATTACAAACTATACTTCTTAGTAAAGTAAGAGACCTAAAAGCAATATATTGTTAATAGTTTAGATAATTTGTGTTTAGTTTATCAATCATTACCCATTAAATTGGGTAAAAAATACATAACGTGAATGATGATAGTCGATAGAATCAAGATAATATTTATGAATACGTCTAAAATGCATATACAATATTTAAAAAGTTTTTAATGTCAAAAATATTATATTAATGTAAAGAAATATTGAAAGCGAAAATGATATTTTAGTTCTACTTTAATAACTGCATAATTATTAAAATTTCGTTTATCCAAATCATAAAATGTCTTTAATATTTTAAGGGGGTCTGTTACCTGCTTCAAGTAGCTTGTAGCAAGTAGCTCTCAGCTTGTACTTAGGAAATATGTATTATAAACATAATATCAATGGTTTTATAATTTATAAATATAGATTAACCAGCAGACAATTTCACCACAAATATGTTTAATACCTATTAGATTATATGTAATACTCTGTTTTACATTATTATTAATAAGCAGGCATATACATATGTGTAGGATAATATTTTAGGAGGTATAACATATTAATATAACCTATTAGTATAATATTTCTTTGCTGAACCTAACCTATTATTATATATCACTGTTAGCAGTGTGGTTAACTTTTGCAGCTTAATTCTTCGACCTCATTGTTTGGCCATTAAAAACTGAAATCCCTCCCCCCATAAAAAGCCTGACTATGGCATTGGGCCAAACCTGATTTCTGAATAAATTAGGGAAGTTTTAAACTAAGCCCTATAAAAACTAATTGGTAATTGCTACACTGCTCCGCTAAGCAAAAATGCCGTAACTCAAAAAAAAATTAGTTACCTATGCCATTTAATGGGTGTATTAATATTATACACATTTTCTGTTGAAAGAAAACCCCCCAAAATTCATTTAATAGGTTAACAACACAATTATAGTTTATTTAAAATAGCATGTAAGTAACCAAAAAAATGATTGGTACTAAGCAAAAACGCCGTATCTTATATTTATTTCTATGGTCTATTAAAGTTACGGTGTTATTGCTGTTTTTTCTGAAGCAATTGTATAATTGTATATTAATAGTTTCTAAATTGTTATTATTTCAAAAATTTAATATTTTGTTACTTATAACTTATAATAATTTTATTTTTTCCTGATTATAAATTATTTTTTAGTGTATTCATGATCATTGCAATTAATGTTAATAATAATGCTGTAAAATTGAATAACACCATTTTTCCTTAGTAAATATAAGTATATACGGCTTATGTCGTTGAGTAATAACATAAAAGTAACTAAATCATATAATAAGTCAATAGGTACTATTTGATTATTATTTTATTTCATCTCTTGTCAAAAATACTATACAGACAGATATGGTTAAAATTGTTTTATATGAAATAAAATAAAATAGTAAAGGTGTAAAAAATGAAAAATACAAAACTGCATTTTTTTCAAAACTAATATATTTGTTTTTACGACACTTTTGCTTAGCACAAGGCAGTATAGTATCCTTTACATATTTTTATATTTACACAGATAAACAATATGATTCCTTATATCAAAAATTATATTTCTTTAGTAAATTGATGAGTAGGTATACTAGGTCAGACCAAATTAATAAGTTTATTTATAAATATAACGTTCCAAAAAATATTTATTTTTACTTTTCTATTAAATACACTCATTAATTTATTGAATAGGTACTAATAAGATTATTGTTTAATAATAATTTTGAATCATAATTTAGTGTAAAATTATGTCAATGATGGCCGATTTAACTGAGAAGTGTCATAAATACGATCAAATATTATTGACACTTAATGAAAGTAGAAACGAGCAAATGGCATACGCTGATACATTACAACTACAAGTCAACTTAGTCAAAAGCAAAGTAGAAACCTTAACGGCACTTATTACAGGAGGAAAGGCGACTGAAATTGAATTAGTCTAAAAACTAACACTTAAATTATATTTTTATATTGACTGTACTATGTATTATTTTGAATTATAAACAATACCTAATCTATATTTTCGCATGAACCTAAAATTTACCAAAATAAAAAATTAATTTTTCGTTACTTAACAATAAAACTATTAGTATATTTTATACCTGTAGAAATTTTAATAAAAATATGATAAATAGTTAATTTATTAATAATTATTATGATTTGTGCGTATGTGTGTATTATATTATATATTATATTTATTCGCCCTTGAAACGTAAATACTAACCGTCGTTCATTATCTAATATAATGTAGGTACACCTACCTAATATTAATGTTTTGCATTATAAAAACCTTGACTTTAACACCTTATCGAATTTATCTTTGAATGAGATAATATTTTTGTTCGAACAAATTATACTTATCTAAAAGAAATCGCGTGTTCGTAAATTATAAGCCTACACTAGATGAGTACTTATCTAATGTTCATACATATTTAATGTTCAAATTTGCATTAATATTAATAGCTATTATCGTAGGTACTGCTAGACAAATAATTAATTGTCGATTTATTTCATAACAAAATGTTTAGCTATCGAATGTTTCGTTTTATTCGCTGTTTAAATTGTCGAGAGAAAAATAATATGTAAAATAACTCGGGGGGCTATACTACTCCGAGAGCCGGTTAAGAATTAGGAATCGTTCGCGGACCATTATATCGCTCCAGTGGTTAATTATTGAACTATTGACGAAAAAACATTTTCAATAATAATGATAATTAATAGTTATCTAGTTGCTGTGTTCCAAATTCGTTCCCCTGTAGAATAATATTTATAATAATGATAATTATGTTAATGACAATATTATTTTCAGTAGATCGTGAGAAAAAAAATGGGTGGTTATATCGGTATTTGGGTCAGTTTAAATTAGTATCTCTATCACAAAATTTAATATTTTTATGGCTAACGTCATTCCGTTATCACGGAAACGTGTATTGGCTACAACTATCGATAAGGTTCGATCGATATTATGGGATCAGACACATACCTCTACACGCACGTGCAGTGAAAATGACCCACATAAAAGTGCAACGATATTCCAGTAGGTTTTGCTAATATAAATTAGTTGGCATGGCTATACATGATGCCCAAGGTAACTTTATGGTCATAATCCAGCCATTGCTTCTTTGTGTTTTCTTTTCAAATCGTTAACCTATCTGGGTACCCATTGTTTAAGATTTATTTCAAATTTGTATCCCTAGGTACTACTTGTTAGTGGCCGCCACGGATGAGTATATTGAATACGATTATCTATTTAAATAACCGCGCTATGTATTAACTTTTCGTTTTCAAATTGCGAACGCCCTTCTTTTCAGCGTACATTCCTGAAAACAATATTTTCCTAAACACTATCGGACATAGCTACTGTTTATATAGGAACCAATATACCTACCGGAGTTTTTTTAACGATTAACCGTTTCAAATTTGGTCCGGAGCAGTAGTCAAGGTTAATAAACTTTATATAAGCACATTTTTTGATAATAATCTTGCGGACTTAATTTTTTCATTGGTTACAACTTATATTGGTAGGTATTTTTAAACGGTAAATCCGATAATAGAGTTACGCGTATCAAAATGTTAAAAAAAAAAACGAGAGTTATTCCTATTTGAAGATCGAAAGTTGAAATGTGCTTATGATGGTGTATCAACGGAAAAAGGGTATAATATTGAAAATATTGTGAATATGTCTGGAAGAAAAATAAAATTGTATATGGGTCATGATAGAAAATAATTACTTTGCCTAGTGTGTATACTGTTATTGCACTATTAAAATATAGTAAAATGAAATTTATTTGATTAAAATTATCATTAATTGCAATACCTACGCTTCCGAATGTTACATCATGTTCTAAAATCATATAATCAGTGATGAACCCGTAAATTTTTATCGGCCGGACTTTTTTAATCGTGGAACATTATTTCAGGCGCAGCACAGATAAGATATGTCATGTGCACATAATAAACAAACGATTTTATATTACCATCACAATAATAATTCGTTCGTTATTATCTACCTTACCGCTGCTCCGTACTATAATACACAGGACCTTTACGACTTATTATTTCAAGTTTCACTTTGATCTTATAACAAATAATATGTAGACACATATAATTTGATGTGTTGTCGAACCCGATTTCATGATTTGCACGTGTATAGTATAATATTTTAGAGTTGAGGAGACGTGATAGCCGACAGGTACCCACCGATAATTATTATTTTCTATGGTACCTATGTCTATACCGATTTCCTATAAACACACGCGTCACGTAAAATAAATATGGAGTTTTTTTTAAAATTGTTTATCTTAGATTCCCAGTGTACCGAAGAAGCTATTAATTGCCATACCCCCTACAGTTGGTAAAATTGTTCCAATTTTTTTTTTTTTTTTTTTTTTGAAATTATCAACACAGTTTATCACAAAAGTCCTTTTCTTGGTTTTTATTGCTCTGAAAACACTTTTTCGGCTATAAATAACATTTTCTGATTTGTTATAATAAGTTTGAATAACGTATACCTGTCTTAATTAAAACCATGGATTTTTCGTTCGATGATACTTTGTTTTAAATATAAGTTCCTAGATTTGTGTAATTCTTCTAAACAATTTATATAAAAAAAAAATCAAAACAAATGTCGAAACATAAGTTTTACTTTTATTAATTTCTAGGTCACTTTCCAAACTAGGGAAAATAACTTATCCTGTTTTTCTTGCCTTTCTCTAAATCATTTAAATCATTCAATCATTAATTGAAATGATTTATCGTTACATTTAAAGTTTTAGTGCTGCATGGTTTTATAATGACGTTTATTTTATTTTTTTATATCTGTGAACGACTTCTACCAGAAATCTTGCTCAAATTTTCAAGTGTACAACCATTTCTGAATTTTAATATTATATTTTGACGAAAATCGTAAACATTACGGTCTTTCTAAACATGTATAACCGAACTCCGTTCAGAATCATTTTTGTTAGCAATGATTAATCGTTGCGTACAGATTTATATTAAATTTCCCCTCTACCTACAACATTGGCCCACCCACTTCAGTGTTAAATAAGTTCGGATATTTTATTTTAAAACATTAATAAATTATTGAAAAAGTTACAGTTCAGTATTTTAAAACATTTTTTTTTTTTTGATATTTGTCTTAAAAATGTTTTTATCTTCACGCATTATGTCTAGTAAATATATAGATGTTTTATCTTTATAAAACCACTTTAAATGGCCACCTAAGTATAAGCTGTTATAAAAACTGTATAAAATAATCGTTTTTTTTTGAACTAATTTCACTATTGCACAATACAAATACGAGTACTTTTTAAGATATCGGGACCGATATTTATTTATTATTGTAAGACTTGCAATGTAAGTAATTTAAGAATTAATTCATTTTAATGAGTGATCAATCCTCGATACTCATTATCTCGTAATGAATGAACTTTTTTCGTAGTTTAATTTTTAAAAAGTATTTTACGAGCAGCTTTAAAATATTATGTCACCGTTATTATTTGTGATCCTGTGGTTTCACCCCTGAAACTGAGGGCAACAAAAAAAACAACAATTAACATTTTAGAGATGTTTATTTCTTAAACTATCTAGAAAAATAAATCCCGAAAAAGTCAATACTTACTGGGATTATGAGTGTTTTATCGAGGAATGATCACACTGTATATATTTTATTATTCGTAACATCTCTTAAGAGGCCGCCACACACATGTGTGCTACAACTAGTTAACTCAAAACACTTACATGGCCCGAGTAAAACTCGCTTGATTTTAGAGTAAAAGCACCTGGTATAAAATTAAAAGAAAACTATACGTTAGTTTTTTTTTTTTGAAAGTAACATTCATTTAAAAATGTTGAAAAATACGTTATTTCTAAACGGCGTCGCAGGGATTTAATGAACGTTATAATAACTATGGAACAATAGAAAAAAAACGTCTTCTCATCCGGAATATTGTTCTTTTTTTTTAACGTTGTATGTATAATAGGTGCTGTTTCTCTAAAACCAAAAAATTAAGCGAGTTCTTCTACTCAGGCCGCGTAAGCATATTGTTTTTGCCACGTTGCCGGTTAGTTTGACCGAGACGACAGCTGGAGGTGTGGCGTCCTTTTAAAATACATCTAGCATGCGATTTCGTGGGAACGACCATAAAATCAAAATAATCGCAAAATCACGTCTCTCATATTACTTTGGTGTTATCGCCGTTGCCGTAACACCATTATTGCTCGTTTTGTTCGGCGACGACTAGACCGGAGAGAGGAAGGTATAACTGGTATAAGGCGATGTAGGCAGTAGTGTAATTGAAGCTCAGCCAAAGGAGGAGAGGAACGATGATCCATTCATGTCCGCCCTCACATAGACCACTGGAGGTAGTTAGATGTTTATGTGCTCCGAGCAACATAACAGGTAGGTATAATATTATTTTCAACACAACTACGTCACCGTCGAGATGTGTGTATATAATTATACATTTCCATAATATACTGTACTCGGGTACATAATAATAATAATGTGTAATACATTATTATAATACGTAGCGTTGGCCATGACGACTGGTATTATTAGTCATCGAGTATACACTAAACAAGAATTCCAGAACGCTCCTTCGGGGGCCCTGCTGTTCGCGGCGACTATTACACGATGCAATTGCAATACACAAAATAAAAAAAATGCTCTCAATTTTCCGACGTCAACAAATCAATTCCAATACATAATATAGAATATGCCTACACCTAGCTATTATGTAACCTTAATCGGTGGCGTGTTATTAACCATTTGTATCTATAAGGAGATTTAAAATTACAGATTTTCAAATAGGAACCTGTAATTTACCGCGTCCCGCACACATACCTATACGTATACCTTATATATACGTATATGTTAATTATCAAATCCCAAATTAATATTTCTCAAACGGCTGAATATCGGACCACCATCACAGATGGTAAAAATACATAAACATTTAAGTACTTAATACCTGTCTAGTAGCCTGATGGCGTAAACTGGAGAATGTAGGCAATGCGGATACATTAAGGTCCTATAATGTCCAGGCGATCTTTCTGGCGATTATTTAACACAACGGAAAAATAGAGGTGATAATGCTAATGGATGTACCAATGTAGGTATTTGAAAATAAACGTTCAAATTATAGAAGTTTCAGGAGTTTAGAACCTCATTAAACTTGAATAAAAACGAGAAATACAATTGAAAATTAAAAATACACCCAGAATCTAAATGTTGGCGGGGCTCACGAATAGGCCATTGTAGTAGATACAAATATTAAACATATTTTATTAACTATGCTGAGACTTTTAAAATTTCGAGGGGAAGGCTGACTTCCGGGAAGTATTTGATTGTGTGAGCGAAACATTATAAATTATAATATTATTAAATCATTTATGATGCGTTACGTTATTTAATTATAACTGCGACGACGAAACTATAATGTCGAAATAATAATACGAAATAATGCCGTACATAAAAAATGAACAATTATATTACTTTGACATAGTAATAATATTAATAATTTACCAATGACAAATATTGACAAAAATGTGCGTGCGTACTGATGACGTAATACGAGCCTATTATAATTGAAAAATATTGGGAACTTTTGTAATACGGGATCAATGACTCTATATTATTGTTATATAGGTCTTGTATATATATATTATAATTTACTAAAATTTACTACTAAACAAATATAATAAATATAAATAATTGAAAGTATCTACGATTATTGTTATGTACACCAAATTAATTTGACCGAAAGAGCAATGACTCCTACACGAATCCTACGATATTAATTTAGCGTTGTCTGTATACCTATACACCTATACAATAATTGGAATATTCAAAACTACGAGTATAGAGTGGGTATATATAATATTTTATCTTAAAAAACCTAAGTATTATGTACTGTGGGTAGCTAGTTCACTTATATTATGTTATAGACAATGCAATAGGAAAAATAAAAGAAGAGGGACTATACAATTTTAAAAAAATGAGCGCCCTTTGCAATTATTGGACTGTGCAACATAACTAGTGGAGGGTTTGGTTCATTGAAAATACTTGAAAATTTAACACAAGGTTTCATATGAGTTGCGATTAGTGATGAAAAAAAAAGTTGAGCTTAGTGTAGTAATTTTGTATGTTAGCATTTAAAGGTACGAAGTCCCCCTGCGTTCCCCTATTTCAAGCACTGGTTGTACTCCGTCTATTTATGTAATTTTTAATATAGGTTCTCATTTGAAAAACCAAAGTTGGTATCATTATAGGATACTCCTTAAATGTTGTGAAAAATCTAAGTATTGAAAAAATCGGCTTTAACTAAACATACTAATCCTAAAAATCAGAATTTGAATATTTGGAAAATTTAACAAAAAAAAAAAAAATAGGGTTAGCATGCTTATAGTGAATCACCCTATATATATAAGTATGTATACTAAAAAAAGAAAGCAACGAAAAATCATTCTGGTCGGAATAATAGTATCTAAAGTATTAGTAGTGTTTTTTTTTAATTTTTGAGGAAAACGTTTGTCTTGAATTTTATTTCTAATAAAATTATAAAATTTGAACATCCCAATGATAAGAACAGAGGTTAAAAGTTGAAACTTCCTAAGGCATATCTTTGAAACTAACGTCATAAATCATAACTATCACTTATATTGTGCTATTATACCAGAGTGGTTCAACCTTTTGTAGTTGGCGGGCTAATTTACACTTTCATAAAAATACTGGGGGCCACAAAAAAATAAAATAAAAAATGTGATATTGTTATTTAAATTTTATTTTATATAATGTACAAATTATTACATTACAGATTAATATTAACATATAATTGAACAGTAAAAATAGTTTAAACTATAAATATAAAACTATAAAATCTAAAATTTATATGATCATATTACGGTTTTGTTATAATATTATTGTGATTTTAATTTTTAATTAATATAAAAAAATTATTAATTTAATTGTGGGGGGCTAAAAACATAGGATTCGAGGCCCGCGGGTTAGGCCGCCCTGTATTATACCCTTATTGTATCCATTCCCCTATTGTTCATACATATAAACGTAACAAGTCATAAAAGGTCATTCTATCTAATTTCGGGGTCAACACTATTATTTTTTTTGGGGAGGGGGCTATAATAATTATTTATTTATTTATTAATATTTTTAGGGACTATTCATTTGAGAATCTATGGGAAAGCTCAACGCTCAAATTGATGATCGATCTAATAGCGGATCGATGGAATCGGGGGCTAAGGGCTTCGCTCCTCCAGACCTCTTCAATAGTCTCCTTTGACTTACACAAATATTTTAAATTTTCTAACATATTATAATTAATTACACACAATATCTATTTTGGGAGACATTGGGAAATGGGAATGTGAAATAATTTTGATTCTAAAAATAAGTGGATAATAGATTTTGTATTATAGAAGTTATTTTAAAATAAAATAATTAAAATATATTATAGTATAATTATTATAGGTACCTAATTAACATAAACGATTTCTAATCCAACCGTAATAAAATTAATAACATTCCCTTAATAACCATTTCTTTCATTTTTTTTAATAACACGTGAACTAGAACATTATAATGTATATATGGCTTAGAAGTAAAATTTCAGGAACCCCCTTCCTTAAAATTCAACTCTGGATCCGCCACTGGATCATTCTGCATTTGGTGATAATCAAAAATGAATAAATAAATGTGATTTTGTTTTTATCGTCAATATTTAAAGTAATAATAATATTAAGAATGAACGTTATATTTTATATCCAGTAGTTTATTTATGTACCTAGATACAATAGTCGTGAATTCGAGATGAGATTGTTGTTAGGATACATTGTTGTCATAAATGTTTTATTATTGACTTTGCATCCTACGAACAAAAAAAATAAAATAATTGTTATCCCCCAGTACAATAATAGAAGACGTAAGTATTTGTTTTCATAGGGCGCAATGACGTCATGCTTTCCGAGGATCAGTAAGGCTTCAGCAACTGTCGTCTGAGTCGGTAAATTAGCTATGAAGAATACAAAATACAATTTTATACAAAGGTGTACCTATTTAAAACATATTAATATTAATATAATTACGATTTAATAAAATAATAAAGTAAAAACAAAATTATTAAATGGTTAATACTCGTAAATAAATATATTATAATAATTTATTAATTTTGTATTATTGTTAATAATCTCTTTCTTGAGTACATTCATACAAATGTCTCTTCTTTTACCTTAATTTTCAATAATGACTCAGCCTCTCCTCACTCAGTTGGATATTATATTTTTTTCATTACTCCAAATCTACACATCTCACTATTTAGCAATCTTCCTCCTGCTTCCTCATGCACTGCTGAATATGAAGCAATTAAACTTTTATCTTCGCTAGCCTCAGGTAATTTTCTTTTCGCTTCTAACTCCCTATCCTGCCTATGAGGACTCTCCTCATATGTGTTCGCTTCACTATCGTCTATACTACTTTCCTAACTTCCCACCTACACCAGTGGCTGCACCTGTCCCCATTATCTTACCTTTTTTTTATTTTTTTATCAGAAAATATACAAACAGTATATTTAGTTAAGTACTTAGTATTTTAATTTAAGTTCTATATAGTATTTATAGTATTTTAGTAATATATATATATATATATATATTTAGTATAGTCTATTAGTTATGTAATTTTTAAATGTTTTTTCTGTCTGTAAACTATTTTCCTACTAGAAATCTAGCTTCGATTTATTTATAGAGTATAGTACCTTACCTGAAAGAAAATTTTCTCTAGTTGGCGCATTAAAAAGATAATTTTTTGATTTTCTAAGGAGTTTTCAAAATAATTGGGAAACCCGGTAAAACGTCGCGTACAGATATAAACTAAATGATTATATAACTTTATTTTCTACCTTTCTAACTTCCAATCTACAACAGTGGCTGCACCCGTTCCTCCCCAGTTTCAGTTATTTTTATAGTTTTAATTATAACTTGAAATTATTTTGTTTCGTTAATATCATACCAAACGCCGCAAAATTGAATGTCGGTCAATAGTTCCCGGAATTCGTAAATGTTGATTTTACCAGCTCATATAATAATATAGTTTTCCATCTGAAAGTTACCGCAATTGTATACAGACGTCCGTTCACGATATTATTATTCTCGCATTAAACACTACGAATATTACAATAGCTAACGGTTACCTACATACTTGAGTGTCGGGGTCGTTGGACCGACAATGTAAATAAAGGTTTCCGATGCTCGCGTATTGTAGGTAGGTACCTATATATTTATATATATATATATATATAGTATAGAAACTATACCATAGCGTATGACCTATGTAGCCCAACCTCTATACCATGTAATATTAATACACCTGAATACACATGTAAACTCAATCGTATAAATCGTACCACAAAATAATAATGTACAAAATCCATAATATATTATGTTATTAGGTATCTGAACGTTAACTATCCATTAAGATAGTTTTTTCTTTTACCACTGCCGAGCAGCTATATTATTGGATGTTGGGAGGGATTTCGACGGTCGACGGTATTATAATATATATTAATAATATACCAGTTAGGTAGTTAGTTCGGGTGTTATTTAAATACAAAACTGTTCGTCACACGATACTGACACTGAGAATATTGCACTTGTCACTTGCTGTCAGTGAATCATTGTTGGTACAGTTAATTAGTGTTATTTCGCGTGCATATTACACATGTACAGGTATTGTACTTATATCGTATATTTTATAGGCGGTCACAAGCTATGTAAATGGACGAAAAAACAAATAACAATTATTATTAATCACCTTGCTGCTATCATGACTCTGTCCGGCATCGCAACGTCTATCACACGGTTCATCGACAAGTAGCACGGTCACGTAGGACGCATGTATACCTATAGGTAGAAGAAAAAATATACTCGTGCTGTTTAGTTTTTAATCAGCCGTCCTTGTCAGCTGCTGGCCGCCATGAGAAAGTGAAACTTACCAGTATATTTGAAATCGTCGGCGTTTAAATTATTAATATGTATTATTAGGCCATGTATAGCCAATATAGTCATTTAGGTGTACGATTATACGATTCATTAAATAAAAACAAACATATTTTTTTTAATGTGGCTTGCCGAACTTTGCTATTATCATTGCTCACTACATAGGTAGGTATTTAATATGGACTCTTACGCATGAATACGTATTATTTTAAATTGCAAAAATAGTTTAGATTTCGAAATCTGTACAACAATATTCACGGTGTCAATTAAATCCCCTTGGGTATTCATGAACGGCCACCTAGATCCCCTGCAAAATCTAAATGACTACGGAGATCTAGTTTTTAAAGAGATCTAAATGGCCTAGATCCCCATAGTTAAATAGAGGTAGGGGGACACTTGATCTTCATGGTCAATTATATTTTTGTGAACAGCCACCTAGGTCCTAGATTACTAAACACCTATCCCTAAGACATACCTATATAGATAGATATATAGATTAGATCCCTAAGATCTAAATGATACACAAATGATCTAAATGATTAAAAATCTAAATGACTATGGGGCTTAGACCATATTATAATACCTGTACAATAGATGGAGCAACTATATCTACTATACTATATTTTATGTGTAATAGTCGTGTGGATAACGTTTTAAGAGAGTGTGTCGTTACTGCACATGCGTCTTCTTCTGATCATCATAAATTAAATAATACTATTTTGAATAGTCCCTATTACTTAATCTATGTTACCATTGACGGTATCTAATAATAATGTCTATCAATAGAACGTAATAAAAATAATACTGCATTACTGCAGATTTTATCGTAATGAAAATTAATGTAGGTTTCTTATACAAATTGTTGAAAAAAATTATGACAACCCGAAAATGATAATTTAGTAGGTACCTATTCATTTAGATTATCTACCATTTAGATATTAGATCATTTTTTATGTCATTTAGATCTTAGGGATCTAGGTGGTCATTCACAAAAATTTAGATTAGCCATGGGATTTAGTTGACACTTTGACAAAGGAACTAACTGACCCATGGAGATGTAAATGACTATGGATCTAACTCAGAGTAATAATAATAATACCTATTTAAGCCATTTAGACAGGGCTCGAATACTGTCACACTGATAAGAATTAACACGCTCGACATGTGCCGCCCATAAACATATTGGAATTCTATTATGCTGCCACCCGAAAATTGTGACTACCATCTTCCTAATTCCAACTACTCAATCAGTATGACCAGTCTCAGAGGCGGATTTAGGTATGTGGTGGTGGCTCCTGGGTGGAATGCATTGTGGGAGCCCCTTATACATAAACAAGAAAATATATTTTTTACTCATCAAATAACGTTTATCATATTTAGTAGTAGTAATAATTAACTACTTATTTAATAAAAAATAATCATCTGAAATGAAATTTTCCAAGGGTGGTACTTTATGGAGGTAATATTTTGATTTTCTCAGAAGTTTTCTCATCAAATACGAAAAACTGAAAAAAAAACGAGAAAATGTACGAAGTAAATATACTTAGTATAATTATTAGTCAAATATTATACATTTTTTTCTGTGGACAACTTTTCGACCAGAAATTTTGTTCTGATTTACAATGATAGCACTTTTTCTGAAAAGAAATCTTACTGAGACAGAGCTTTAGGGTGGTAATTTTTCGCTTTTTCCAAGAATTTTCCTAGAAAATGTTAAAAACCGGAAAAAACGGGAAAAACGGTACAATGTTAAACAAATATTATTAAAAAAAATATAATGATGCCTATTTAATTATTTTACCATAATATGACATATATATTGTTAACAAAGCGTTACTATCAACTGAACTCCGAATTGTTTTTAGTAAGCAATGGTTTATCGTTGCTTACAGATACGAATGATTCTCCTCTATATCCTGCCTTCTTAACATCCACCGACAACAGTAACTGCACTGACGTGAGAAGTATGTCCGTCATTTTTTCTTTTTCTTTTGCCTATTTACGTTTATCTGCACCACTCATATAAAACCGCTTTAATTTCTGACGATCTTCTTCCATTTTTAAATTTGTAAAAAAATTATAACACAATTCACTAGTTAAGAACTCATAATATAAGAAACAACTAATCTGTAACTAGTGTATACAAAAAGTAGAACAATAATTGTGGAAATTATTATACACAACTGTTGCTGCAAGCGTGCAATACTAATGATATTTAATAACGAATAACGAAAAAATAACGATAATATACAGACGGATAGTCTGTAATCTGTATTTTATGATACCTATTACAATATTACCTACCGAAAACTAATCTCATAATTCTGACGATAAATAAATTGTCGTTGACCAGGCACGTATACAGGGGGGGGAGTGGTTTGACCCCCCCTCCGAAAATTAATAGTTGTGTAATTTATTTATATTAATTTAATATTTTTCGACTCTGAGTGGAACGAAGGAACTTATGGTTTTACAAAGATGTTTATTTTTTGGACAACTTCTCTACTAGAATATTTGCTCCGATTTTTACGTGTAGCACCTTTTCGGAAGGGAAATAAATGTGGGGAGATACATTATACGGAGGTTATTTTTATATTTTCTCATAAAATGCGAAAAAACCGAACAAACGGGAAAATTTACGAAATTTATTTGTATAATATTATGATTTTTTATTTGAGGAAAACTTTTCTAACAGAAATTTTGTTTCGATTTACAATGATAGCACTTTTTCTAAAAGGAAATCTAACTGAGAAAGTGCTTTAGGGAGGTAATTTTTCGCTTTTCCCTAGAATTTTCCCAACAAATACGAAAAACCAGAAAAAACATGGGACAAACGGGAAAATCGATACAACATTATACAAATATTAAAGAAAATATAAAAACCTTTTAAATTATTTTACTATAATATGGCATATATATATTATTGACAAAGCATCACTCACTATCAACTGAACTCTACTCAGATTCGGTTTTTTGTAAGAAATGGTTTTTCGTCGCTTACTGCACCCGTCCTCATTAACCTAGGACGTCTTTTTTTATAAATATTAATTTTTGTAAATTTGTTATGAACCCCCTCCATCGAATTTTTTTTTGTGTACGTGCCTGTGGTTGACTATGGTGTTTACTACGACTTTTTGACGTAGGTATAATTCCAGACCCACATGCGTATATTTAGAAACGCATTTACTAATATTAACTATAGTAACATTTAACTAATGTGGTATTACTTTACAATAATTTGATGAAAAATTAACATATTAACTAGTAACTATATTTACTAATACTACTATGGACGGCACAAAAACCTATCTTATCTAGACACCATTCATTATCAATAAATGCATATACATCTATTATTAGTTAGATAAAAATTAAATTTTAAGCGTTCAAATAAAGTTCGATATTATTTGATTAAATATGTGTAAATATAAATAAAATATTTATTTCTGTATCCTAATTTAAATAACCTCCCTTAAATCCGGCTCTGAATCCAGTCTATACAATTCACAAACATTTTATAAATCATTATTTTGTTTTTATTTATTTCACTATAGACTGTGACTGGAACATATAGATATTTCTGGTAGAAAACAGAAACCGTAAAAATTTAAAATAATGAAATCGAACGCTGTAAATTTATTAAATTTTATTTTAACTTATGAAAAAAAAAAAATTACATTAAACTCAACTTTTTCTTATTGACCACTAAGTACAACTTATAATGAATCTGGAATCTTCTGTTTAATCTTCAAGCGTTTATGTTTAGTCTAACAATTTTATCCATAGAGTATAAATATCCACCAAATAAAAATTACTTAAAAAGTCACAAAATTAAAATGTCCATATAAATAGCTCAACAATTGTTAAATTGTTTTGAAAATTTGACCACGTTTAGAAAACAAATATAAGTTTTCCGTCAACATTTTAAGTCTCTACGAACATTTTGAACTGAATTACAACAAAAACATAAAGTTTAAAATAGTAAAAGAATTAGTTTTGTACATTTTCCCGTTCTTTCTACGTATTTTTTGGTTTTGCTTTAAATTATTAAAAAAACTACTAAAAAATCGAAAAACGGATTATTTACTTACGGATTAGATTAAAAATGCAACAAATGAGGTATCTCGTCGTTTTTTTATTGGAGTCATTTTTCTGGTCGAAAACACAATAAAAATAGCGAAAACTGTACCTAACGCCACGGCGCTCCGTAAATATTTGCTATTTATTTATAATGATTTTAGCGTTACAAATTTTACATTTATTTGTTTAGCAATTTTTTCAAGTATAGTATGCCTAACAGCAACTACTTTCAATGATAACTATTATAAACAACCATAAAGATAAAACATAATATTATTTTGATCATAGATATTAAACATGTTAAATATCCACTAATACTTATCACATCTCGTTGGGCAACCAAACAGTATATCTTTAATCGTGTAAATATCTATGATTTTGATTTATTTTATCATCAATTTTCTACGGTTATAACGCCTTATTACTTTCGAATTTCTATATAGTCTCTCGAGTAAACACAAAGTTTAAAAACTAAAAAGGCTATACTTACTTTTGGTCATAACTTCATAAAGTACCAAGTAGGTACCCACCCACGTATAAAAAAAAGGCTCAGATGGGGCTAAAGCCCAATCAGCCCTACCCGTGTGCACGTTTATGACTATAAACTGAACACTGCTCAGAAATATACCTACATTAAATTTCCCCTTCCCAACTTTTTTTAAAGTGTGTACAATACATCTTGGTTCGTGGTATATAGCACCTTTTCTGAAATATAATTTTATCTAGTTGGTACTTTAAAAAATTCATTTTTTGATTTTAAAAGCAGTTTTGGTAATAATTAGGAAAAACTATTAAAAAACGGGACAATTTACAAAAATAATGTTTTTATTATATTTAATTTTTTTTTTTTTTTTTTCTGTAATTCAGTTCAAAATGTTTGTAAATACTTAAAATGTTGATAAAAAACTATATTTTTTTTTCCTAAACATTTTAGCCATTTTTGAGCTATTTATAGACATTTAAATTTTGCAGGTTTGTTTACGTTTTTATTCAATAATTACTCTGTGATAAAAATGTATGACCAAACAGAAATGATTGAAAGATGAACATTCATTATAAGTCATACTTCGTGGTCAATAAGAAATTGTAAATATTATATAATTTGATTACATAAAATATGTATACAACTGAACTCTGCTCAGAATCGTTTTTCATTAGCAATGATTAATCATTGCATAGAAATATACATTAAATTCTTCTCTATATCCTTTTTTCTCAACTTCTTACCTACAACAGTAGCTCACCCATCATGCAAAGTATTTTAGTAACTACTAATCTAATTGATAATATTCCTAGAACAATAAACAGAATCTCTTTAAAAATATGTAGTTAATTTTTTTAAAAATACTAATATTTTGAAATTTTATTATTTCTAAATATCTAGGTGTAGGTATAAAAAACTCGTCATAAATCATTGATTATACACTATAATCTTATAATTCCTATTAAGGTGTTAATGTCAATTAATACTTGAGATGTTAAGAAATGTGTAACACCGTAATCTATAGGACTTAAAGAATTACGCTTATATTTATCTATCGCACACGTGACATTTCAAAATCATAATTATTTCATAAGACAATAGATTAATATAAGATTAGGTACCTATGTAATCTTCATGAAAATATTTTCAGATAACCAAATTAATACACTTTTATATTTATTTTGTGTGTTAAAATATTTCTTTATTCTGACCATGAAACACTTAAGACCATTCTCACTAGTGAAAAATATCAAAATACTTGATAATTTCAAACTGTCTATTTACTAGGTTTTTTCCAAAAAATGTATTGACTATTGAAACTATCAGCCCATCAAATAGTTCATTTTAATGATATCAATACCTATTCAGTCCAAAACCTAACCGGTGGTGACTATCGATAATCAAAACTGGTTGGTTCCGCTCATCACTAGTCTTCACCAACATGAACGCTTTTGTTTATCTGTTTTTTATACTGAGTTTATGACTGATAACTGACCACAATTGTTTGGTCATTTAAAAATGTACGAACATACTTCACATGATGGGTGAACCACTGATCTAGGTGAGAAGTTAGGAAGGATATAAAGGGATATTTAATGTATATCTGTATGAAAGGATTAATCTTTGCCAACGAAAAATAATTTTGAGTTGAGTTTGGTTATACAGTTATACGTTTAAAAGGTCATAACTCATAATATTTACGATTTGAAAATAATACATATAATACATTTTCTCATGATTATGAAAATCAAAAATGGCTTTCCTACAGTGCCAATCCAATCAATTTTCTTTCAGAAAAAGTGCTACACTTGAAAAAAAATTGGATCAACATTTCTTAGATACTAATATACAATATTTGTAATATTGATAAGGAAATATATCTATATTTTAAAGGTTGAGCTTAAATAATCACATAATTGTGTCCAAAAAATACAAGCAAAATATATATTTAATATTTAAATAAGAATACAAATGATTCTTCTTACTTTATATTCAATAAATGCTTATATGAACACAATATGGCTCAATTAAATTAATATTTGTTTTCATTCATTAAATTATTTACTATTTTGATAATTCAAATTGACTAGTGTACAATTTAAACATTTATTTAATCAAATATTAAACTTTTAGTTTATATACTAATTGCAAAAATATATTTTTAATAATAATAATAATAAAAATTATTTAGAATTGAAAAGATTACAATTTACAATGTTTATAAGAAGCAAAGCTTTTTCTGGTATATTGATACCAAAGTGGCCATATTATTATTAAATATTATAATCTTTGATAATTTGTAATTTTTTTATGAATACAACTTATTAAACAACATTTTACACCATGGTCCATAGACCATAACTTATGGTAATTAATATAATATGTATTCATTTGTTATATCTAAGTATAATTAAATTAGTAAAACCAACTTTAAAACACAAGTCTTATTTTGTGATTTATTTAAAATTGTGGAGTGGTAAATAACAATATTAAATATGCAGTGAAATTCTTTTGTTGTTTATTTGTTGATTATAAATTGTTATTAATATATAAAAATAATGCACATACAAAAACCTTAATTATACAAACAAATTTTTAAACAACTTCTGAAATAACATTTTTGACCTTTTCAGAAATATAGGGAATACTATTTTTCTTCGAATGTCTACGAACATTTTCTTCCCTAAAATTAAAAAAAATATAAACAATTAAAACCTTATATACAAAAATGTAAAAAGAACATACTTTCGTTTAATTTTTTTCCTAGACTCTAATTGTTGTTGACGTTCGTGATAGATGTGTTTAGGCACTTGTCTATGTCTAGCGATTCGTTTCACTTGTGGATGAGCAGCAAACTTCTCTTTTAATGTCGCATTATATTCCAAAGCAGATTTTTCACGGGGTCTCAGCTAAAACACATAGTATTCATTTTTATTTATTAGAAATCAATAAGCAGAAATATATTTAGGGAAAGGGGTTAGGAGGTAGCCCTCGTAATTATCTCCTAAATGCATTTTTAAACTTAATACTAATATTTTCAAATTTATGCTCCCGCCTTCTAATTCTGGTTGTTATTATTGTTATTACTTTTATTTAACTACTCTACTATACTCAAACTAAAAAGTGTTGTCACCTGTAAAATTTGTTCATGGCTTTAGATCAGTGTTTCCCGAATAGGGTTGCGCCCCCTGGGAGGCTGTGAATAAATTGCTGGGGAAGTGCAAGCAGTCATCACAAAGTAAAATTAGTATTTATTAAATTATTTATACTTTGAAATTTAGGAAAAAAGTAAAGTTAATAATGACCTGTTATTGGGTATCGATAAAGATTACGAGCAAGGACATATTCAAGTAGAGGTGACAGGGGGCGGTTGCCTGAGCGGCTTTAATTTTTGCTAGGATTTGTTTACTTATTGACCTTAATGACATTTTTTTTCTCATTGTGTTAAAAGGGATGAGAGATTTTTAAAAGAATATATAAATAAAAGAAAATAGAAATAAAAGAAGTTGGGAACCACTGTCTTAGATATATGATGTTCTAGATAATATAAATGTACAGTGTAATACTTAATGTATGGGTACTGGATAATTAAATACTTAATTGTTATATGAATAACACAATTCAATAAATTGTTTAAAAAAAATTAAAGTATTTATTTACAGTGCTATCAGTTGAATGTTATATTATGTAATAAGTATAAAATAAAATTGGTTTTTTTTTTTGTCGAAAATTGATATTTATCGTAGGGGAGGCAAAGAAATGTAAAAATATCATTCGGGTGCTAAAAAACAGGAATACGTCTGTCAATTAACTACAATGGATGTAGAAACATCCAATGAATAACCTTAAATTACCACTTATTTCTACAAATATAATAATTATTAATATGATACAAATATATTTAGAAACTCTATTTATTTAACTGTTTTAATCAATAGAAAAACTTACAACTCCTAATTTTTCTGAAGCATTTGCTTTCCAAATTCTTATATTCATTTCATCAGATGCGCTTAAAACAAACTTATTGTCTAATGACCACATTACGCTAGTCAAATGTTGCATACGTTTAGTATGATAAATTTCTCTTGAATGTCCCTAAAATGATATCTCGACTATAAAATGTTTATATTCATTAAGACTATTAAAAATAATACCCGATGGCTTTCAAAAATTCTGACAGATTTATCATAACTTCCAGTGACAAATTCTAAACCAGTTGGTGCATAATCTATACAAGTAACAGCAGATACATGATCTTTATGCACATTGATTGGAGAGTCCAGTTTCCGTGTATCATAAGAATAACAACTAAATTGAAATATTAATCAATTATCATTCAAAATACAGTACAATATAAAATTACTTATAATCTTCATTTGCAGCAGTAAATACATATGCTTCCATAGGATTCCATGCCAACTGATTTGTTTTGAGTTTCATTATTATTTTTCGCATGGGTTTTACTTCTCTAGTATCATACAGAATTATACTACGATCACTTGCACACGATGCTATAGTATAAATAATTGTAATACAACATTAATTAAATTATTTTATATTTAATAAATAATTTAAAAAATAAAAATTGTATTTCATAGTAACCATTTTTGAAATATCGGATTAAAAGAAATAATTTAGATAAAATAAAATATTGCCTACCTAAAACATGAGTGTCAATTTGATTGAATGCTATATGATGTAAACTATCAACACCCCATTTTAGAATTGAAGTTGGTTGACTGCGAGTGATATCCCATAGTTGGACCACGTCACCACAAGTTGCAAATACTTTATCATTTAGCCATTGACAACTTACTCCATATAAAACAGACTAAAATATTTCTATTTTTAAGAAAAAAAATGTCATAAATTACCAATTAGTATTTTACATACTTGTGATAAGAATGTAAGGGATGGAGATTCAAATTCTTCGGGATTCCAAACTTTAACTGTAGAGTCATCTCCGACACTTAACAATCTTGTACCATCAGAGTGAAAACATAATCCACGAACAAATCGTTCATGGGCATTGACAGTATTAATACATTTTTGTTTTGTTAAATTCCATAAACGTATTTCACCGTCATAAGAACCACTGACTGTTGTTGATAATGCTTTAGGATGTTTAGCCATACAGAAAATACCATCACGATGTCCATCCAAATTGCCAATAAATGGCTTAGCAAACACCCTTTCTAATTTCACTGCATTAAGAGCACGTACATATTCACGTGATGATTGAAAAGGATGAAGATTTGGATCATAATTTCGAGGTACTGAAAATAAATTTAAAATACGGTAAAATTTGCTTAATAGAAACACATAAGTCAGTAATCTATTTGTCCTTATTATCCGACTGCCCCAATTAACCGAGTACACCAAAAACCGAAAAATCTTGGATTTGTGGACTTTTAGATTATCAACAGCTCTTTTTATCAATGCCTGCCATATTAAATCATAAAACTGTTATATTATCCATTAGCTTTTTAGGATTATTTAAGTGTTTTACATTTATAATATTTAAACTTTTTAAGATATAAATCAAAGCAGATTTTTATAGTTTTGGTTTACAAACATTGAAACTAGACATCATAATTATAATAAAAATATTGACATAATTCTACTTTAAGGCTCAGGCGATTTTTTGGAATTTTTTTTTTCAAAATATGTGTTTTTCATACTTAATTTAATGTTAGGAAGTTATGGTCAAAAAACTTCAAAATTTTCGGTTTTTCCAAAAATTATGTAAAAACATAACTATTTAAGCTTAGTTTAAACTATCAAAAATTAATATATTAAACGAAGTTTGACGACTTTTTTAAAGCAACATTAAATTAATCATAAAAAAAACAAACATTTTGAAAAGAAATTCTAAAAAATTGCCTGAGCCCTAAGGTAGAATCGTTCTAAAATATTAACTACACTCGAAAGTCTTTATCTACAATGAATAACATGAGAAAATATTATCTGTTCAAGAGAATACTAAATGGTCGTTTGAGTAAAGTAAATTAGTTTAATTTTGGAAATTCAAATTTCAATGAATTAAAAATAAACTAGCAAACATATTTGTCAATCATAGTTATTAATTATAAATTATAAAACAAATTACCTTTCTGAATATCTCGCTTTGTTTCCCGTAAATAATCGTCGGGATTCCGAGATAGTACTTTAACTTTCATAATTAAAGCGCGACTTTTGGTATATATTCTTTATTAAGTCATGGAAATATTAATATCTTCAGCACGAGTAAATGTTGATGTTCTATCTTCTATTGATTTGGATTAACGTTAACAATAATTATTCCAATGTTATCAATCACGTGCAAGTATACATGATGACCAACAAAATTTTTTAAAGCTATATTATTTCTTGAGATAATTGAGTTTGATGCATAAAATAATAAACTCATGGACCACACTGCTATTCCGGCCGCGTTATCTGAAATTAAAACATTTGATACAAGATTCATCATAATATTAGTCATAAGCATAACGTATAGGAATTTATTCTAACAATTTATTCATAAATCATTTTATTTTATTTTTTCGTCCATCTACACCTAAGTTTTACTATACAGCTATAGTTTACTAAATGTCTTTCTAATTTTTTACTTTTTTTTTTTGTTGTAAATATAATCATGATATTATTAGAAACTAACAACCGCGTTGTGGAAGAGTCCATCAGTGTAAGAATTAAAAATGCTTTGGCCGGGTATGTGACACTTAGAAATTATACGCCTTCCGTTAATCTTCGATTATTAGAAATTACTATTATATTTCAGAAACAAATCGGAAAACACAAATATTTACATATCAGATTATGCAGGAGTTTTATTTCATATTTCCAATTTAGAAGGCCAAAAAAATATGCTTAGAGTGAGTCAATATTCATTAGAAATGCATCAATAAATAAAATATTTTATTTTTTATAGGTAAGCATAGCTTTGAAATTCTATGCTGAATTACAAGAACATGGTGCAACGGAATTATTGAATCGTGTATATGACTCTTATGTTACTGAATCAGAATCAGGTTTCAACTTTTCTTTGCTCATTAACTTAGAAAAAATACCTGATGATTGGGAATTATTAGTGAAAAAAATTGGACAGTTAAAACGTAATTGTTTTGCATCAGTGTTTGAAAAATATTTTGATTTCCAAGAAAAAGGTGAAGAAGGCCACAAAAGAGCTGTAATTAATTATCGAGAAGATGAGACCATGTGGGTAATAAATTGGTTTTTAGTTTGTATTTATATTTATACAAATTTGTATTGGTTAGGTATGTGGAAGCAAAAGCCGATCGTGTAACTGTTGTATTCAGTACAGTATTCAGGGATAGTGATGACATTGTATTAGGTAAAGTATTTATGCAAGAATTAAGAGAGGGCAGACGAGCTAGTCAAACATCTCCACAAGTATTGTTTACGCATAAAGAACCACCGCTTGAACTACAAGACACTAATGCACGTGTTGGTGATGAAGTGGGATATATAACATTTGGTAAGAGAACTGAGATACATTGTTAGTGATTTTAAGTTACTAATTTATTATACACAATTTTAGTGCTATTTCCAAGACATACTAATCGTGCTGCACGTGAAAATACAATTGATTTAATTCACATGTTCCGTGACTATCTTCATTATCACATTAAGTGTACTAAAGCGTATATACATTCCTGTATGCGAGCAAAAACTACTGACTTCATTAAAGTGCTTAATAGAGCTCGACCGGAATCTAAAAAATCTAACGAGAAGAAAACTATTAGGTAAGTATTATTTTGAAAGTAATTTATTAAGTTATAAAGGTTTATGGAAGAGAATTAGCGCTAAAAATGTCACAAATTTTAAAACTTACTTACAATGTAAAATGTATTAGTAAAAATTCTTTGCACAATTAGATCAGTGCTATAAGTTAACTAATCAAAAAATACAACATTAACATTTAGTATTGGAAATAGTAAAATATTTAATGTACACATTTATTAACAAAGATACAGTAGTAATAATTGCGCATTTTTTATACATCTAACAACTAATAAACAACAAAGTGTTGTATTAAAGGTAAGTAAAGGATTTCTATGCACCAAAAAACTTTAATATGAGCTTTGAACAATTTTAAAATATGCCCAATAAAACATCAATATCGGCCTAAACAAAATTGAAAATTGTGTAAAAACACCAAATAATATTTATTAAAATGTTAAAAATTTAAATAAAATGGATTAATTATTAGAAAATAAATTAGCTGAACTATATTAAGACAGAAAAATATTTTGGCCAAACTGTAATTTAAGCCGATAGTATCTAATCCTTAAATATTACAGCCGATTGTATTAAGAGAAGGTCAGATCTTCTAAAAATTAAAAATGCGTGATAAGAAATAAATAAAAAGGAGAGAAATTCCGTACATATAATTTTAAACTGAAAAACAAGTCAACCAGATGCCCTAAGTAACCCACTGCTATGTTTTTTGAAATTTTGAATCAATGAAGTTAATTAGAAAATATATATGTTGAGTTTTGATAATAAATTCAACAAGTGTAAGTGAATATTTACCTACACTTGAATAATTTAAATGCTTACAAATATTTGAGGAAAAAAAAAATTTAAAGCTTAATTAAATAATATATATTTTTATTATAGAAAATATTCAAAATGTCATTTAATTATTTTTTATTTGTTCAAAATTGTATCAGAGTTATAACTCAAAATTTGCACGCTCTTTCAAATTTGTTTCAAAATATTGATGTTAAAACTTTAAAGCTTTCTAATTTAACATTTTTTGATTAAAAGTAATGATAAAAAATGTACAAGTTGATAATTAGTAGTTTTGGGGAATATGTTGACTGAAATGTTTTGTTGTTTTATGTTTGGCTAAAATACATTCGGTTGTTGTATAACCCCCTCTTCCTTATATACAACACATGAATTTAACTGTTAAATTATGCATGATTAATAGATTAATTTAAATTTAGTATAATTCGTTTTAATTTAATATATGAATCAATGAAGAAATAAATTTTGGAACAGTGTTACATATATCTAAGGTGGTACTCAAAACTAAATTTAATTATATTAGATGAACACTGGAAGTACTAAAAAATGATTGTTTCTGGAATTAAAAGTTGGAACTTAAAATTTTATTCTCTTTAAGAACTCCAGACATAATACATTTTTATTAATTATTTCATATGTGAATGCTATGTCATTGAACCGCCTGGAGGCCAGCATTTCTAGGTCTAATTCTATGGCTATGGCCTCCTAGGGGTCACCTACTTGAGTTTATCTATCATTTTAAGAAAGTGATGTTGGATTTTTTCTAACTTATCAATTAGATTATTTTGTTATTACATTTAGATAGATAGTCAATAGATAATAAGAATAACTAAATCATATTTAATGTTCTAGCGGCAGATCATTCATTCGAAGGGACTGAATAAATATTATACCTTTTTAAATTTTGTATGATACATAATGAATAATGAAAACATTTAATTAATCTTAAATTAATGTTAATAACATTGATTATTAGATTTTATAGAATGTATAATATTAGCTAATATAACTAACCATTGTTTTAAATTTATAATTAGTAAAAATAATGTTGTGTATTCATCTTTTAATTTTTATTATTTTTATATATATAAATCATTTATTTAATTGGAACACTAGTATTGCATTTATATAAATTTAATTTTATTAATAAATTATTTATTTATTGGTTATTAAATTATTATTTTTTGTTTAGATTCATCTGTAATAGGTTATCAAAATTATCTTTCAAATCATATTATCATATTATCATAAACCATAATCAAATTTTAACTAGGTAACAATTATTTTTATTGAAAAATGTGTTATTTTATTTTTAATACTAATTGATTACTGAATAATTGTTTATTTTAAATAAATTAAATTTTTAAGTAGTTAAACTAGTCTACCAAATTATTAAATTATATTTATTATTATGAACCTCAAAAATTAAGTATAGGTTGGGAACCTACTTTTTTTTTTATCAAAAATTATTTGTTAGAATATATATTTTATAACGAATAAAATACATGGTTCTATTTAGATATTTTGCAAATTTACTATAGTTGAAAATATTGTGGTATTGGATTAAATATGCATTTTCAATATTTTTGACTTTTTAAAGATACTAATTAAATAAAGAAATAATGTATAGTTTATGCCTATAAATCTATTTTTAAATATTTAACTTAATATGTCAATATCCCAATCCTATCATTCAGTTTAAAATGATATTGCGACATAATAAAATATTTATTATTTAAAATTTTAGTGTGGGTATATTTCAATTAACCTTCTCAGTATTTAAAGATTGTAATACTAGCTTAATCTAGATTATAATTGTATACAATAAAGACAGTAAACAGTTCTAAAGTAATTTTCAAATAATATAATAGTGATTTAAATAGTATCTAGAAAAATGAACAGTGCTGATAACAAAACTCTTATCTTAATAATTTTATTTCATGTAATTACAAATTAAGGAAAAGCCTTTCTATAAAAATATTCACCAAAAATTTAACTTTTAATTTATCTACTATAAAAGACACAACAAAAACTGATAATTTAGAAATCATATTTACTTTATGAGTTGATTGTTATCAATAATTTTATTAGTAGTCGACAGTTAAATTATTTACCATAATATGATATTTATATTGTAGACAAACATCACTATCAACTGAACTTCGCTCAGAATTGTTTTTTCATTAGCAACAGTTTATTGTTGCTTACAGGTATACATTCCATTACTTATAATAGTGGCTGCACCAGACTCCATTATCCTAGGACGTCTTTTTTAGTTTTATATTCTGTAACTTCAAGTTTAATACTTTTTTTTATTATAAAAGCAATCTATACAGAAAAGCACAAGTAAATTGGATAGAAGTAATAATGATGAGAACACGATGACTTGATGGCTTGAGAGGGGAAACCGCCTATTGACAGTACCTCCTAGTTTAATACTTAAATAATTAAAACATTTAAACAATTAAAAAAACTAAAATGAAAAACATTTTTAACTCATATCGATTTATTTGGAATAGTAAAAACAATGTATATTATTATAATATTATTTAAGTAATAATAGTATTAAATTTAAATTTGTATGAATAAATTATTTATATTTTATTGATTATTAGTAATAACATATTAGTGTAATTGTCTTATTACATTAAATTAATTTAACTGTAATGTATGCTTAATGCCAGATTACATATCATCTGCAAAAGGATTTTTGGTTTCATCATAATCAGTTTTAAATGGATTTTTATTGTCGTCATATCTCATTTGGTCATCATCATCTTCATCAAATGGATTTGTACTAGGTTTTATGGTTCGCACAGCTAATATTGGACTAAGTTTAGGTGGAGTTTGTACAGCTGGAACAACTAATTTAGGTGATAACAATACAGGTGAACTCAATTTAAATTTTGCTAATTGATTTTCAAAAGTAGACGGATCATCAAATAGGCATCGACCAAAGTATTCCGATATTAAAGAAAAACTATCAGTAGTTTGTTTTAACTGATTATGGAGTGCTTCATCATCTTTAATCTGACCCTAAATAAAAATTAATCAAGGACAATTTTATTAACAAATATCTATTTCCTATTAAACTTACTTGAGTCCGTATGACATCCATTATTTTCTTATTGTTAGGAGTACAAGCTGGACAATCATTATCACTTTCCGAAAAAGCTTGAAAACAACTAAAATAAAAATGTGTACAATGATTTATATTTAAATAAATAATAGATAAAATAAGAGGAGATGAACACCAAAAAGAGGTGAGATTCGATTGAGGTATGAGGACAGCCAGCGGTAGGAGATCGAATCAAGTGAAAGTTTAGGACTAAAGTGATGGACCTCAAGTAATTGGAATAAAGAAGCAGATGAAGATAGATTCAATAATTTTATGTTCACAAAAACCAGAAAATGATGCATTGAAAATTTGTAACTAATATTTTACACTCACTGTTGATGGTATGAATGTTGACACATAAAATGTACACTAGGCAACTCCAATTGGTTATTACAAGCACTACAACGCAAACCTTGGAAGACAATAGCACTAAAAATTTAATTTAATAATTTAGAAACAAATACTTAATTTATTTCCAGTTAAAAGTACCAATTTTTCAGTTTTTGTATTGTATTTTTGATGTTTTCAGAATCTTTTTGATATTTATTAACCATTTCTTTTTCCTTTTCAAAGGTTTTCTTTTCTGCACCAAACAAACTTGTTAAATAAGCTCTAATATGACCAATTTTAACATTTTTAGATTTAATCAACGATGTAATAGTAAAGTGAGCCGATAACAGAGATTTTTTTTCTATTAAAATAATTAAGAAAAATAATAATTAAGGTATTATAATATTTGTTATTTCAAATTACTATACTTACCAATTTCATTTAATATTTCTTCTAACATAGAAGAAGGAAACATTTCATCTCCCATTGCTGTGTTAAATACTAATATCCATAACATTGGCTCTGTAGGTCCATATTTCCTACAGCAATCTATTGCTGCCGAATAATCACTCAAAGACAAATAATAGTGAATTAACTTAGTGTATCTGAAATAATATGATGTTAACTAATATGGTAAATAACAATTATTATTAAAAAAATTAAAAATGAATTATTAACTAAACTGTTTGTTATGTTCAAAAATGTACACTATGGCAGGTTTAAAATCAAAAGACATTGCCAAAATTAAAACTTGATAATAATCGCATGTCTTGATATCATGTGACTGTAGAATATTAATAATTTTGTTTTCAATTGTGGTTCGTTTTTCTTGATTACTCTCATTTTTCCACACAATTAAACAATGTTCAATATATATATTTAATAATGATGTAGACCATTTATCTAAATACTAAAATAGATATGTGAATTAAATTTATTTTTGTTATTTTAAGTTAATGATACAAAATTCAAGTAACTTTACATTTTCAAAATGTTCCAAAAAATCCACTAAACATTCGGAGTCATCTAACAATAAATAAATGAAATCTTCAGGTTGAGCCGAACTATCAGACAGATCTACCTTGAAAATGATTATTAAATATATAAAATATATTTAAAATGTTTTATTTAGAGTAAACCATTATATTTACATTGCCAGAAGTATAGGAAGTTGAACACAATTTCTTCAGGAAAGTTACTGTTTCTTTAGGAACATTTTCCATAAATACATTACTATATTGTTTAACTGTTTGTACCGACTAAATTTCATATTATAATAAGTATTAAATGTGTACTCTATACATACAGTAGTTAGTAGTTAGTTGTTATTACCTGTTCGGTTGAAAGTTTTTCAATATATTCTAAAGCAGCAGTGTATTCATAGCGATCTTCCAAAAGTATTTTAATATACAAAGAATGTCTATCATGTTTTTCAGCTAATTTAAGGGCATTTTCAGGGGATGATTGCCTGCAAACTTGTATGGCAACATCCACATCAAAATCAATATTTTCATCTTTGGTCTATAATAAAAATAAATTATAATTATTAAGATATTCATTGGCGCAAATAGAGGGGTACTTGGGATTTAGCTACCAAATCGCATAAAAACTATGTATCCATTCATAAACAATATTATGGGGGTTAACGTTTTTCTCAAAATATTTGTTCCCACAATCCAAGTATCATAAGACTATGTTTATACCTATGAAAATATTATTACATTGTTGTTGAAAATCAAAGTTATTCTTACTATAATAAATTCTTGGAGTTTATCTACACTATTTAATTTTGAATAGCAATTAAACAATAATGTAGTATGATCTTTAGTTGCATTGCCTGATTTGTGTAAAGCATGCAAATACGTGGTTAAACTTTCTATATATTGAGAATCTAAAAACTAAAATCATACAATATAATATATTATTATTCATTTTTGTATATTGCTTTTTTTTTTTATAATTTGTTACTTTTTTAATAACATAAGAGGGCTCAAGTTTTCCAATTGTTTTAATATATTGTTCTACAGCACCACTATGATCACCTTTGGTATACAAATGATCACCATACTGACGAAATATATCAATCAATGCTTGAGAGTCATATTGCTGACACTTAGCCATGCGTACAGCAACATCATACAAGTTTTTCTTAAATAATACAGTTAATTTTGATTGTAAATCTTTTTCTATTAATTGAGATAAGTTGCCTCCTGTTGTTAAAATATACAATGATCCCCATTCAGGTAGAACTGATAATATTTCACGTATAGTTACTGTAAAAACTATAAATTTATTTTGAATATCTAGTATAGTTATCGAAACAGATTCAATTTCATCACTGAAAAAAAAAAATTAAATTATAATCTATATAGATTACACTTAGTATGTTTATTATTTATGTAAGGCAAACTATACAAATTTTTTGTTGTTGTAGAGACAGTAACAGTATTTGAAGATTTTTCAACTTCTTTAGATACAATAATTAAATAACTTCGAAACCATTGGAGAATAATTTTTTTACCTCCTACAACATAGCATGGTCCACGACTGTCAACCGTGTAGCAATAAATAGCCTAAAATAAATTATATAATAGAATGTAAGAAAATTATTAAGATGATTAATAAAAGAAAGTTAAATTATTGTTAATAGGAATATATTCCAGAAGACAAGACAATAAGTTTTTCCTATTATTCAAATTATTATTCTGGATATAACGGTTATAATATACATCATTGAGAAATAAGAATTAATTAATCATTTTTAAACATTTTAAAAAAGAAACACGTTGTCTTGTTCTTTGGAATATTGTTAACTTTTAATTTTATAATAGTACTTTTATTCTAAAATGAAAATTAAGCAATTTCTACACAGTCTGCGTAAGATTTTTCAATAATGCCCATTAGTTGGACTGAGATAGCACATGTTGGTATAGCGCCCTTTTTTATACACCATTTATTAAACTCTGTTAGAAGATATAAAACAAAACCTTCGAAGTTGTTAAATTTAAAAGACAAAATAATACAGTGAAAATTTTTTATAACGATTCTTTAACAAAAAAACTCTATGTAGCGTAAAAATTACTTAATAACCCGTACATTAAAATTCTTCTTCCTTTCTATTGTGAAAACTTTCTGTAGCAAAAGAAATCTTTTGGTCCCTTAAGATTTGTTAGAAAGTTTCCACTGTATTTTGTATTAAATTACTTACATCTTCTTTTGCAATCATAAAATGACTGTCAGGTCCATTTACTAACACCGAGCACTTAAAATCGCATCCTACTGCATCCAAAATGGTCTAAAATTAAAAAACAAAACATTTTTAACTCTTCCGAAATTCCATAATAAAATCTAGAAAAAGAAATACCTACCATTGGACACGAATCTTTAGAAGTAACATTAAATTGTTGCACAGACGAAGCAGTAGAGACGAAAAGGTACCATTGATTCTTAATAACAGAACTAAAAGCCATACCAGTTATTTCTTGACCCAACTCTTTTAACATTTTGGGTTTGGAATTTCGATCTCTAGATAAATCTCCCTTATACAATGCTATACAACCATCTACAAATCCTACGGCCATTAACAAACGATTGTCAGTTGCACACAAAGTAGTTGGTTTTTCAGATTTTGATAGTTTTGTTGAACGGACACATATTGGATTACTTTGACGATCTCTTCTTTCTAAATCCCAAACTTTAAGAATAGCATTGCTATCTGGTTCATCTATCTAAATATTTTTATTTAAAGAAATAAATTAGTATACAAAGAAAAAAGTGATAGTAAATTTGAGTAAACAAAAATTTACCCCAATTGTAACTAAAAAGTTACTATATTGTAGTTGTGTAGCAAGAAGTACAGCAGATTGATAAGCTCGAAATGTTGTTACTTGAAATGTACGTGTAATTAAGTGTACTAGACCATCATCATCACATATCACCAAATAACCATTTCCACTACTTGTTGAGGTGATTTTTGAGTTCTAATAAGTAAAACAAACATATTACTGACAAATATTTCAAACTCTATAGAATATTAATATTATTTGTATAAATTAAGTAGCAACTGTTAATATAAGTTATAATTGGGAGAAATTGGTAAAGGCAGTAAAAATCTGTCAAACCATAAAAGCTCAAGAAGACGAGCAACTCACTCGGGTGTATATTATATGAATAGAATATACCTACTATAATAATAGTATTAATTTTTATATTTAAAAACTATAAGGGTTGTACATTTTTTTTGTAAGTAACATACTTAATTTCCAAACTAAGAAGTATAGTCTTAAATTTTTTTTATGTGTAGTTAAAATTTAATAAAAATTCATAAAAAACAAGTTATTTAATAAAAATTGCATACGCCTATTATTTGAGATATTTTCTTAGAGTCTGCATTATGATTGATGTCAAAAAAATTAAATCTTCGCCACTGAAACATAATAAAAATATATTACATACAGTTTTAAAATTACAACATAATATAATACAAAATAGAATTATAAAAATTATTAAAATATGTGATCATAAATATTTGAAACCGATTAATCAAACCAATAGTAATAATTATCATCTAACAATTAATAGTATACCTATAGAATGATCTCTGAATATATAGAATCTCATTTTATTTTGCATAACAGTTAACGAGTTAATGATTTTATGCTTTACATTAAAATTAAAAAGTTGGTCTCCACAACCAGAAATCTTGATTGTTTAATTTTAAGATTATATTATTAGGTTAGCTAACTAAGTTATTTCTGCGCCATAGGTTCTACATTGAACCATTTATCATTTAAGGTTATAAGCTTCCACAACATGATCAAATAGAAAATCGAATACAGCTCTATTATTATTTAATATATGAGTAATCATATTACAAGTTGATATGTATAACAGCTTGACATAATCCTAGTGATCAAATTAAATATCAGATTTCAAAATTTTCAATGAAACATAATACAAACATTCAAACAATTCATAAAGATACAATAATATCTTTCATAAGAAAATCAAAGTAAGTATATGAATAAAGTATTTAATAATGAATAGGGAGACATTTTCTTTTAATAAGTACTTTTTCATAATATACATTATTGTGATAACTAAACAACGAGTGCTACATTTATAAAATCATGTTACACTAAAACAAAGCATTTAGATCGAACTTACTTCTAAAAAAGACATTATTGGTTTTTTTTTTTATACTTAAGAATGTGGGTCTTAACAATTAGCTCATAAAAACCTGGACTAATGCATTGTAATAGTCCAAAGACGAAAACACGAACGTAAAACTTAAAATTAAACGAATATGTACATAAAAATAATAATAATAACTAAATTATAGAAATTATAATATTATAATACCATTTGCTGTGCCCACACTCCCCCATAATAATAAAATAAAATATACAAATTACAAACTATTAACTAATAATTATAGGTATTATATATAGATATGATATTCAATAATAAGATGGGATAATGTTATCAACACAAACGGTATCGTATCATATAAAATGGGCGGCATAGGTAACCAAGTGGTTAAGTATACGACCGCGGTATAGTATGTTTTTGTGTTTAATCATTGTAATCACAGGGTAACCACTAACCGCAAGCCAAGTTGACTTTTGAATTTTTGAAAAGTTCATTTCAAAGTATTTACGATTGTAGACCTCCTACCGACGTGTTTATCCGATCAATTTCATGTATCGCGAATAGGCTATAGCGCACGAAAAATACAGATTCGGCTGCGCGTTTATTAAAACATCCCGCGTAAGTATTTTAGCGTCAGCTAGCCATCATAAATGAGCGCCCATTTTCGTGTTTTGTTGTTGTTATCGAGTGCCCACGTATCGGACGAATGCGATTGGTCAATGGTAAAAATTTTTTGAAAATCAAATATGGTGTTACAACGCTTCAAAAACGCGCAATTTTCCACAGTCTTCGTCCGCCAAATATGGTCCGTAAGCTCACTGCAATTAATTTCAGGGTGCCGTCAATCGCCGTGCAGTACGCGGACGCCGCCGTTCATCCATCTCTGACCACTAAACAACAGCCCTGCAGGGCGTGACCGACATTATCCAAGACGAGACTGACTCTCGTCTAAGACTACAGACCTTTGGCGTAGCCGACCCAGTTCCTCTACCAACACTCATCATGTCTAACGCAGGTGTGTACAAAATTATGACGGCAGTGACTCGTTGCATAACAGTGTTTGTGGACATAGACGGTCGATGCCTATGTACATGCCGTTTCGAGTGCCAGTCTCCTGGTCATCTATTCGACTATGCGTCAACTTAAATTATTTACCTCTCATGGCTTGTCATGATTCAAATCTAAATTAACTTGGTAGGTAATGCAGTTAATCGCAGTACCTACCTTTAAATATTGAATTACAATTACTCATTTGATTCAAAGATTATAATTATTACAAATCACTGATAATTGATTATGCTTACTGCAAAAATCATAGACAGTGAAGTGTATACAATGATTTTTTTTTAAATATAATCATAACAATCTTTTGTAAGAAAATTAATTTAAATTAAGCCTATTTTGATCTGACCAATCAGCTTCTTTTATAATATTTAAATTAAATTTTATTTGCTAAATAAACATTACCAATAAAAAATAATTATCCATTGATAATTTAATTTGAAAAATGTTAAAAATACAATTATGTAAGTAATTAGAAACCTTTATATGTTTTTACAACTGGGTATTGCATTTATGTATTTTCTGTGTTACTTAATGCAAAACGTAATAATCAGAATATGATATTGTATACAAATATAAGTTAATAATATATATAAAAAATATGTTATATATTGTACAGATTATAGACTAAAACAGTTAAGAATAATAAAAACAAGAAAACAAAGACATACACTAGTTATTCATAGACCATTATTTCTTAAATATTATATTATTAACTTGTACCTATTTATCTCGTAATGTAAGATATATAAATTCAAATCTAATTACTGAACTATTGTTTAATTAGTATGATATAAAATACATTAAATAATTCAGTAAATATTAAATATAAATAAATCATTGAAGCACAAAAGTATTATTTTTACCCATTTTGTTTACTTAAAAAAAAACTTAATTCTTTTGTACTAATTTTGATTTGTTTTGACCTCGAAATTATTCACTTCCTTTTTTAAATTCAAGAGGTGAATGACCACATTTTATCAATCAATTGGTAATATATAAGTATAATATAAGTAATAATCTATATATTTTCTTTAAATTTACATTTATATTAGTTTATCAAATAACAGTTGAAACCAGAAAACAGTGAATTTAAGTATATATATATATATATATATATATGTATATTAATACCTACTTAATATTCACACAAGTTTCTAAAAACATTCATAAATGAAGCTAATAATAATATATTAAATGCTACCTGTATTATACTTACTTATATGATGAACTAGGTTCATCATAGAAGTTAAATAGTTTTGAAAAAAATCAATTGTTTTAATATAAATAACTATTACAAGTGTGTCTATTAATTTCCATACTTGTATGCATATTTGTTGCCTATATTACATTAATAAATTTAAATAAATCATTATTTATTTTTTAGATTTTGGTAGTCAAGATTTAAGGGGTAACAATGTATTAGATAGTGATTACATGTCAATGATGGGTTCTTCTGAAAAATTAATGTCTGGTGAATATGAAGCTCTTGAACGATTGCAAGCTGAACTTGAATTATATAATAATCCAGATCGACCTGAAGAAGTTGCAGAACAAATAACTGAAGATAGTCATATGATTGAAGAAGAAGTTTGTGTTCCTTCAGGTGCCACTTTCAATAATAGTGAAGAAGAAATACAAAATGACAAAGATGAAATAGATTCATCTGAAAATCAATTTGATTCAGATGTTCTAACACATATTAAATCAGAACATAAAAATGATGAACAAGAAAATGGAATTCTTAGTTTTAAACAAAAATTGCAATTTCCTGAGATTCTATCCGTTGGTAGTTCTTCAAGTGCCATTAAAAGAAGTGCACCACAAGGGAGTGTACAAGGAAATCCACAATCAAAAAAATCAGTACGATTAAATTATTATAATAATAACAATTTATTTTATTTATTTATTTAATACAACATTTTTTTCAGTTACTTACAAAAGTGATGGTTAATACAATACCAAGTACAAGTACTGGAAGAAGTACTCAACAAATTTTATTAAATGTCCCAATTGGACAAAGGTCACAGATAAGCTCTACTAGGACTATAACACTAACCCAAGCACACCAAATGGGTTTACTTGCTCCAGGTTGTCGACTCCAACCAGTGGCATCGAATACAAATGCCACTCAAAACAAAGTATGTTATAATAACTATATGATTAAAAACTACAGTTGAACAGAACTGCTTATTTCTAAAACTCCCTAAACAGTTTGGAGGTAGGTCAAAAATCCCATTGAGAACTAGTTTCTTTGCAACATTTTATGGCTTTGAAATGTTTGTTTACCAAAGAAATCCACATAGTACTGTTTTATAAATGTATTCATGTTTACTATCTCAATCATATCTACTTAGGGGGCTACTGAAATAAGTTAAAATAATTTAAAATGAAATTTTGTTCATTAAAAGTATACTCAATCTTTTTATAAACACTTTTATTTTATTTAATTTATATATTTTATGTATGTGTTTTTCCCTGAGAAGGTATTAGATTTATTGTATTTTGAAATAATTGAGAAAATATATCAAAATAGAAAACTCTAAACAACTTTAATAAAAACAAAATCATCCTAACCCTAAAAAGGGAATTTCATAAAATAAAATCAAAGAAACACTTGATAAAGATCAATTTTAATTTAGACAAGGAGTTGGTTTGAAGAAAGCAATTCTGACAGGGTACTTATAGAAAAAAGACTAAATTGGACTACATTTATAACTTAAAAAGCATTTAATACAATGCATTGTGGTATACTGATGAAGCTATGAAGGAAGCCAGACTAGACTAAACTAGTCTATAGAAAAGACTGGGAAAATACAGTTATATAAAAAAAATCGAGAAATGAGAGGTCGGGCACATAGTACCATAGCATATATTAGGAGAGGGGTAAAGCAAGGTTGCTTCATGTCACCATATTTATTCAATTTATTTTTAGAAAAGATAACAGATCAGTTTAAAAGGAACTCCATGCTTATTACAAACATGAATAAAGAAAAGATGTGCAGATTATAATGCATTAGTGTCTAAATCAGAAACAGACTTGCAAGAATCTTTAACTGTCTTTTCTAAGATGCCATAGAAGTACCAAATAAAAATAAATGTAAAGAAAATCAAAGTAATGGCTGTGATTAATAAGATAGTAGTACCTTGTAGGATCACAAATATACAGCTATTCAATCAAGCAAATCCAACAATTTAAATATCTGGGAAGTACAATTGTTATAGTCCGTCCAATAAGTGAACGCTACTTCTTCGCACATCTAATTGAAAGAGCTCCTTGGTTTTGTGACCAAATTTTTCCCACTCTACTATCTACTCGCTGTAGGAATGCGCGAGAACAGACAAGTTTTGGTTGCCTACCTGACTATAGTGATGGGAGATGTCGATAAAAGTTACACAGCAAATAGTAATGTAGCAGATGTAAAAAAAAGTATTAATAATTACTTACAAATACAAAACTTGATGATAAATGAAGATGAGGACATATTTTGTCAAATGTGTAGTGTCTTTAAGTGGTTGTGAAACACGGTGGTATCATTAAATAAGACAAAGACTATGGGAATGTAGATTTGGGGAAGAATAATGAGGGTCAGTTAAAAGAGATATGAAAAATAATTGAAATTTATTTAACCAAGTAAAGGAAATTGATTTCTGTTTAGTTTAAAGGAAAAAAGTGGAAAATTATTCATAAAGGAAAAGGAACACTCGGGAAAACATTTATTGGAGGTAAGGTGAGACAAGCTGATTGCATCTGCTATGTTGATTTTCAGGTATTGGCTTTGGACAGAGAAGAATGGAGGTCTAAATTTTCAATGACAAAGCACTGCCTTTGGTAAAAAGGGGAACACTAATTTTTTGACTAATTAAAAGAGAATAATTTAAAAGCGGGCATAGTAATGTTGTTTATTGCAAAAATCCTATATGTGGTAAATTTACAAAATATTTTTCCCTCTCTCACAGTATGTTATTTAATCAAAACAACATTGGTATCTGCATGAATTAATGGTCAAGTGTTTTTAGTAATTTTCAGAAGTTTTTAAAAGAAACTGTTTCGTAGCAGTACAACAGTTTTTATGTTATATGATTCTGAGTGGAGCGAAGAAGCTTATGGTTTTACAAAGATGTTTATTTTTTTTTTTTTCGGTGAACAACTTTAAACCTCAGAACTTGTATCTTGGGGAGATACTTTAGAGAGATAATTTTTCGATTTCCTAAAGAGTTTTCTCATTAAATGTGAAAAAATGAAAGTTTACAAAATAAATTTCTATAATATTAAGGTTTTTTTTTTTTGTGGACAACTTTTTTACCAGCAATTTTGCTCCAACCTATAATGATAGCAATTTTTCTAAAAGAAAATTCCACTGGAGAAGTACTTTAAAGAGGTCATTTATCAATTTTTCCCTGGGTTTTCTCAGCAAATGTGAAAAACTGGATATAAACATAAGTAAACTGGGAAATAAATTTGTAGGAAAACTGAGAAATACGGTACAACATTAAACAAATATTACTAAAGAAAATATATAGAATCTAATTATTTTACTATAATATGGCATATATATTGTTGGCAAAGCATCACTATCAACTGAACTCTGCTCAGAATTGTTTTTTTGTAAGCCATGGTTTATCTTACTGACAGGTATACGTTAAATTACCTATAACAGTGGCTGCACCGCCCATAGGACATCTTTCTTTTTTTTTATCTTAAAAGGTGGACTTAGATAGTTTCTGATTTAAGCTATTTAATTTTAGACTTAATGTTATAATATTATTTTATAGAACATGGTAGTAAATAAAATTTCGGGTCCAATAAAAAAAGGAACAAGTACTTTGAAATCATCTGTACCTACCAAAATCTTGCCTGCGCCAACTTTAATAACAACTAAAAATCCAATGATGCAACAACAAAAAATTTTTATACGCCAAGTAATATTACTTAAATCATAAATTATTTCAAACATATGTGAATAAAGACAAAAACTAATTCTTAATAATTATATGTTTAGGGAGGCCTTTTTAAACAAGGTACATTGGTATCTACTAGCAGCAGTGGAAATCAAGTTATTAGATTACCATCGATAGTTACTCATGGTCCTTCATCATCAGTATCAACTATTCAACATATACGTTTGCCAACTGTAAACGCTACAACTGTTGCCGGTATACAAAAAGTTAGAATGCCAGTGACATCAGGAATACAACAAGTGCTACCAAATAAACAAGTAAAATTGTTTTATTTTAAGTTTTAAGTAAAATTACATTTAACTATATTTTTATTTGCATTAGGTTCAATACATTAGAATTGTTCCCACAACCGCCACAAGTAGTATAGCATCTTCAACTATGCCTGTTGTAACTTCCACAACAGTAACAGCAAAACAACAACCTCAAATAGTCACTTTATCCACTTCTACAGCAAAATCAAATGTTAAAACGACAACTATAACCAAAACCACTTCTACTGCTAACAATCAACATCCAGTTACTGCTAATCATATAAAAGTTTTTTCTGCCCCATCACATGTATAACTATAATACATTTTATATTTATATGACTTTAAAATTATTTTTCATTTTTAGACTGTTACAACTAGTCAACAAAGACCAATATTACCTGCGAGTAAACCTAGTACTAGTTCATCTATAGAACCAAAAAAATCTAGTTCCAATATTCCGTCGTTGAACTCTACAAATTCTAAACAAGTAATTGAAAAAAAAAAAATTTTATTATTTGTTATTAATTGTTAATGCATGTTTAAGATTTCTACTCCGAAAATAATCAAAGAAGAATTTATTATTGAAGATAATATTGTTCCTCTAAAAAAACTGAAAAAAGAGGACGAAAAAGAAACTAATTTAAGTTCCCCTAATTTACCAAAAGTTGGTAGACCATCATCATCCGCTGGATTACCTGGATTGTCCGAACCGAAACCCAAATTAATAAACGATGTAAACAAAACAAAAAAACCATGCAACTGTACTAGATCGCAATGCCTTAAACTGTAAGTAATTTTATTTATTCATATTGGTAGTGGTAGTGCTTATAAATTGTTATGAATTATTTTAGGTACTGCGACTGTTTTGCCAATGGTGAATTTTGTTATCAGTGTAACTGTAATTCGTGTTTTAACAATATTGAACATGAAGATGATAGAGCACAGGCAATTCGTGCGGTATTAGATAGAAATCCACATGCATTTCGACCAAAAATCAAAAGTTTCGTGGGTCAAGCTGAGCGACAACACACAAAAGGATGTAACTGTAAGAGATCAGGATGTTTGAAAAATTATTGTGAATGCTTTGAGGCTCGTATAGCATGCTCTCAAAATTGTAAATGTGTCGGATGCCGTAATATGGACGATGATTCACACACATCATATGGTGATAATTCTGGAGGATCGCTCAGTATAGAACATTTGAAAACAAGAACGAAATCTGCAAATTTTATTACGTCATTTGGTAGCATGCAAGCTGCAAATGCTATACCAAGGTATGAAATGTATATTATACAATTTCAGACAAAAATTAATTTAATATTAAATAGATTATAGTGTTTCTATGTTTTTATTTTTTCAGTCAACCCTTTAAATTTTTTACAAACAATGTAGTACAAGCTACATGCCGGTGTCTTTTAGCTCGTGGCATGGAAGCAAAAAAACTAAATGCTGGTGCTGAAGAATGTCAACGTATAATAATTGAAGAGTTTGGACAATGTCTAGTTAAGATCATGGATTTAGCGTCTGAAAAATCTTTTTTATAAATCGAAAAATTAAATTTAAAAATCTATTTATCTAAATATATAACTTTTAACTTAAAGTATACCCAATATTTAATTGTAAATATTTGCTCACTTTATTTCTATATTAATATTGTTTGTTTTGTGTTGGAAAATACTGTACATATATTATATACATATATATATATATTTTTTTTTTTAAGTTATGTGTGTTTATGTGTGTGTAGGTAATTAATGTTTTATTTTCAAATTTTATCAATTCTAGTATTATAATAGCCACTAATTTTATGACAAATATTATTTATTTTACAAACGTAATATAAAGTTTAATTCATTTAACATTTAAAAGTATTTCATTTTTTCTTGGATAACAGGATTCTTTTAGCCTTATCTTTTATATCACCGTCCCTAAATATTTCATTTTCTGGTTTGACGCGGAATGGTGCAAGCAATTCCTTAGTCTTCTTTGCTTTACGCTGAATTTTATTATTTGCATATTTGTCATCTTTTTTGCTCTTCAATAAACGCCTTGACTAAATAATAAAATAACGAGGGAAATAATATTTGGTTTTTAAAGCAATTTATGATTTAATACCTTTGCTGGTGTAACATAAAATGGATTTTCCCAAAGTGTTTCACCACAAAAACTTCCTTTAAAAATACGAATTGGTTGTAGAACAAATCTTGGACCTAATGATCAAAAGTAAAGTTGTTTATTGTAAGTATTAAAAAAAACCTAATTTAAAAAGAAAATTGAATTTACCAATCTCAGCAATTGCACCATCCTCGTTCAATATTTGATAATTTCTAAACCAAATTCTATTATCCAATACAGAAAAATTCAAAACATTATCAACAAATGGCTGACTCTTAGGGTGATGATTGGGCACACCAAATATTTGTGTGAACATCTCTCTTAACAATGAAAAATGAGGATGCTCTTCAAATGAATTGTCAAATGATAATATTGGTCTTGAACCTTTTAAGCAATTGCCAGTCAATTTCAGTTCAGCACTTGTGTATACTAAAATAACAAAACGTCATTGGTTAGAAAAATAATTTGATTAACATTTTACAAAAAATACCTACTACTCTCTACATTGAACTTAATACTAGGCCCGTCGGGACAATTTGAAAACCACATGTACAAATCCCTTTGAAGTCTGCCATCGAATAAAATACACTTATTACAATGAGACATTTTGCAAATCTAAAAGTAGTAAATTTAAAAAATATGTACCTGAGAACATTGTAATTAATTATTTATGGAACATACCTCGTTCACCACAAACAAATTTTCTTTACGCTCCATCTTATGGGCTGGTTTTGAGTGAGGCAACATTTTGATTACATCTTTCATTAGATGACGATGCTGAAAACTTATTCCACGAGTAGCGAATACTAAAACACGTTCCCTGTTAATCCATTTTGCCTGAAAAATATTTTTAATTATGGAATTAAAACTAAAAGAATCAAATAAATAATTTTCCAAAACAATTGTATTGTAACACAATGTGTACACAAAGCATATTTCTATGGATAATCTTTTTATGCACTTTGCACGCATTTGTTGAGAAGTGCTTCACTTATTACGAAAATGTACAAAAATTGCTTGATGACTGGGTCATCTCAAAAGAGCAACAGTTTTTTTGGAGAGGCATTTACAAATTACCTGACAGGTGGGAAAAATGTATTGCTAACAATGGGCAATACTTCGAATAAAATATTTGTTATCTACTTCACACAATAAACGTGTATTTTTTATACAAAAATTCGTGTATCATATTTACAGAACTTGAAAGACTAGAGGATGGTCTTTCAAACATTTATCGAAATTTTTGATACTATCATATTCGACCATCCAAAGTCTCCATACAAAAATAATAGTTTCGAAATATTTCTAGGGCCGTGGTTATCGACATTGTTAATTGTCCATTTATTATATTTTTTACTTACCTTTTTAGTAACAGGTTCGTCCGACCGTCGGACCAAAGGTAATACTACTTTGGGCTCTTCTTCTTTGACCACTTCCGATTTCTGTTTTCTTTTCAGTCCTTTCTTCGCCATCGTACGAAATCTAAGCGAAACGATAAAATTATTCAGTCGCTAAATACCCAACGTCACGTTAGTTGACAAGGAAACTTAGAGAACAAAATTACTTGAGCAGTTAAGCACGTGTGACTACGATTATGGATTGTGTTTACTGTTTTCAGTTTTGGTGTCTGATAAGTTGATAACGGAAATGGCGATGATAACAGTTCCGAGTGTACCAACCACGATCGATTTCTTAATCCACTTTGATACCAGCATGATGGACGCCATTGAGCACATTGGTAGTATCTATCATTGAGTAATAGTACTTATTAATAATGATGATGATAACAATAATAATAGTAATAGTACCTATATAAGGTCTCTAATATCGTAGTATCTATTCTATGATGAACGCTTGCGGTTTTATTGATTTATCTGCCGATATTAATATGGGCATATGATTCGTCAACCATTGTTGACGCATTGTCATGGGTTAAAAAACACAAAACTTTTTCAAGTTATCGGTATAAAAAACATTAATTTTCAAAAATTCGGTCGAATACGTCGCCATAATCCGTTCGGATTACCCGATTTCAGCAATATGATTATTACATGTATATCGAAACGTTTGTACCTTTCTTTAAAGAACACTGATGAATTTCTTAAACTTCTAACTTAACACTACTCAGTAGCGTACTACATAACGCAAATCTCCAGGATCATGGAAGCCGAAGGGCACTTGCTTATTAAAATAATTTGATGGTAGGTACATCTATGAATTCTATGTGAAGTGATTTTTTTAAGAGAATATATAAAATTTTCTAAATGCTATTTTTACTTAAATTTTTGCCAAAAAACTACATTCTGAAAAAGTGATTTGATGAATGTAAAAACTGAACTATCAGATGTATCGGACTAGTATGATACAAATCTTACTGAATATTAATAAATAAAAAAAACTTTAGGTAGTATTGATTATAAGTGGTCTATTAGCACTTATCATGATTAATGATTACCTATAGCTTGTGAGCATTATTATAAATAATGATATTAATGTAGGTCAAGATTAAAAATATCTTTAATCGTGAAGTAATTATTTACTACATTCAGCGCTCTACTTTCAAACATTAATTTTATTAATATTAATATATGTATATATTATACTTAGATCATATACATATAGTATATGATCCAAGACATAATATTATAAGTAGTATATGTTAGCGGAAATATTGACAGTTATGGAAATGATGACAATTCCTAAGGAAATGACACGAATATCTAGAAATTGTCATCATTTCCGTAGTTTATTAGACAATATTATCTCTCATGACTTTTCCGCTCGTTAAGGTGTAGGATTATAAATTGGTTTAACAACAGAGGAAATGGGCTCTTTGAAATCTGAAGGAGATATTAAATGTATTTTGAAATCAAAAGAAGACGAGAAAGCTAAAAAAAAAAAAAAAAAATTTCCGAATATTTAAGAGGCTAAGCCCATACCCTCATTAAATTCAGAAACACCCTGTATATATATATATATACAGACATTTGTTTCGTATTTAATGATTTCTCCTACTACACACAATGATGAGGTAGGTACATACATGATTTGTATAAGTAACTAGGTTTTTAAATATTAATTTTGTGTTATGCTGGACATTAAATTAATTTTACCGGTCCGATACACGGTAAAAATTGTTACGCTTTAGAAATATACCAGCACATATTCCATTCTCCGATATGATATTTGAGACCGTACCGGCACTATAGTAGTGTACAAGTGCCCATTTAAACCTATGTGTATGGCTTTTAACTGTACCACTCAAAGAATATCGGCGCGTGTACCGTCCACCAAGTCCGGTAATATCGTATCGGTGTGCTCGATGCCATATAAAATCATTTAACCAATTTGACCTAAACGTACCGCTGCAGTGTGTGAGGGGAACCTTAAGCTCCGAATCTAAAATAACTATAATTAACATTTTTGTTTAGTCAAACAAACGAAACATAATTCAATTCAATAATATTTGTTGTCAAAATAATATTATTTGTAATAAAAATTATACATTTATTTTTTATTGTAATTATATAAAACATAACCATCCATCCCACAAACAAATTCATGGCCTAGAAATTAGAATATAAACTTTGAAAAAGCACTCAAAAAACCCTCTGTTTAAACATTTCGACATTATTAATTTAATAATAAACAGATTTTAACGCCCGTTCTTTGGTATGTATAGATCAGTATACAACACAAGTTAACAACCAACAAACAATATAAGTACCTAGGTATTGATTTATACACATTTTGTTCACACATATATATTTTTTTTGTTATTTACTTCTAAAGAAAATATTGATAAATTTTAATAAATAATTATTACAATGAATTAGATAAGGTGCATTTAGAGTGAACTAATATACCTAATATGACTAACGTACGGTCTATACTTTATAGACTATAGTCTGAACACAAACGAACAAACCAGCGAATGACCCAATGTGAACGGTTTGGCTGAACATGAACGAATGCATTCGTTCACCTTTGGATCCGTTCGCTTCGAAAGCTTTAATAGGATTTATAATATTCATCTATATGCTAAATTGATTTTTAAAACAAGGATTTTTCCCAAAAACGAAAATTCCGGCGACAAACTTGCTAACAAAAAATGTTAATTTTGATTGTATTAGTTAAGGACGTTAAGACAAAGTGATATTGAAATAATGTCTACACAACATGAAAGTGTTAACAGAATTCTCCGTAATACCACGAATTCTCTAAAGTGTTTTATGTGAAAGAATGTTTTTAAAGCTTTCACATAGGTGCCTCACCCCTGGCTTTCCAATATTTTTAAATTTAAATGTGATTATACGAAAAGAATGACCATCATCATAAAAACATTACATAAGATTGTCAATTAATTGTAATGTACCTATATTTTTAGATCATGTCAAGTTTCCCACACACTATATTCTATCACGGCATCATAATATAACCGTACAAAAAATTCAGAAATCAAAAGATATTTTAGATATGTTTAAAAAAACAGGAATATTCTACCCAATTTCGACATTTTGTATTGATCTCAGTATATAACTATTTGTGCTGCTGAACGGTACTTCAGCATGTTGCGTTAAACGTGGATAGTTTTACCATGACCAAAGGAAGACATGATGTTTTATACACGATGATTATACATAGAAATATGATAAATTACTTTATTGGTAATAATACTTTTTATGATGAAATTGTTGATCGTTCGGAAGAGAAACAAGACTAGGCGCGCATTGATCCGCCGGGGCACCGGGAATTTCACGGCGGTCCCTTTTCATATAGGCCCTTGATTTATACACGTTTTTTTACTTATACTTCCTTAAATTACCTATTGTAGCTTTGTGATTTCTTAGGGATATTGGTAGGTAGGTAAGTAACTACGTAGACTGGTATTTGTAGAATGTTTATAATTGATGTTTATATAAGTAGGTCTTATTTAATAATTTTTACGGTACAAAAATAGAACACAGTGCGCGCATGATTAAGATAATTAGTTTAATTACAATTTCTTTTAAGAATAAATGACCAATAATCTATATATATATTAATGTAATATTGTAACGTAATGTAAATTTTTGTAACGACTAATCTCAAAAACTATTGGGCCAATTGTTAGACGGCTTTTTGCAAAATGGCCCGCGTTATCCGGAGAAGGTTTATTGCTATTAAAATCCATCCCTTATTAAAAACCATGCCCCAAAATTCGGTTTTTAAGTAATATTAAATTATTTATTTGTATGGATTACCTTAGTAACACGGATGAAATAAAAAACAATTTAAAATGATGGTCAAAACGTATCTATGGTATGGTAATTAATATAAATAAATAAACTAATTATAAAGATCTATGGGCCATATCAGTGGCGCACACCGGGGAGGTCTGGGGTGTCGGCTGACACCGCATAGAAAATTGGTGGGTGCCTGGTGCCATGTGAGTTTATATGTTATTTTTATGTATATTTGTTTAAAATGAATAGTATTAATTTGAAATTTAGTTTTATTGAGTCTAAACTCATATTTGACTGGTGGAGTGGGTGGGTAGCTAGATGTTTATATTTTTGACACCCTTGTGAAAATGTACAGTAATGTACAATAACATTGGCTATATTATGCAATAAATGGAATGTTACAAACTATATTTACGTAATCGTGTGATTACGTGATTACGTAATTATTTAATAAAATATTTTAATTTTTGAAACAAATAATACGTAAATAATAAATAACTCTAACGCTGTTACTCGCGCGTAGGGGGATTCGCTCACGCTACACGACTATATATCGTCCACTACATACCAGTTTTTCACCTATGTTCTTTCCAATTGCTTTTTCCCTGGTAAAATGCTCAAAAAGAACTCCAATATTGGCAGCTCAACGCGAGGGGCAAAAAGATTACGATGTCATTGAGAAAATGACGTGTTTATAGCAAGCGATAATTAGTTATAATACAGTACACGCGAAAAAATTTTACAACAGAACACTTTTAGTCGAAGGTGGACTACCCACTACCTACTTTCAATCTATTTGTATTTATTCATTACCGACACGATCAAAATTAAAAAGGAATATGGGTAAACAAAATAATAAAAGTTGGCACGGTCAACGTTGGGAGGGACAGCTACAGCTAGTATAGTAATAGTATAAAGACTGTCTCACGAAAATATACCCCATACATATCTCCAGAGATAATAAAGACAATCAAATTCTGTTTTTTTTTTTTATATTACTCACACGAATAAAGACTATGCGTATTTTTATTATAGTTACATTTTTTTTTTTGTAAAAAAATTAAAAAGATGTCCTAAGATAATGGGGACGGATGCAGCCATTGTTATAGATAGTTTAACGAATACCTGTAAGCAACGATAAACCATTGCTTACGAAAAAACGATTCTGATAATGATGCTTTGTTAACAATATATATGTCATATTATAGTAAAATAATTAAATAGGCTTTATATTTTTTCTTTAATAA